GGGACTCAGGGTCCCACAGTGGCAGGAACCAGGATTCCCCCACAGCACACACAAGCACGCACACATACAGGTCCGTCGCTGGCCACATGTGCAGATGTGTGCGCATGCGTACACAGCACACTGCCACCCCCATGTGTGCCCCAGGGCACATATCCACACAGACACACGAATGCATCACAAACATGCTTACGTACATGTAAACACATATGCACAGACACACCCCTGTACACACTCTGGGCACACGCAGGACCAAGCTCGCAGTCCGCTGGGGCCCGAGCTGGCCTCCCAGGTGCCTGCCCACCTGGCTCAGGAGTGGGGCTCTGCAGCCTGGGTCCTGCACCCCCGTGCTGGTCCTCTGGGCGGGATGGGGGGTGGCCGGAAGGGGCGTGCCTGGGATGTCCTAACCATAAGTGCTGACCATGCCCCTCCCCCGTACTTCTGACACAGACCTCAAGGCCTGCTGCCCAGCGGCTGCGCACTCCCAGTCTGCTTGGGGGGACGGGAATGGCGAGCCCTTCCCCACCCTGTACTGGTGGGAGCGGGAGGGCAGCCCCTCGCGGTGACTCTGGCCTACAGAAGGGCAGTGGCGGGGGAGGGCACAGGTGGCCTGGACTCCTCCCCCTCCCGCCCTGCCTGCCTTCCACGCCAGCACCTCAGGGCAGGGAGCTGAAAGAGGAGGAGCCAGAAGGCTTAGAGCCCCCATGGGTTGCGCAAGAGGTCCCCCATTTTGTCTTCTGGCGCCTCAGAGAGGAGAGGTGCACAAGGTGGGCCCACCATGGCTCAGCTCCGATACTGAGGGCAGGAGAAGACCTTGGGGTGGGGCTTGGAGCTGAGCGGTTGGAGCAGAGGAGGCCTGGGGAGGAAGGGCTGGTGTGCGGTAGAGGCAGGGAAGCAGCACAGGGCGTGTGGGCTGCCTGCAGTCCCCCTCCAGGTAACCATCTGGGGACGCTCCTCCCTCTTTTCTTTCCATTGAAAAATAGCGACTCCAGCAGCTCGCACAGCCCCATGGGCATTGGTCACCCCACTGCCTTACCTTTGACACTCCCTCCCTCCCCTGTCCGGGGTCTTCAGGGATACTTGAGGCACAGTTGGCTTAGAGAGTCTCTAGCAACAGACACAGGGCTATTAGGGTGGCCAGCAGGGCTCCTCATCCCCATGGTCTGCGCCGCCTTTTGCAAGCTCATCCTCACTCTGGCCACGGCCTGGCTATTCCTGGGCCCCTTACAGGATGCTCGCAGCAATGCTCTTGGCGCCTCGGTGGGGGCACTGGTGGGAGGGGACGGTGAGGGAAGTGGGTGGCACAGATAGGGCTGGGCGAGATACCACTAATGGGCGTGTGGCCGCAGGAAGAGGACACGCTATCTGTATCAGGTACCCGGGGTTCCAGAAGCCCTGGGGTGGACCCCGCCTTCCCTGGGAAAACCTGAGGTCGGTTACGGGCACAGCAGACAGTCAAAAACAGAGACTAACGCCCCACTCCCCAGCTGGCGCCTGGCTAGAGCCTGCTCAGACCTACCCCTAGGAGGGAACCACATTTGCAGAGCACCTTCTGTGTGTGTGCTTGGCAGGTGGCGGCTACTCTACGTCTGTCTTCTCCAAGGTGGATGCTGTTGCCTCCATTGTACAGACGAAGAAATTGAGGCTCAGAGGGGTTATGTGACTGGCCTAGTGCACACGCACAATGTAGCCAAACCAGGATTTCAACACAAAATTGTCTAGTTCTAGAACTTTCCAGCCCATGGTTTTGTGGTGGAGTGAAGCGAGGAGGCAGGATGAAGTGTCAGCGTTGGGCCAGGGTTGGGGTGGGGGCGGAAAGGGCAAGGAGGCTGCTTCTGGGAGAGGTTTCGAGTCTTCATCCTCTAGATCAGCGACCTGATGTGGGTACAGGTGGTCTGGTGTGAGACTGGCTCGAGGGGGCGGTGGTGGCGGTGGAGGGGGTGTCAGGCTGTCATGAGGTTGTGAGGGGAGCAAGTGGTCAGGGCGCTCAGTCCCCCGGGGAGGGTTTGATCTGGTCCTGGGGCGGGAGGCAGAGCCGCCTGTACGGTGCCCTGCTGAAGCTGGGATTAAGCTGGGAGGTGCGGCTTTTCCTTTGGAAATGTGACTTCCAAAGTGGGGATGCACCTAGATAATCCTGCGGGATGTAGTAACAAAATACTGGAACTTCTATTTATAGTTTTAAAAGAACCAATTAAAAATTTTTTTTCTCTGTGTGTGTTTTTGATATACATATTAGTTCAACAGCACAGGTATAGTACTATATAAATATAAACGTACATGCATTGAAGGTTCCAAACTTTTTTTTTTTTTTACTGAGAGTTACAGCCAATAGAAAAAGTTTTCACAGCTTCTTCGCTTTTTGGCTAAGATCAAGTGCAAAAGCGTTTCAGAACACGTCTCCAGTGAGTTGCGGGGGCGGGGGAGAGGAATCAGAAGAGGTGGAGGTAGAAAAGAGACTCGGGAGAGCTGTTGACGGCCCCTGCTGGCCATTACCGGAAGTGCAACATTACTCAATACAGCGCCGGATGGGCTGGAAATTCAGAATAGGCACTCTCGTCTTATTTCTCTCTGTGACCCGATTCCCAAAGCTCTGGGATGAACATCAACCAGAAGAAAACCTTGATGTTAGGGGATGCACAGACACTGCCTTCATATTTGTAAGCTCTGGGGGGGGGGGAGGAAGGAAGGAAGACAGAGCGAATTGCAGACCCCAGAGGGGAAGTACTCGTGACTTCACTTCTTTATCCCCACCCCACTGCATCCCCGCAGGACAGGCAGTGCTTAACTGCCCTGCATTGCGAACCCTGCAAACTCGCTTCACTTCCCAGATACCCTATTTCCCACCAGTAGCGCCCTCATTCCTCTGGGCCCAGCTTAGAATGTTTCTGGCTCTTACTGCACCTGTGTTGTGATGTCCAATTACGCTACTAGAAAGTGCTTTTGGTGTCTGACACCCTGCGCCCGGCCTCCACCCCAGACTGTGAGCTCCAAGAAGTCAGGAATCTGTGAAACCGTCTTCAGAGCTGCTATCTGCCTCCACAGCTGGCACCTTGTCTGGAACAGAATAGGAGCATCCAGAAATGTTTCTCCCTGCTCTGTGACCTCATAAGGCTGGCGTGAGAATCAAACAGCTTATAAGGTCCTGAATAGTTGGGAGCAGCTAGCCTGCTACAAAGCCCTTAATAGAAAGATGATGTTGAATGGCTTAATTCAGGGAGGTGGCTTGTAAGAATAGTGAGTTGGGCTCCACCCCCCTAGTGGGCCAGAATCTGGGCTCCCACCTTGACTTGGAGATCCAGAAGGGAATTGAAGCAGTGGGTTGCTGTGGGGTAACAGTTACTTGATTGAGAAGTAACTAATCTTTTGGAGGAATTCAAGATCCTTCCACTTCCCAATGAAACGCAAATAGCAGGGGGATTCCTTGCCCAGAGGTGGTCAGGTGAGAGTGGAGGGTAGCCTTTATAATGGGAAGGGGACTTCTTACTGAGTTGAATTAGGAGCACCTTCTAGCTTGAAAGCAGAGGAGAGAGCTGGAAGCATTGTGCTCCAGGAAGCCTCTTTGGTTAGAGACCAAAGCCTGGAATCCAGTCTCTGCCATCTGGGGTCACTAGTTCTTTTCTCTTCCCTCAGTAAAGGCAGAGAGGGCTTTCAGTAGAGGATGGCCAGGCTCTACAGCTTTTGCCTTTACCTATACATAGATCTATGCCTTCCAGAGCTCAAGGGCAAGCCGAGTTTCCAGGGACCTGGGGACCAGTCAGTCTCCTGCTTCCCGGATAGATTCCCAAGTGAAACCCATTTCTGCGATTTCCAAGCAAGTTTTCCGAATAAGTCCCTTAGGAACCCAGGAAGCATGGAAGAGGGTTAACTCCTGCCTATTCCGGAGGACCACTGAAGGGGGTGGGGAGACACCCAGGCCAGAGCAGTATCACTGCGGGCCCCGAAGGCTCCACGCTCTGAACGAAGGGTGGCCACCGGGAGCCTCTAGTATTCCTAGGCCTTACAATATCTTTCTCTAGCAGATCTGGGGTGGAGCCAGAGGCTGGGCGAAGGCGGGCAACTGGGTTTAACCCTTTATTTACTTCTAGAGATGAGACCGATGAGAGATATCAAATGACTTCTTCCTGTATTACGTAGGGAGGAGTACGAACCAGCTCTCTGGTTCAGGATTAAAACAGGATCTCGAATCCCTCCGCGAAGACACCCCATCCCACTTTTTTTGCAAATTCTTCCAGAGTGTCAGAGACCCAGGTATTACTCGAGTCCTTAAAAGCTGCCCCTGAGCCCGAAGCCCTGTTGGGGTGCGTGTCTCTTGCTCTTTGGAGCCCTCCCGAAGCTCCTTCTGTTCCCTTTCCCAATTGGGAAGCGGGATAAGAAGGAAAAGTGAGGCGGCCGCAGGGTCTGAGCTGAGGGAAAGGGGAGGGGTAATCTTTCACCATCGCCCTTTTAAGGGATCGCTGGGAGACGAGCGACTCTAGAGGATACAGGTCCCAGTTCGTGCTTCCCCGGGTGGGCAGGAAGCAGGGGATCGTGGGCTGTGCGGTCTCTCTCAAACCGCTACCTCCCTGCTTATCCACTAGCTGCTCGGAAAAGCGACTGTCCGAGGGGGTGTCCCGCGGCGTCCAAGTCCCCCCTCCCCTCCGCTCTAGGTCTCCGCCCCCTCGCGCCGCGGCGGCCTCGCCGCTTTAAGAGCCGGGGTGAAGCGATTGACAAGCAATAAACGCCGAGCGCCGGGCTGCACTGGAGCCGCCTGAGCTAGGGGCTGCCCTGCGTGCAGGTAGGCGACCCCGACCCCCGGGCCAGGACCCACCTCAGGGTCCCTGTGTCCTCCACGTCCAGGCACAGCACTTGGGGTCCTATTCTCTAGGTCCAGTCTCCCCGGGCCCCTTTCCCCAGGTCCGTCTTCTCCTTCTTCACCTACTGCCCCCCCCCCCGCCCTTGGTGCTGCTAGAGAGAAGCAAACCCCACTGCCGCTGACGCTGACCCCCACCCTGCGGTATAGGCTCCAACGTGACGGCGGGCGCCGAGCTGGTGAGCTGTGCGGGGACGGAGGCTGTGCAGATTCGGGGTACTTCGGAGCCCGGCATTACGTAAGAACTGCGCTGCTAGCACTTCCGGGGGGTAGGGGCGCAAAGCAGAGGTTGCGTGGGTCCCTATGGCTCCCCGGTTCTCTTGGGAGGCTAACTCCTCACTCTTCCCTGGGAGTGGGTCCTGGGGCGCGTTTCTTCTCCCTCCTCCCAGGCTGTGGCTGGTCGGGTCGCGGTCGGGGGCCAGGGTTTAGGGCCTGGAGACTTAGGAGGGGGTCGGTGTCAGGAGCAAGAAGCCAGGGTCAGAAAGTTAGGTCAACTAAGGGAGCAGAATGAGGACCGGGTGGGGTACAGCCATTCAGTGACCTCATCTCTCGGTCTCCCGCGGGCGCGCGAGCAAAGAGCCTTCTTTGATGGCTCGCAACACGCCCCCCTATCCCCAGGTCCTAGCGCCCCGCGTGTTAGGGCTGGGCGCTTGGGGCCGGGGCGCGCTGACTGTCGCTGCGCGCAGTCCGCCCGGCCTCTAGAACCCCATCCCTCAGGCTGTTTCCCCCTCCCTGAGACCTGTCGGTCTTCAAAGCGCCTTTGTCAGACCTTTCTCTGCCACATCTCTTTGTATCGGCATTGATGGAGGGGTGGATGGGAGGTCGGAGAAAACCTCCCCTTTTCATCCCGGGTCCACAGCACCTCGGACCCTGAGTCACGTGGACAGCCGGGAGGCAGGGGTGAGAGGGTACCGGGGTCCAGGCTTTGGAAGCCGCGGTGCGAGTTCCCGGACGCCTGGGCCCCGGCCCTTGGCCCGAGGCCAGCCTGGCTTGCCTGGCACTGCTGTTCTCCTGTGGGCACAGCCGGACCCCGCCCTCTCCCAGGCTTGTGTGGGGGTGGGGCCGAGCTAGCTGCTGCCGTGGGAACCGACTCCTCAGGGAGAAAAACCCAGGCAGGCTGGGCAAAACTTCTGGGGACGCGATCCCTCCTGCCTCTCTGCCCACCCTCCACCCTCCACCCTCCACTCTCTAGGCAGGTGGAGATCGGAGTCCTCTGGGTCATCCCTCTGTCAGGGAGAAGGGCGCCAGGTTCCAAGCTGTTAGGACCTGGGATGGGAAAGGAAGGGAACCCTTCTCGATGCTCTCTAGGAACGGGAACAGCAGGGGTTGGCACCGCGGTCGCTGGCTGGCACCAGGGGCCCTAGGCCTGTCTCCCAGCCTGGGTGCTAGCCTCGCCGCTAGCCTCGCAGGGGGCGGGGGCGTTCCTCTTCCTGAAAGCTGCTTCCTTTCACACCTTCAGGGGCGAATCCAGGAGGAAGAGGGGCCGTCCTGCCACCGTTGCAATTTCTGTTATCTGAGCTCAGGTGAGCTGCTCGGGAATGGGAGTAGAGAGGATTTTGTTAAAATCAGGTAGTCACCCCTCTGGGAAGAATCCTTTTTGGGGGAGGGAGGTGAAGTTATGGCTCCCCTACCCCCTGGGCCCAGCGTGCATTCAGTCCTAAAGTGGGCACTGCCAGCTATTTGCCTCCACCCCCCACCCCTGCTGTGAGCCACTGCCTCTGGTTGTCATGGCAACTGGGAATTAAGGTTTTCTCCTGCAGCACTTGCCCAGGAAGGCAAAGGGAGGAGGGCAACCCCCCACCCCGCCACCCCCTTTCCTGAAGAATGGGGAGCCAGCACTGGCTTGGGAGGTCCTGGGATGGGAACTGGGGCTGTGAACTTCATACCTGGTTCTGCCCAGAGCCCCTGCTCTCCTGGCCCCAGCTCTGGGCTAAGAAGGGGGTAAGGAGGTGGGGGGGAGGGGAACCCAGAGAAGCCTTGGGGAGTTATCATCAGACAGATTGACAAATGTTTGTGGAGCATCTGTGTACACCACGTTAGGCCGAGGATCCGGAGGCAAAACACAGCAGCTGTGGTTCTTGACTTCAAGGAGCTTAAAGTCTGGGAACACCTCTCTTTCCTGCTCTTGACTCAAATCCTGTATTCTTATCCAACCCCTCTAAGGAAAGGGGGGGGGGAATACAGATGGCAGGCAGAAACACTTAAATTTTTGTTAAGAGTCTTAAAACTTAGATTTTCTTTGTAGCTCTCTTTATTAGCTTTGTGACCTTGGGCAAATCAATTAATTTTTCTGATCCGCTGTCTCCTCCTCCTTGAAGAAATGGGCACGAAACAGCCGCTCTTTCTGCCTCCCAGGACTGTGGGGTCATCCGTTGCTGGGCAATGTCCTCTTTCCTGCCTTGTTGGCTGATCCCAGGGGAGAGGCCCTTCCTAATTCCTTTCCCATTGCTTTGCCCTTTCACCTTCTCATCCTCCTTCTGCCCCTCCTCCAGGAGAGCCATTTCAGACCCTTGCCAGCCTCGCCATGCCAGTGGCCGCCACCAACTCCGAGACTGGTAAGAGCGGGGAGAGGATGTCAGTTTATAGCAGCGGTTCAGGGGGTAACAGGCAGGATGGGGAGCTCCTGCAGGTGCCTGTAAAAACAGCTACTCCGCGCAGCCACTCAGCCATTCATTCAGGCAGCGGCTATGGCCTGAGCGGGGGAGGGCTGGAGACACAGTGCAACTCACTGCCGTGGACTGGGGGGGGGTACATGTGCTCCCCAGGTTAATGCGCACTCATCAGTGCCGGGGGGGGGGCGGGGGGCGGGGACAACGGCCTGGGGCCTGGCTGGTAAGAAAGTGGCCCCTAGGAGCTGGGCCTTAGAGGACAGCTAGGGTGGAGGGACAACAGTGGCCCATCCTGGGATGAAGAATCCAGGATGCAGGGCCCAGGGGGGTGGAGTAGACCGGCATATGCCACAGAGGGGTGTGTGTGCGGGGGCACAGGAGGCTGTGTGTGGAGAATGCCAGGCCAGGAGGCCTCAACTTGGTTCTGTAGGGTTCGTTGTTTTTTTTTTTTTCTTTTAGGACTTATTTATTTATTTTTAAAGAGACGGGAAGGGAAGAGAAAGAGAGGGAGAGAAACATCAATGTGTGGTTGTCTCTTGCACCCCCTGTACTGGGGACCTGGCCCATAACCCAGGCATGTGCCCTGGCTGAGAATTGAACCAGCAACCCTTTGGTTCGCAGGCTGGCACTCAATCCACTGAGCCACAGCAGCCAGGGCTCTAGGAGGATTTGGGGCAAGGGAATGGGCAGCCCAGACAACCTCGGAAGCCCCAGGAGCAAGCTGCCTAACCTCGCAGGGCCTCGTCTCCTCCCCTGTAAGGAGGCTGATGAGAGACCAGTAAGAGTTACCCTTAGGGGCGATCACAATTATCATGCTGTGCTCTCGGTTATTACCTCTTTAACCTGTGACCTTGAGCCGATCGCGTCCCTTTTGAGACCTAGGTTTCCCCATTTGTAAGATGAGGTGAGGGGACAAGATCAGTGTTCCTAACTTTCGTTGGTCCTGGGGACCTGATGACAGCCATGGGTGCTCATCATAAAACGGGTGCTTCTCGGCACAAAAACTGCATCCCACTCTGGGGTTCGTGGATCCCTGAGGCGCATTCAGGGACCCATCAGGTAAAGTTTCCAGTGCTGGAAGCTAACAGCGCTAACAACTGTAAACTGCTCCGATTTTGCTCTGATTTGTCTGCCTTTCCCACGGCCTAGATACCTCCCTCCCATGCAGCCCCTTGCTCGGGGCCTTGCTGCTGCCTCCGCAAGATGTTCCAGGCCTCCTAACTTGGTTAAAGTGACTGTTCCTCCTCTCTGAGAAAGGGAACCAGAAAAGCGAAGGCTGCTGTCAGGGGGGCAGAGCTAAACTGTGACACTGTTGTCCCCCAGGAAAAGCCTCTTCTTCTCTCAGTGGAGGGATGTACCAATGTCCCCCAGCTTCTGCAGCCTTGGAGGGCTCAGTGCCTCTTCCTCCTGTCCAGCTTGCTGGGCCCCGGGGCCCCCCTGCTCCTGCCTGCCTGAGCCCCACTGTAAGCGGCTTAGGGGTTAATGAAGCCCAACCCTGAGCCTGTGATTAAAGGCCTCACAATCTGGGCCTGCCTGGTAAACTCATTAATTGTGCCTGGCACCGGTGTAGGGAGAGGAAAAGGCCCTGCAGTTTAGCTTCCTTGCTGCAGGCCACTTGATGGGGGCGTAGTGGGGATGAGGTGGGGGACAGGGCAGGGAGTGGAGCCCAGGGGTGTGGCTATGAGGACTCTTGGGGCCCCTGCTTCCCTGGGCTGCTTCTGCCTTCTCAGAACTAAAGGTAGAACAGGAGCAAGTTTTTTAACCTCTTGGAGCCTGCGTTTCCTCTTCTGTAAAAAGGTGATGTGTGATTCAAAGGCTGCGAGTCCCTTAGCCCTTCCTTCAGGCAGCCCTCTGTGCTCACCCTGGGCCGGATTGGCTCCTGGCTTCAAAAACCTAATGGTGCGTTCTGCCCCTTCTCATTTGGTGGCCATTGCCCTTCCTACAGGCCTGAGACAACTTACCCCGCGCCTCTTACTTCCCGGGGACATCAACCTTGGGCCCTACAGAGAGAGAAGCTAGCATGGTCCTTGTCCCGCCCTTCCCAAGGGGTCTACAAGATCATTGTCATTATGGGCGTGGTGGTGGTGTGAGTGTGTTCCTCTTGCAGAGAGACCCCAGTTCTACTTCTAGTAAGGTGGAGGGCCGGGTTTGGGTTGAGAGATATGTGGGTGATGGCAGGGGCCGAGAGCTGAGAGAACTTGCCCCTGGAGCCTCTGGACCTGCAGCCTTGCTCCTTCTTCTCCCTTTACCTAATTTTCTCCTTTCTTTGAATGGGACGGGGGAGGGGAGGCGTAGACTGCTTTCAGGTGGAGCTGTCCCTTTAAATCTCTCTTGCATCCCAGGGTTAATGTCCTGGTGTGTAATCCCTCCTGTTGTCATGGCAACCTGGTGCCACTCCTCAGGGAATTGCTGTCTGGGGGCAGGAGCAGTGCCTGGTGGTGGTCTCCCGGGTACAGGGTTTGAGAGTAATGGAAGCACTGGGCTGGGGTAACTGCCATGTCTCTCTCTCTCCTGCCTATCCTTGTCCCTGCTGCAAAAATGCTCTTACCTGTTCCCTTCCCAGTTCTAAAATGCCTGACTTGCCTACCGGGCAGTACCTCTCACCCAAGGGGAGGGGCTAAAATGGGAGATGGGGGAGGGGGAGAAGCTGCAGCTGAGCTGTGGGGTCCGGAGGGCTTGAGGTACCCTTCCTGGTCACAGTGGTGCCACTGCTCCAGGTGAAGGACTGAGAGTCGTTCTCGGAGGCTTCCTCTGATCCTGAAAGGGTCATTGTAAATGACACTAGGCCTGGAGATGGGACATAGAGCAGACGTTGGAGGGCACGGGGAGGAGGTGGCGTGGGGGTGTTTTAGGTGGAGGACGGACTTTCAGAAGAGAGAGCAGGGACAAGGTGGGGCCAAGTCCCCACCCGCCTGCGGTTTCCTGCAGCGAGGCTGTGAGGGGACTGTCTGAGCACCGCCCCAGATCCGAAGGGGCAGCAGGCGTAACCGCCTCGCCTCTCTCAGCCTCCTCCTGCCCACTCCCACAGGCTGGTACTAAACCCGCTGTGGGGGTCAGGGGCTGGCGTCGGGCCGGGGTAGGATGGGACTCTCTCTTTCCCACCGCCCCCGCCTTTGGCCAATCAGGAAGGCGGTCAGGGTGGCTGAGCCTTGTTATTGGTTAATCCTGCAGAGGGCGCTTCCCGAGTCCCGCCGCCTCCAGCGCTGCCAGGTTCGGGCTCGGAAGGCGGCCCAAAGCGCAAGTGAAGGTTGGCTACTCCCTGAGCCCGGGGCCGGGGATGGGGGACAGCCATGGCGGGCAGCCCAGGTAGCCGGGTTTCCTTGGAGGGTATATCCCTGGTCTCCTCTGAGGAAGCCGACCTCCAGAGGGAAGGTAGGGAAAGGTGGGCCGGAGGCTGGGGGAAAAGCTGGCACTGGGAGGTTTGGGGGCATCTGGAGAGTGTGCCCTGGGCACGGGCTTTTTGGAGCCTAAGGGTCTGGCGGGACGGCCCGTCCGGAGAGCTGTCCTAGGCAGATGGCGCCAACTCCCCTGGCTCAGTCCTTCCGCAGGGCGGGCAGGCTGGGGAGTCAGTGTGTGCGGGTAGCTGGGGAAGGCGGACCCCAGGATACCCTGCAGAGTGGGAAGGGTTCGTGCCCTGGCCTCTTTCCGAGCCCGCTAAGGGCCTTGCAGGTCTCTGACTAATGCTGAGCCCAGGCTGGGGCAGGAAGGGTCTGGGGGACAGGCTAGGATGTTGTTTTCTGGAAAAGGTGGGGTGAAGGAGCAGGGAAGGGGATGGGAGTCCAGGAGCCCCTGAGCCATGTCTGCCAGTGGCAGTTGCAGTGCCCCCTCCTCCCATCCCCATTCCTTTTTGGAGGGGGGCCACTGACAAGAGCCCTAAGAGGTGCCGGGGACTGTACCCACCCCTGCTCCTCCGTGGCTGGGGAGCTGTTATGCAGATGTAGGCGTGGGTGGCAGGGTGGCAGATTAATGATACCCCCTGCCCATCTCTGCCCCCAGCTGGGCACACTCTGCTTCTCCTTTCCTCCCCCAGAACCTGCCACAGCTGGGAGCTCCTTCCCCTGCTCGTGGGTGATTCTAACACCTGCCTCAGATCTCAGCAGCCGCTGCTGGGGCCCAGCATCAGGTGTTCTCATGTCCTTGGTTGTATCCTGTCCCAGGCTGAGGGTTTGCTGATCCCCGTGATGACTGCGTCTGGCTTCTGTCACCGGGTGCCCACAGCCATCCCAGGCTCCAGTGTCCCTGTTTTCCCAGCCCCTGCCATTGTTCTGGGCCTCTGCTTTGGCTTCCTATGATCTATATTAATTGCTCGATTATTATAGATCATTGTCAAAACGGAAGCGCCTGTAGATACCATCTAATCCCACCCACCCATTATATAGGTGGGAAAGACTAAGGCCAGTGAGAGACAGTGATTTGTGCAAAATCACGCTGAGTTAGTGGCACATCTTCTACCGGATGCTGTGTAGGCCCTGGCTTCCTGCATGGCTGTCTGCTTGACCCTAGGCCTGCTCTCAGGGACACGCTCCAGAACCGTCTCTCCCATTCCTGAGTCCTTCTGGTGCAGGCGGCTGAGTCCTGGGACTAAAGCCTATGCACAGGTTGTGTGAGGAGCCTGTGGTTCTCTGGTTCAGGGCGGAACCTGGAACCTGATGCCTGCTTCCCTTTCTCATCAGAGTCTACTTCCTGCTGCCTGGAGCTACCCACCTGCCCAGGCCGGCATTACCTAGGGCCTGTAGAGCAGGCCAAGGAAACGCCCTGCTCCCTGCGAGAGCCTCTGCCTCGGGAATTCCCATGCCTGGCAGGGAGGGGAGTGCCGCTGGGCAGGAACTGTCTTCTGCGGGACGTGGGGTGGGAGGGGTGGAGTTGTGGTGTTTTGGTCTCTTGTGCCCACTTGGCACCTGTGTGTGTGTCTCACTGCCTGTCCCTTCCCCCCAGCCATGCAGCAAGTCTTGGACAACTTGGGATCCCTCCCCAATGCCACAGGGGCTGCAGAACTGGACCTGATCTTCCTTCGAGGCATTATGGAAAGTCCCATAGTAAGATCCCTGGCCAAGGTATAGTGCTCTTGGGGGCGGGCACAAGGACACTGTGTCTGGGGAGGCACGCAGGGCCCCGGGAATGGGGCAAGTGGCACCGGAGATCCCCGGAGGGGCGTATGCGTGAACTTCAGCGTCCAGATGATGAATCTGAGTGACCCTGGGTAGGGGGGAGAGCCCTAGGCATGGCTGGTGACTGTGAGGACATGCCCCTGTGGATGTCTCTTGGTGACTGCTGGCAGGGGGGTGAGCATGCCTGTGTACCGGAATCTCCAGAGTCCATCCTTCCTATTACTCTGTCGTTGGGCATTTTGTGCAGCTGTTTTTACAAGGTCAACTGCCATGCGTCGGGTGGGGAAGAAACTCATTAAAAGAGAAAGTTATAAAACAATTGGGTAAGAGCAGTGATGGGGCAGATGCAGTAGGCATTTTGGAGTGTGAGGTATAGATGCCTAACACAGCCTCGGCTAGGCAGGGGAGGCTTCCTGGAGGAGGGGCCATTTAAGCTGAGTCTTGAAGGATGAGGAGGAGGGAGGGGGAGGACATTCTGGGTCAGGGGAAGCTTGAGCTCAAGCAGAGGTGAAAAAGGGCCAGAAGTACACAGGCGGCCGGTGTGAGGCTGGGGCTTTAGGTGCGAGACAGGGAGCGGAGGGCACTGGGACTGTGCTTAGGCACCTGGGCATTGCTCTGTGATGTCCTGTGAGAGACGTGGAGCCTTTCCTGGGTTTTGAGCAGGGGTGTGATGATGGCATGTAGGCAATTTAGGAACATCCGTCTGGCAACCACGTGGAAGATAGTCGGAGGGTCATAGCTGAAGCTGGAGAGGCCAGAGTTGGGGTGGCTCTGAACTAGGCATCTGGAAACAGGGCTTGAGGGAGGGGAAGGTGAAAGGAATATTTAGGAAGTACGTTGGCAGTACCTGGTGTTGGGCATGGAAGGGGAGGGGAGGGGGCGGCAAGGCACCCTGCATTCTGTGGAGGGAAAGTGTTCTGCTGCCTTAGACTGAGAGCACCAGCTTGGGGGAGGGGGGAGGGGCGGATGAAGAAGGAGCCCGCCCTCCTGAGGCGGAGGAGAGGAGGGAGAATGGTGTCAGAAGCCAGGCTCCAGGCTGTGTGTTTCACGGAATCCTGCCCAATTGCTCAGATTTCCCAGCGGGGGTGGGGCAGTTGTCTGCTGGGAATCAGGGATCCAGGGTACAGCAGGAAGGTGGGAGGGATTTGGAAGTAAAGATTCAAGTAATCACTGAAGGGGAAGAGAGAGGGAACCCATCAAAGCCAGAGAGCAGGACTGACAGGGCCTAGACTGCCTGTCGCAGGTGCTGGGTTTGGGGCGGGGCGCGGGGTGACTCAGTCCAGGGAGCAGAGATAAAGGGAATGGCTGAGCTGCAGGACTTGTGCTGGATGGCGCTGCGGGAGGCTGAGAGGCAGGGCCAGTGTGAAGGGGACAGGTGAGAGCAGCTCAGAGGGCCACCTCTGGAACCCAGACTGGGAGGGATGGGGAGGGGACCAGGGGGAGGCACAGAGTCAGGGAGAAAAGGCAGGTGAAGGCCTGGGGTGCTCTGCAGTCACCGTGTTTGGGGAGAGAGTGATTGCTGGAAGAGGAAGAGGCCGCGCAGAGAGAGGGAGGGGAGGTGAAAGGTTTCCAGGGAGGGCAGCTCTGGAGGATACCATGACAACCCAGGGTGCGGGCGCTGTGGACAGGAGGTCGTGGGTGCTGAAGAGGTCCAGGAATGAGGTCTTGGGTGCAGGTGAGTGGTCTGCACAGACATTGGAACCTAGGGGTATGGCGGGCGGGGGCGGGGACGGAGAGGACTGAGGCAGTTCCGGGGTCTTCAGTGACAACCTTCAGTCGGGGCAACCAGGGAGTCGGCGGTGACCGCCATGGTTGGGGGGGGGAGGGTGCTGTAACAGGGGAGGGGGTGACCGGGGTCGGGGGTGGCAGGCCCTGGCGTTGGGGTGTGGAAGGGGACCAGGCCTCACTTGAGGGAGCGAACTTCTGCAGGGGACGCTGGGTCCCTGGGTCACAGCCTGGGAAAATGCTATGACCTATGGAACGGAGGAGACCCGGAAGGCTGTTCACAGGGGGAGATGAAATGTGTGAGAGGCTTAACAGTGGGAGGATCGGGGGAAGGGAACACTGAGCAGATTGGGTGAGACTGGCGAAGGGCAGGCTGCTCTCCACTTGGTAGTCGGGGGCTGTATTCATGCATTAAAAGTGAAACTGCGGAATTATGCATGTTTCAAATAGGGAGTGTGAGCTCCATGAGGACAGGGAAGTCTCTTTGGATCTCTACTGTGTTCTGAGAGCCTAGAACAGTGCCTGGAACATAGTAGTTGCTCACTGAATCTTTGTCAAATGACTGAATACAGAAAAGCGTGGGAAATAACAGCAGATCTCTGAGAGCCCAGCTCCAGGATGTGGATGCTGGCCATATTTGCTATTGCTCTTTCTTTTTAACAAATAAAAAGTATAATACAGTTCCTACCTCTCCCCCCTTCCTTCTTTCCACCGCTTTCCCTCCCCACAGGTAACTACCACTGACTTGAACTTGTTGGTGTTAATTAACGATACTATAGCCCTGAATGGCATATCTTGCCTATGTATGTGTTTAGATGTCAACAATGTGCCCCATTACATGTTTTTAAACTTTATATAATAGATTGAGAATGTAAAGGTGCTTACATTTTTGAGATTTCTAGTTCATGTAAGTAGTACCATTGTTGACATAAGTATGGATATAGATAGGTTTATTTTAAACACTGCTTGGTACTCCGTTATGTGTGTGGAGCCTGGTGTCTTTATTCGTTGGTTCCCATACTGAAGGGCAGGTCCTTTGTGGCTGGTTTGCCCCCATTAAGGACAGCGCTGCATGAGGATGTGAACCGCCTCACGTCCATCTGCTGCTGCCGGTGGGTGAAAGTTTCTCCAAGGTGGGCCCTTGGCAATGGAATTGAATATGTGCATTTCGAATCTCACCATCTGTAACCTTCCAAGGCTGATTTCCGAGTTGGATTTATGCGACCACATCATCTCTGGGTCACTTTAGCTATTGGTTCAACAGTGAGACAGCTCGTGACACAAGGAGAGTCATTCCGATGACGGAATCTCAGGGTGGAGCGGTCCTCTGGCCGGCCGCCTCCGAAGCATGAGCCCCCTCCGCAGCCTCCGCCTCTGGTGGCTTTGTCTAATCGCTCGGACAGCGCGTCAGGGGTGGGGCTGCTGGAAGGACTGCCCTGTCGCCCGCTCAGTCGTTCAGTCACTCAGTGATCCGCCATCTATGCAGCAGGTGTCTGCTGTGTGCTCACCGAGTACCAGGCACAGTGCTAGGGCTGCGGCGATGGGCCGTCAGAAGGTTGGTTCTTCTGGCGAAGCCCAAGCCTGCCATCTCCTCCCCTGCAATGTCCTCATCCTGGAACCTAATGGAGAGGTTACCAGGGTGCTGTGTCAGACTCTAAATAAACGGCCTTCTCCTGTCTGAGCGCAGGAAAGTCCCCCGTCTCTGCAGGTGTCACGCTTTGCAATGTAACTGAGCCGCTTCTCACACCAGCAGGCAGTCCGCACTCTTCAGTCTGGGCTTGGCCACAGGACTTGCTTTGGATAACAAGACCTACTTCTTACTCCTTGTCACCAGCTTTAGTGATGATGTCTATAGCAGAGTATTTCTAAGCTAAGAGACAAACTACTTTTATCCAAGGTCCAGCTGTAAAAACGTGGTGAAGTGGCCCAGAAACCCACAGGAACAGAGTCAAAGTGGAACCACATGTGGTAGCTACTGATCTTTTCCTCTAATCCTTGTGGAGTTGGGCTTGACTCTCCTCTCTGACGTGTGGCAGACAGCGTGGGAAGGTCCAGGCTGGTTAGACCTGGGACCAAGGAGGGGCAGGTCCTGAGGGGACAAACGCAGGGAGTGAAAGGCTCCGGAGGGAAGTCAAATCTGGCAGAGAGATGATAAATCCAGGGGTTTGGCCGCAGGCAGCAGGTGGCTGGCAGGTGATTGGCCGCTGGGAAGGCCGACTCGACTTGGATCCAGCAGCAGGTGTTCCGACAGGGGAGGCTAAGGTGAGGAATCCAAGGCAGGTGGCATTCAGGAATTCAGGCAAACTGTTATCAGCAGGCACAGCTGCCAGCTGGGAGGCCTATGAACTAATCCGCAGGAAGTAATTAAGAAGAAAGAACACAGGGTTTGGAGTCAGAAGATTCACCTGCTGGCTCTGTGGCTTTAGTACATCTGACAACTCTGAGCTCCAGTTATTTCTTCTGAGAAGTGGGGATAATGATGCCAGTCTCTCAGAGTCGTGGTGGGGAGAGGTGGGGAGGTCGTGGAGGTGGAGGTGCTTTTGAAATCGTAAAGAGTTGTTATATGTAGTCTTAGCCACTGGGCTGGAGCTCACGGGAAGGACTCCGCCCCTGGGGTGGGGGGCAGGGAGAGAGAGGTGGCAAAGCAAGGCAGGGCCTTGGAAGAAGGAGAGCCCAGGGTGAGCCACTGAGAGGCTCTGACCAGCAGACATGACGAGCAGAGGCTACAGCGGTGGGGACCGCAGGGAAGCAGTTAGCCTTCGCTGTGTACCAAACCACCTCAGGGCAGAGCGGCCTAAAACAGTCCTCATTTATTTCTCATGGTTTTGTGGATCGGTTGGGCAGTTTTGCGGGTCTGGGCTTGCCGAGTCGGGGCTGGGGGCTCTAGCATGGCCTTGCTCACAGGTCCTCTGTCTCAGCCGGGAGGACGCAGCGCCTCGGGTGGCCAGGCCTCTCATCCTTTAGGAGGGCGGCCCTGGTTTCTTCGCACGGCAGGCTCAGCAACAAGGACAGGCTCCAAATGCCAAGCACTTTCCAAGCCTGCACTTGCATCACGGGTGGCGACGTCCTAGTGGCCGAAGCAAATCATAGGGTCAGGTACGGACTGAGGAGGGGGTGACATGACTTTATGGCACATCGATCTCTGGGACTTCTTTCAGTTTTCGGACTATTTAATTATGAGCCTAGGCTTCCAGTGAGAATTCCCTGTCCTCAGCCAAGATCAGAGAGGTTGGAGTGGGAGGGCAGAGGGAGAAGCTTTTAAAGAATTGGCAGGGTGGCATTTCTGCATTGGCAGTTGGCTTATGGTTCGAGAGCAGTGGCTGGTGTGCCTGGGTTCAAGTCCAGGCTCTCCCTTAACTAGCTGTGAACCTGGCTGAGCTTCTGGTCTACAGTGAACGTGAGTCCCTGCTGTGCTAAAGATGATTTCCAGAGCATAATTAAACAAATTGTTACCATAGAAATTCAAAGCTACTCTGCTGGTTGCGGAGCCTGGTGCCTCTAATACCGCAGTGTGCGCTGTACCAAGAATGTACTTGCTAAAAATAGGGGCCCAGGTAGCAACACCACAGCTGTGGGCGACCTCAGAGAGTGAGGGCGCTTTGGGGTCCCTGAGGCACACTGCTCAGTTGTACACGGCTAAGGAATGTATTGTACGCATCCGAGTCTCATACTTAATTGGGAAAATGACCTTAGTGTTGCTAACCTCAGGGTTGTTGTGACTTTTCAATGGGATCATCTTTTGCAAATGTGATGCTTCGTCATCGGACGTACACGCACCCCATGACCCAGATTCTGTTCCTGGGAGACGTTCTCACGTGTGCACCAGGAGACACAGACTAGAATGTTCATGTCAGCGTTGTTCGCAATGGCAAAGACCTGAAGTGACCCAGGCGCTTCCCCAAGAGTGAGGAAGTGAACGAAATGTGGGGCAGTCACACAGTGGAGCATAATACAGCCATTAAGATGAATGACCCAATGCGATGTGGGAGAAAAGAATGAATTGTAGCGAAACAGTGTTAAGTGAAAAAGAATATTGAATGAAATACATGGGTGGGCAAAAGTAGGTTTACAGTTGTTTGTGTGGAAATAGACACACAGGTTATGATTATTACAGTAGCTTTATTAACTCAAAAGAATGTCATAATGGCACAGTCCACTTAGGTACAATCTTGTGAGTGCTCAAACTGCTGGCCTTCATTATTATTTTTTTTTAAAGATTTTATTTATTTTCAGAGAGAGGGGAAAGGAGGGAGAGAGGGAAGGAAACATTGATGTGCAGGGGAGGGGGGAGGAATATCAATCAACAATCGGTTGCCTCTTAAAAGCCCCCAACTGGGGACCTGGCCCACAACCCAGGCATGTGCCTTCACTGGGAATTGAACTGGTGACCTTTCGGTTCACAGGCCAACGCTCAATCCACTGAGCCACACCAGCCGGGTCCCAGCCTTCGTTCTTGTAGCCTACTTGCTAATACTAAAGCACACTTTTGTAAACCTCCTTTGCCAATGCCTGTTTGTTGTCTCCTATGTGACAAAGGAGAGTAAATTTTAGCAAAGTATTAGTGGGTAAAAAATAGTAACTGAAATATTTTAATATTAACTGAAAAATATATTAAGTGAAAAAATTAATATTAAGTGGAATTTTATTAATTTAAATAACGTTAGGTGAAAAAACTCTGACCCCCAGAGATTGTATATGTAGAGTAATTTCCCCTTTTTGAGAGTAAAAATAACTAAAAGCAATTTTCATTTTAGGAATATGTAGAAAACAAGTAGATACAATAAGACTGTGTAAAATGGGAAGCTGGAGCCCAGTGAACACAGGGACTCAAGACAGTGCTTTCTGTGGGTGGATGGGGGTGGGGAGGAGCACGTGCTTAGACGTAGGATAGAGTCATGACCCTCCTCTATGGTTTGAGTGGTAGATCCTTAAATCCTTGTTATATTATTACAAAAATATCCAATTTAATACCAACTAACTAAAAGGAAGTCATGCACAAACTAATGATGAGAACATACCATGAACTAAAGCTACGACTAATCCAATTCTGAGTTTCCAAAGTCCCAGAAACACTTGTTGCAAGTTGTGATACAAACCGGGTGTTCTCAGCGCTGGTCAATCAGCTGTTTAGATCAGCCTGCTAGAGTGTTTCTTTTGTATTACAATGATTAAATGTTTAAAGTTCTGTTTCCCCTGGGCCAGGAAGATTGAGCTTGGAGAGCTATGCTTTTACAGCTGTAGGTGAGACGTCCAGGGGCAGCCCCAGGAGGTGGAATGGAACAGCCTGGGGGAGGGGCTGTTAAATCAAGGATGGGAAGTAGTAGCTTGGGAGGAGCCCTGGCTTCCCACGCGGCCAGGTGAAGGCTCCTGGGGAAATTTGTCTTCCCCATCAACGGGAGCAGAAGATGCTGAAGCTAAAATGGGTGACCTGTATGCTCATATCCTGTCCCCTGGGTCAGAGTCAGCTCCTTTGTCCTGAAAGAGCCCTGCCAGGGTGATCGTGGTGATGTGGTCGCATGCCTGAGTCACCCTTGAAACACAGTTCCTGGGCTCTGGACTCCCAGCATTGACCTCTATGCACAGTCGGGAAGCTCTGTGGGCTGTGCTGAGCTAAATGACAGAGGATCACATAGAGCTTGGTGGAAACCTCCTGGGCATGTCCTTGCTCTCTAACTTCTGAGGAACATCGAAGCACAATGGCCTTGGATGCTACCCCTTTTCGCCTTTGACTGTTTTTCCCACAGGTGCACTCTGTGCAGCCAGACTGTGGGAGTCAGTCTGGAACGCTGCCCACCTGCTGGACGATGGTGTAGGTGACGGTGGGGCCAACATGCCTCCCCATGGGGGACGCTGTTCTCCTGCCTGTTTGGGGAAGAGAAGGCAGAGAGGGGCCAGCCTTTAATGAGCACCTGCTGCGTGCCAGGCACTGGGTCCATCCCTCCAAATCCTGAGTACCCTTATGAAGTGTTATTGAAATCTCCCCATCTCTTGGGTTTGAAAACTTTCTAATTATGGAAATTTATTTTTTTTAATTTTAAAAGAGTTTATTTATTCATTTTTAGAGACAGGGGAAGGGAAGGAGAAAGAGAGGGAGAGAAACATCAATGTGTAGTTGCCTCTTCTGAGCCCTCGGCTGGGGACCTGGCCCGCATGTGTCCTGACTGGGAATTGAACTCGTGACCCTTTGATCCATGGGATGATGCTCAAACTAACTGAGCCACACGGGCCAGGGCTTCCTAAGCATTTTTAAAAATTTTTATTTTTCAATTACAGTTTGCATTAAATATTATCTTGTATTAGTTGCAGGTGTACAGCATAGTGGTTAGACACCATGTACTTTACAAAGTGGTTCCCCATGTTTCAAGTACCCATCTGACACCATAGATAGTTTTTACAGTATTATTGCCTATATTCCCTGTGCTGTAACTTCTATCCCTGTGACCATTTTGCAGCTGCCAATTTGTACTTCTTAATCCCTTTTCCTTCTTCACCCAGCCCCGCAACCCCCTTATGGTTTTTAATAGATGGTATTGCGACAGCTGGAGAGTTGATTGGAAAGACATCAAAGTAGGTCCATAGCTCGTACCATACATCAGAATAAACCAAGCAGATCAGAGATCTAGATGTGAAAGAATAAACCTTACTGTCTAGAAGGAAACATGGATCTGGGGCAGGGCGGGGAGGGGGGAAAGTCTTTTCTAAAAACTATGTCTCAAAATTCAAATTCATAAAATATTAATAAACTTACTTATGTTAAATATTTATATTTTGCATTGCCAAAGAACTATAAGCAGAGTCAACAGACAAATGACAACGGGGAAAAATATCTGCCAGTGATATCACAGATAAAGGGCTTCTCTTCCCTACATAGAGGACATTTAAAAAATGGGAAAGGAGAACAAATCAAGGCCTGATAGAAAAATTGGCAGGAGACACGGACAATTCACAGAAAACGACACACAGATGGTCCTGAAACATATGAAGAGATGCTCAACTTCTCTCAGGAAGCAAATTGCACATTAAGCCCCACTGGGAGATCGTTGCTCGTCCCTGTGACTGGCAGACGTTTCAGGGTTTGATCACATTCTCCAGTGGCGAGGCTTCCGGAAAGTCTCTCCCCCAGGGCTCGTGGGAGGGCAAAGCCGCCCAAGCTCCATGGAGGGGAGTTTGTCCAAACCACGGACGTATTTACTGTTTGACCCAGCAAGAATTCTAGATATTTACACGGAAGATCTATCTCCTCCACAGGTTCTAAACAGCTGTGCCGGCGTTATTCACTGCAGCTTTATTTACTGTATTAAAACATTAGAACAACCTATATACCTGTGGAGACTGATTGAATAAGTTATGGTACTCCAAACATACAATAGGTCAAATACAGTAGTAGTAATAATAATAATAATAGATCAAGTAGCATAGAGTGGTTTCCAGAGCACATTAAGTTAAAAACCAAATAATAAATTAAACCAATTAAACAAACAAAACCCCCAAAGTATCAAAGAGTGTATATAGCATTCTACCTTTTGTGTAAGGGTCTAAAATTAGGATTTGGGGGTGGCGCGATGCCCGGGGGGAGGGGGTGGGGCACTGTTTGGTGCCTGGGCTCTGGGGAAGCATCAGGCTTTACCTGTTCCGCCCCCACACCCAGGCCCACGAGAGGCTGGAGGAGACGAAGCTGGAGGCTGTTCGGGACAACAACCTGGAGCTAGTGCAGGAGATCCTGCGGGACCTGGCGCAGCTAGCGGAGCAGAGCAGCACAGCCGCTGAGCTGGCCCGCATCCTCCAGGAGCCCCACTTCCAGGTTTCCTCCCAGATGGGGTGGCAGCTAGGGCAGGACGTTGGGGGAGGGGCCGGCAGGGAGTTGGAGGTGGGATGGGAAGGGACCGCAGGGCACATCTGCAAGGTCCCTCCTCTTCCCACCACCGCTGCAGTCTCTTCTGGAGACGCATGACTCTGTGGCCTCAAAGACCTATGAGACACCGCCCCCCAGCCCTGGCCTGGACCCCACGTTCAGCAACCAGCCGGTGCCTCCCGACGCTGTGCGCATGGTGGGCATCCGCAAGACGGCTGGAGAGCATCTGGTGAGGGTGCTGGGCAGGGCCAGAGGTGGGGAATGGAAGTGGGGATTGAGAGTAACCAGCAGGGGGCAAACGCGGTCTGGAGAGGGCTGAAGACCCAGGCGGGTTCAGCTTTGCCCAGGGATCGGCCGTGCAGGCCCAGGAGGCCGCAGGCACTGTGCCCATGAGCTGCATGGGTACCTGTGCAAGGACCCTCATCGTTCTGCCCGCCTTGCCCCCTTTACTGCTCCTGTAAGCGAAGAATTGGGCAGAGGATGGAAGAGGAGAAGGCTGTAAGGGAGGGGTGGGAGCGTGGATGGAAAGGGGAGTGTTGGGGGGTCCCATTCAAAGATTCTGATGTGGAGCAGTTGGGGCCTTATCTTACGCACCCTCCGTCGCCCAGGGAGTGACGTTCCGTGTCGAGGGTGGCGAACTGGTGATCGCGCGCATTCTGCACGGTGGCATGGTAGCTCAGCAAGGCCTGTTGCACGTGGGCGACATCATCAAAGAGGTGAATGGGCACCCGGTGGGCAGCGACCCCCGCGCGCTGCAGGAGCTCCTGCGCAATGCCAGCGGCAGCGTCATCCTTAAGATCCTGCCCAGCTATCAGGAGCCCCATCTGCCCCGCCAGGTGAGTCCCTCCGCCAAGGTCTCCATCTAGCACAAGGCCTAAGGGGTAGCTGAACCTCCTAGCTGTCAGGGTCACAGGCCTGGGGTGGCAGCAACTCTTCTGCCAGCCCTGCAAAGCAAGATTGGGGGTGGGGCCTGCAGCTGGGGGTGGGGTGGCGCGTGACCCAGCCTCCTACAGGCATCTGCTTCTGTGCACGCGCTCTCTCTTCCCATTGGCCCTGGCCTTGGGCACTCATGTGCATGTGCAAGGGATGTGCGCGTTCAAGGCCTATGGTGCCTGAGAGTACAAGTGAGTGCCTGTATTGTGTGTAGCCGTCTGCATGCCTGTGTGTCTGTGGGTGCGCAGAGTCAGAGAGCGGGGTGTCCTGCACAGCTGCCTCCTGGCTGGTGGATCATGGAGGTCTGGCTGCTTTGCTCACTTCTCCTATTGGCTCACCAGAGCCCCTACCTCCAAGGGGAGGGTGCTTGGATGGAGAGATTCTGCCTCAGGTGTCAGGGTCTCCTACTTGACCCAGAGATCCTGGCTCCTTGGTGGGCGGGGCCAGGGGCCAGGGCCCCAGGCCCGAGCAGATCCCCATCCCTCTGATTGAGTCCTTTTGTTCTAGATGCAAAGAGAGGCTGGTACCAGGGAGGCAGGCCTGAAGGCATCAAGCCTTTAAAGGCGCAGTGCCAGGGCCTCATCTTCGTGAGGGAAGTGGGGGAGGGTGGACTGTGTGACACCACTCTCCACAGCAGGTGGGAGCTGTGAGGGGGGGACAGGAGAGGAGGGCACATGCACTCTAGCCTTGCCCTGCTTCTTCCCTTGCCCCTCCCCTGCTCTCTGGTCAGGTATTTGTGAAATGCCACTTTGACTATGACCCGGTCCGAGACAGCCTCATCCCCTGCAAGGAAGCGGGCCTGCGCTTCAACGCTGGGGACTTACTCCAGATTGTAAACCAGGATGATGCCAATTGGTGGCAGGTGAGCCCTGGGTGCCCACGGAGTCTCTCCAGGTGTGGTGTGCGGGGGAGGCGAGGGCTTGGGGGGTGTCCTCTCACTGAGGCCGAGCATTGCCCGCGTCCATTTCAGGCGTGCCACGTGGGCGGAGGCAGTGCAGGGCTCATCCCGAGCCAGCTTCTGGAGGAGAAGCGGAAAGCCTTTGTCAAGCGGGACCTGGAGCTGACCCCCACCTCAGGTATAAGCCCCCGCCTCCCAACCTGGGGCATGACGGTGTCCCAGCCTGGCCTTACTTGCCCATCTCTTTGCGGCCAGGGACCCTATGCGGCAGCCTTTCAGGAAAGAAAAAGAAGCGAATGATGTATCTGACCACCAAGAATGCAGGTGCGTGTGGGAGGCCCCCTCCCCCGTCCTCCTTTAACATGACATGTCCCCTCTCTGCCCTCACCAATGACTTGTGCGTCTGCTGTCCTTGTTCTGATGCTGCCAGTCTTGTCCCCAGGCCCTGCCCAGTTTCTTCCTGCTGCCCCTGGCCCGTGAGAACCCAGCCCCACCCCTTTCACCTGATGAACGGCCTGATGAGCAGTGCCATCTCCCTGTGTCCAGAGTTTGACCGCCATGAGCTGCTCATTTATGAGGAGGTGGCCCGCATGCCCCCATTCCGCCGGAAAACCCTGGTGCTGATCGGGGCTCAGGGTGTGGGTCGGCGCAGCCTGAAGAACAAGCTCATCATGTGGGACCCAGACCGCTATGGCACCACGGTGCCCTGTGAGTGGGAGTTGGGCCCTGCTGGGTGGGGAGCAGGAATCTGGAGTGCCCTGAGGGCCAGCTCCGGGTCCACTGGGCATAGGCATGGGTACCACCTCAGGTAGCCCTTTTGGGTGATAGGCGTGGGACAAGCGCCCTCTGTGGGCTGATGGGGGAATTGCAGGCTGGGAAGGGTTTTGCAGGAGCTGTCCTTTGAGCCTGTGGTCAGGCGGGCTGAACTAGCCTTGCCTTTCCTCCTCTCATGTTTTACTTGTGAAACACCCAGCTGGGCATCCATGTGAAACAGGGCAATGAGCTGTGTGTGGCCTTGTGAAAGACAGGGCTTCCTGGGGACAGAATCTATTGGGGTGGCAAAAGCTCCTGCTTCCTGGAAGCAGGAACATGAATGCTGACCCCAGATCAGCTTGGCCTTGCTGTGTGGCTGCTCACGGTCCTCTCTGGGCCTCAGCGCCCCATCTGGGAGCACTGGGTTGGAGGAGTGGCCTCTGAAGTGTCTCCCAATACTGAAGCCTAAGTCTCGTGTGTACGCCTGTGGTGAGGGTGAAGGCCCGAGGTGTGTGGGCTGCGTGACATGGAGAACACGCGCACGTGTGTCTGAGGTACAGTGGCTTGCCTGTGCTCATTCAGCCCCTCCTCCTCTGTAGACACATCCCGGCGGCCCAAGGATTCAGAGCGGGAAGGCCAGGGCTACAGCTTTGTGTCCCGAGCGGAGATGGAGGCTGACATCCGTGCTGGGCGCTACCTGGAACATGGTGAATACGAGGGCAACCTATATGGCACACGTATCGATTCCATCCGGGGTGTGGTTGCTGCCGGCAAGGTGTGCGTGCTGGATGTCAACCCCCAGGTACCGTCCGGCCCGCTCTTTCCCAGCCTGCCCGGTGTGCCCTCTGGGTGCTCTGATTCCCTCAGTACTCCTCCCGGTGTCTCCACGCACTTGGCTCCCAAGCACCCCCATGTAACCCCTCAACTACTGCTAGGGACCAAGCCCCCCGAGACGCTCTTTTTCAGCCTCCCCAACCCCCCACTCCTCTGGTTTCCTCTAGCTACCCCATCCCCAGATACTTGCCAGCTGTTCCCCTAATATTTGTCTTCAGGACTGATGTCCCAGAATCCCAGGTACCCTTTTCTCATTCATTCCCAGGTGCCTGTCCTCACCCCCATCACCCCAGATGTAAGTGGGGATATACTCCTTGACCCTTCTCTCCTTCTGCAGGCGGTGAAGGTGCTGAGAACGGCTGAGTTTGTCCCTTATGTGGTGTTCATTGAGGCTCCCGACTTTGAGACCCTTCGGGCCATGAACAGGGCTGCACTGGAGAGTGGGGTGTCTACCAAGCAGCTCACGGTGAGGGGCTCTGAGGTGCAGTGGGAGGGGTCTGATGGCTGCCTGGGGTGGGAGGGGGAAGACCGGAGCTGATGAAGGGGAGAACGGGGTGTTGGGAGGGGGAGTCACCCATCCAAGGCATCAGCGAGGGAGGACTTGGGGTTCCTGCTGTATAGATGTGGAAGTGGAGGTCTGAGCGAGGAAGTGAAGTGCTCAGATTCTCATAGAGTCAGGGACATGGCTAGTCAGAGGCGCAGGGGCTTCTGTCAGGCCCACTGCTCCGTCCACTCTGCAGGGATAGAGTGCCGAGCAAAGGAAGCCCAGAGGGCCCATGGGAGATCCCAGGGCCGAGGCAGGCTAGGTGGGCTCAGGGCTGTTTACAGCTGGGGGAAAGGCTGAAGGGAGGGAGGGAGACAGAGGCTGGCGGGCTGGCTGGAGGGATGAGTTAGCATTAGGGAGGGGGCAGCGCTGGGAGGAGAGGCTGCAAGTCAGGTGTTGCAAGACTCCAGGGCACCCCACTCCTAGGAACCCCTTGGAGCATCCTTCCCCAAGAGGTATAAGGGTCTGGCAGAGCTCTGAGCGCCGGTGGCCTCTGCTGGCCATATCTGGTACTGCAGCTCCCAAGGCCAGATCACAGCATTGCTTAGGCCTTGGAGAGGCTGCCTGGGGTGGGCTCCCCTCTGCGGCACGTCCCCTGGCCTGCTGCTGCTGCGGCACAGCTGGGCCAGCCCGAGATCCTGCCTGGGCTTATTTAAGCCAATGTTCAAGTTCCCTTCCCACCCCTGCCTGGCCAGCTTGGACTGAGTCTGGGGTGGGGCTTGCCTCCAGCACCGGTGTGTTACCCTAGATCCCCACGTGGCACGTGCCTCTTAGGCTGCTTAGGCACCGGCGCCTAGTCAGACTGGAGGGAGCACTGGCTTTGGAGTTAGGCACTCTGTGTAGACACTGGCTGGCCGTGTGAGCTCTCTGTACCTCAATTAAACGAGGAATTGAGTTGTGCCTTGCGGAGCTGTAGTGGAGATTACATGGGTTATAAAGAGCTTAGTGCCCTGTCTGGCACTTACTAAGTGCTATTTTCTCCCTCCCTCCCTCCTTCCTTTACCTGCCCAACTGTCCATGGTTGCAGAGCAGCCACCTTGGGACATGCAGCGAGGGAGTCTGTACCCACCATGGCTGGGCGTTGGGGAGCGGGCCAGACAGGGCAGGCTGCAGATGCCCCTGACGATGGGGGTGAGTGGGGGCCATTGACCGGCCGGAGGTCACCTTGTGTTGTCAGGAGGCAGACCTGAGACGGACAGTGGAGGAGAGCAACCGCATCCAGAGAGGCTACGGGCACTACTTTGACCTCAGCCTAGTCAACAGCAACCTGGAGAGGACCTTCCGGGAGCTCCAGGCCGCCATGGAGAAGCTACGAACAGAGCCCCAGTGGGTGCCTGTCAGCTGGGTGTACTGAGCCTGCTCGCCTGGACCTTGTCCCCTCTGGGTTGTGATCCAGGAACCTGAACCCATCCCTTCCCCCACCATGACCCTCAGCCATGACCCTTAGCTCCAGTCCCTGGCACTCTGGCTCCCTGGGTAGCAGCTTCTAGCAGAGGCCCTGAGGCTGGCTTCGGGCACAGGCGTGCACTGTCAGGGAGGTGGGTGTTCAAGGGGTCCCTCTGTGCCCAGGTGCTGCCCCCTCCTGATGCCCAATGGCCACCGGCTATTCCTCTCTGAGGGCCAAGCAGGGCCCACGAGTGTGTCAGAGCCACCTCCAAAAGGTTCAGTCCAGGGAAGAGAAGAGCTGCTTTGGGACCATGTGATCAGTAGGTACACTGCCCCTGCCACCTCTCTCCCGTCACATTTTTCTCCTCCGGTCTGGCCACACCCACCCCCTTCCTGAGCCCCTCCCCCTCCCCCCTCCCCCTGGGTCCTAGGAGCAGGACTTAGGCTTTATCTACGTGGCCAGGGCAGTGCAAGGCCCCCCGGCAGCCAGGCAGGCCTGGGCAGTGGTGCCAGCCGGGAGCCGTCCTGAAGGCTGCAGGACCCGCAGTACGAGCCACTTGTCCCAGCCTGGGACCAGTGCAGCTCTCTGCTCCCCTGGAACGAGGTGGAGTCCCACGAGTGGACGCTGCCCCGCGTTTCCCTCATCCACAGCTTTTCACTGCCGAAGTCTCTCCACAGACTCCTCCGAGGCGCCGTGACAGGTCGGCTCTTCTCCCTGCGGGGCACGGCCGGCGGGGGTGCGCAGGCTCAGCCCACCTCAGGGTGGGTTGGAGGCTGAGCTCTGCCGCCAGGGGCCGGCTCCTACTGACCGAAGAGCCCCAAGCTCTCCGTGGCCCACGCTGGGGACATGTCTGTGCTCCCTGCCCATGACCATTGTCCATTTTGATCTTTGCTCTGGCCGGGTCCGTGTGGTTCGCTAGGGTCAGGGCTGGCCGGGGGGCTGCGGGGGGGCGGGGCGGAACTCGTGAGCGCCGGGCGCGGAGGATTGTGCTCGGGCACGCCCCTCGTTGCCCGATTCCGGGGGGCACCTCCTGTGCTGTTTCTGTGCAGTCCGTGTCCCACATGCGACACACCCTGTCTGGGTTTCTGCCACTGGCCTGTGTGTGTCAGTTGGTTTTTGGAGAGAAGCTTTGGAGGACCCTCTTTGGGGCCCCTTTTTCAGGGTTCCCCATCAGCCCCCATGTCTTAAGAGATCCTTATCCCAGATTCTAGAACCTTGGCCCTCCCCAATGTCTTCCTCCAGCTCTCCTATTGTCCCCTGACCCCGAATGGCACTCTCCGGTCCTTGGGGAGCACAATTGTGTAAAATAGGAGAATCCCTTTTAAGAGAAGAATGCTGTCCTCAATCTCTCATCCTTCCTGCGGTCCTTCCTGGCGCGAGCCTTTCCTTGTAGGCGGCCACCCGGGCCCCTCACTTCCCAGTCCTTCCGAACAGAACGTCTGATCGGTGTTCGCTGCAGAGCCAGCCCGAGCTGGCCCTTGAACCACTGTGTGCCCGTTTCCTAGGGAAGGGGAGGGAGAAGAAACAGAATATTTATTACAAAGTTAGAAATATATTTATTATATTAGGGATCTCATTGCATTTGCATAGGATATGCAAATGAGATGTCAAAGTCGAGACCCCTCCCATCTCTTTTGCATAGCTCTGCATCCACTATGCAGTCATCTTTATAGTCCTCTTTTCCCTTTAGTCGGCCTTCTTTTTATCTTTAATTCCGCTCTTACCTCACCCTTGCCCTCAGCCCATGGGCACTGGGAGTGGGAGGAAGGTGGGGCGTTCCGCGGGCCTGAGGCCAAGATGTACTTTGCCAGTTCCCACCTCATTTAGGGGACTTTGGGGTGGAGGTAGCAAAGGATCTGTTATTGCAGCTGCCCGCTCCCCCTCAATTAACCTCTAAAGCTCTCCGACCAAAAGATGGGGGTCAGGGCAGCTGGGGACCTTGCTGGGGAGTTGGCACGTGGCCCTTTAGGGTAAATCTCCAGTGTTGATGCTGTTCTGGCACCTTTGCCTCTAGTGATGCCCGGGGCAGGGCTGGGCCCCTCCCCTGTCCCCATCCCTCTCTGAACAGCAGGCCAGCTCTCCTGCATAAGCCCCGCTCCAGGGAACAGGCGTGTTCTCACAGTGTTAGCTCTGACTCTCCTTCCTCCTCCCACTGTGGACACTTATATTTGAGGGGCCTCAGGACAATGAGGCCCCTGTCCCCCACTCTCCACACTCAGTGTGAGCCCAGTTGCCCTTCCCTTCTCCCCTCCCTCAGGCATCCAATTCCCGAGCTTTCTCTCTGACTGGTTTTCTTTCCTTTCCTTTGATTAAATGTGAAAGCAAAGGCTTCTGGGCTGCTTGTCTCTGGTGGGGGTTGAATGGATGAGTACGGGGGCGGGGGTCAGAGCAGGGGACACTGCACAGCTGATTCTAGAATGCGTTCGAGTGACACGTCTTGTGCTCTGGGATGTCTTCTGAAATTTCCATCCCCTGAAGATGCCCTTTCTCAATGATTGTATCCAGTAGTCTGGGAGCATTCGTGGGGACAGGAGGCTCAGGGACTCCATGGCTAACCCACTGAGCTCCGCCTGGAGCTTGCTGTGTGGCTTCCAGCAGGTACCTCTGCTGCTCTGGGCCTTGGCAAGCTTTTGCTTTTCTTTTTTTCTTTTTCTTTCTTTCTTTTTTTTTTTTTTGATATAAATTGGAAAACCCATGGGGTCCAGTCAACATGGCAGGTCTGCTGCTTTTGCACAGACTTGGGGGCCCCGCACTCAGATCACTGTGGCACCACCCCCAGCCGCCAGCATGGGGTGCCTGCCACAGTCTGAAAGCGCTGTAGGTGAAGAGCACTGCCCTCTTACTTGAGAGGCGCCCCAAAGCGCACCACACCCCCTGGCACTCTTAGGGGCCTTCCGCCTTCTCTGCTGTTTCCCCCCTCCCCCACCCCCGCCTCCTGGATGAACTCAGGAATCTCCCCTCAGGGCACCTCAGTGGATTAGGATCCTAAAGTCCAATTGTCAAGGGGCGGGGTAAGGAAGGGAGAGCTTCCCTTTTTTTTCCCTTTTTCACTTTTTTCTCTTTTTGTTTTACTTTGTTTTAAGAAACAAATTAATATTATTTTGTTAGCATCCCCATTTTGCAAAACTAAGCATTAGCAACTCTTTGATGTTTCCCTCATTTTTCCTGAAGTTTTTACCTCTTAGCAAGTCTCCCAATGGGAAACCCTGGCTTTCAGGATGGGTGAGCAGTGGCTTTGTTCAAGGGGATTGGACAGAGTCTTATACGTCTGCAGAAGATGGCAGAGCTGAACATTCTGGTGTCCAGACGTAACACCAAGGTGCAGGAAGCTGGGGGGTCGCAGAGTAGCAACCGGTGAGGGAGCGTCTTGCTCTCCCGCTGGGAGGGCCGAGCTGCAGAGGCCCCTGGCCGTGTTGGGTGTTAGGAGAGTGTGTGGGCACACAGGATACTCGAGTGACAAATCCAGAGGAACTTGGAATCGCATGGTTCCCTTGGAGAGAGCTCAACCACAAAAGCCATCGATCTGTTTAGTGGGCACATGGCCTGAGAATGGGCAAGGGGTGGCACTGGGATGACCTGGTGGCCGTAGGTGACAGGTGGAGAGGAGAGGAGGGTTCTGTCCCTTCTGGCCGCCCCAGTTCTCATTAGCTCCAGCCTAGGGATTTCTCAAGGGGGAGGTCTGCTCTGGGTGAATTCTTTGGGGGTCTCCCTGACACCATCTGAAACTTGCTGCTCCTTATCCCCCCCAATATCTGGACACACACTGTGCCTGGATCTGGGGGCAGAGCCCGCAGGGATCACACCTGGGCCCCCCCCTTCCCCTGGACAAGGTAAGCAGTGCTCCCCCCGCCCCAGGGCCTCAGGCGCTGGCTGGCAGCTTCTGGTGGGCTTCCCCTGCTTCCTCAGACCGGCTCCATCACCTCCAGCACCCCCCTCCGCCCTCCAGGGTCTCCCTGCAGGGGCATTCCTGAGTGGTTTTCTTACTGGTCCAAGAGGAGCGCAAATGTGCAGTAGTTGCCAGCCAAAGACAGCTCCACGATGATTTTATGAAAAGAATCTTTATTGCAAGCTAGCAAGCAAGAAATACACCAGGGCTTACTCCCAGCACGTGTCCCCCTGAACAGAGCATTTGACCCATCTTTATGGGGGGAAATCACCCATAAACGTCAAGGTGAGTTTTGTAATTGCAGATATAGATGGAGACATTCCCATGCATGCAGTTAGAAAACCTCTCTCTCTCTCTCTCTCTCTCTCCCCCCCCTCCCTCTCTCTCTCCATTGCCTGTTCCAAAACGGCGGAGACTTTAGTATAATACGATGAGGGTGTAAATGAAGAAAGTTCCTGAGGAGGTGCCCTTCAGGCTACTTTTCAGCTGGTCACCCCCTGGCCCTTCAAAAGATCGCAGCCTTGGTCCTGCCAAACAGTCCTGGAAATCATCGGTGTCAGGGATTGCGGTTGTTATGGAAGGAATTTTAGCTGGTTAGTCTTTCCTGGTCTTTCTGTGAAACTTTTAGCAAATTACAAGACACACATTACACAAACCTTATAAATTTTAGGGAGATTCTAGGGTTACATCAAGGCAAAGTTACAAACTCTACATAGAAGTTTAATCCAGCCCTGGCTGGGTGGCTCAGCTGGTTGGCGTGTCATGCTGTATGTCAAAAAGTTGTGGGTTCGATCCCTGGTGGGGGTGTGTACAGGAGGCAACCAAGGGATGTCTCTCTCCCTTCCTCTCTCCCTGAAATCAATAAGTATGTCCTTGGGTGAGGATTTTTAAAAAAGGTTTATCAATGCTAGACTACCTGCTAGGCTACATATATAGGTCAGGTTCGGTGACAGTTTCTCCCTCCACACCCCCCGGGATGGGCGTCGAGGCTGAGGAGGACTTTGAGAAATGCTGATTCTGAGGCCCTGGGTGGGAGTGCCATTGACTCTGCCATTCAGAAAGCCGTGTTAAACAACCACAAAAAAAACTAACCTTCCATGGCTGAACACCTTCCCCCCCCCCCCCCCCCAAAAAAAAGAAAGGGTTGATTGGGCCACATTTCTAGCCAAAAAAGGCCTCGGGCCCTGAAGCATGAAGTCTAAACCCCCACCAGTGTGTCTGCCATCCTGGATTGATGGCATTTTTATGCATTTTTATATTATATGTTTTAGGGAAGAAATGTAATTTGGGAAGAATTTACATTGGCTACAGAGAAGGGGGCTGAGATAAGGTGAAGCAGGGGCAGTTCTGAGATAGGCGCACATTCTGGGGAAGGAAGAAATACTTGCTCCTTTTGATTGGTTACAGGCAACCATCCTGCAAGCTCATGCACGGGCACCGAGGGATGTCTGGTGGGCTGGCAGGGGCCTGGAGGTGGATTCACAGCTCCAACAAACATTCAGGAATGTCGGCACTCTTTTGTCAGCTGGCCCACAGCTATTAACTGGTTAATTAATTAATCAGTATAATAATTGGTTAATTATTCCTGTCATTTTTACTCCCTCTCTGGCCCCCTATAATTTAATTTAGAACATCTCAGAATTGTTCTTTTGTCAGCTTAGCAGTGGATACCAACAACTTCAAAAATATTCACATCCAAAGACCTGGCACTTTCACCTTCTTAAAGAAATCTCTAAATGCAGCCCCAGCTGGTGTGGCTCATTGGACTGAGTGCCAGCCTGTGAACAGAAAGGATGCTGTTTGGTTTGATTCCCAGTCAGGGCACATGCCTGGGTTGTGGCCAGGTCCCCAGTTGAGGGGCATGCGACAGGAGATCAGTTGATGTATCTCTCACACATTGATCTTTCCCTCTCTTCCTCCCTCCCTTCTCCCCCTGTAAGAAGTAAATGAATAAAATCATTAAAAATTTAAAAAAAAATTTAAAAAGGAAATCTCCAAATGCAAATAAAGCCTTGTGCAAAGATTTGCTACAAGCTGTTATTTATAAAGCGATAGGAAATAATTATCTAGTGTAAGAGAACAATCAAATGGAAGCATGCTGATATTTTTAAAAAAAGCTTTGTAAAAACATGCAGAAGTGCTTATATGCTATAATAATTAAGGGGGAAAAGCAGGATATAGTGTATATGCAAAATAATTTGTAAATGTTGTGAAGAAAAAATATAAATGAAATACAACAAAACGCACTAACGATGGGCTCCGTGTAGCAGCAAGATGAGCGGTGACTTGTTTTCTTTTTCGCTCCATCTAAGTTTTGTATTCTGGGCACTCCGCTCATCTGCGCCCGCGCCCCGCCCCGCCCCCCTCCATTTTACCTTTAAAATAATAGGAAATGAAAAAACTAGTAATTCAGGAGATCAGGCTCAGGGTCACCTTGAGGTGCCCTTTAGGTTCCTGCCCTGACCCTTCTATTTTATTTTTAAATTTTATTTATTTTTAGAGAGAGGGGAAGGGAGGGAGAAAGAAGAAGAGAAACATCGATAGGCTGCTTCATGCACGCCCCCAACCAGGGACCTGGCCCATAACCCAGGAATGCGCCCCGACTGGGAATTGAACCAGCAACCTTTGGGTTCTTAGGCCAATGCTCAATCAACTGAGCCACACCAGCCAGGGCCCTCCTCCATTTTAGACACCTACCTGCACCAGTGATTTCCTACCCCTCACCGTCACCCTTCCCCCAACAGAACCCACGGGCAATGAACCCTTTCTGGACAAAGAGCCACGCTTTCCCACAGAGCCTGGAATGAACGCCTAGCTGGGTGGGGAGATCGGAAAGGCAACTCCTCCCTGACTCCCAGTGTGTACCTGCCCTGGGCCTAGACTCAGGCAGGCTTAGGACAGCCTCCAGCTGGTCACAGTTTCGTGGGCAGAACGGCCCCTGGAGGGGCAGGTGGAAGACCCCACACTCCAAATGGAGACTCTAAGCTGGAGGGACCTGACTGTTCATCAGGCCCAGGCCTTCTCCACCTCAAATCACTAGGCACGGGTTAGAAATGCAGCGTCCTGAGCCCAGCCCCAGGGATGGTTTTGGAAGGTTTGAGTGGAGCGCAGGAATCATGTTTTGAACCAGTTTCCTGAAAGACTGGTGTGTGGGTGGTTAGCGGCCACACTTCAAGAAAGCAGAACCCATTGATCCCAGCATGCTGGCTCCTCCTCCCCAGCTTCCTCAGGAGAAAGCGAGTCTGAGGGTGGAAGGGAGGAGACCTGGGGAGAACCTGTTGCTGGACACCCAGGCCTGGGGGGTTGCCCGCAGCAGATACAACTCAAACCGGGTGAGGGCCCAGCAGCTGCGCACCTGCCTGGGCGTGTGGCCGTTTAGGCAAGGTGCCAGCGCTCGCTGGAACTGGGAAGCCCCCCCGGGGCAGGCTGACAAAGGCTTCCAGGTCAAGCTGGGGCAGGAGGAGAGCCTGGGGCAGGCGGGGAGGGCCCTGGGGTCTGGCCCGTGGACTCTGAAGCCAGGGCAGAAAGCTTATTCCAATCAGCTGAGGTCCAGGGGTCCCGGCAGGCCTGGCCGGGAGGGCGCGCTCTGCTAGACCGAGATGAACACCGAGCGTCTGAACTCCTCAGACATGTGGAGGGGAGGCCCTGGGCTTGCTTTGCCCTCCGGGTCCTGGAAAGAGGCTTCCTCTTGCTCTGAAGCCTGTAAAAACAAGTGGGGTTGAAAGTAGAGCCTAGTGGGGGGTCTCCACGTAACTGCTGAACCCACCCCCAGCCTTTCCCACAGTTCCAGCTTCTGTCCATCTGAGGGGACACAGGAACTAATAATGTCTCCCCACAATCCCCAGGCTTTGATTCATCCCCCTGACCCCCCCACCCCAAGCCATCCATCCCCAGAGGGAAGCTCAGGCCAGGTTCTGGCTTTAGATATAGGAATCCTGCCAGCCCAGAGCCCTTCAAGCTGTGATTCCCAACAAGCTATTGAAGAATTTTCGGGATGGGGACAAAGAGGATGTAAGGTCAAGAGCTCTGGCTCCCGCTCTGGCTCCCAAGTGAACCGGCCCGCCTGGCCGCGGTGGCCTGCGGTTGTTGTGGGGTAGGCGGCATGTGGGGAGCAGAGTTCGGGGAGCGGATGCTGAGGAAAGATGCTTTCCTCACATCCTGGTGCTGTCGAAGAGCCAGACTAGGTGGCTCCGGACCCCAGCGCCCTCTGCCCACACCTGGCTTAGGCACCGGATCTGCGCGAAGGGGCTGGTGGAGGGCTTGGGGCTGGCGGCTGGCCCAGCGGGGGCTTCCACGACGTTTATCACAGTGTACTCCGGGACCTGGCCCTTCCCCGGAGGCTGAAACAGAGGCTCGAGTCAGAACAGCCTGTTCTTGGGAGCAGAAGCAGAGAAGGGAAGTGCGGGGGGGAGGGGCAAGGGGAAGATGGTGGGTTTTGGAGTCAGAGTCCTTAGGTTCCATTTCCTGTCTCAATGTGACCTTGGGCAAGCCACCTAACCTCCTCCCCAAAGCTGTTTCCGAAACTGTAGAATTTTTTTCCTCAGGGTCATAATGACTATTCATGATAATGTTTTACTAAACAACTGGGGACTCGTGGAGTGATAAGTGTGTTACCATTATGATTATTTTGGACACCACAGAGATTCACCAAATAACAGAGAGCATGGGGAGGAATTCTTCAGAGATCATCGACCAACCAGAGGTCATCAGTTTGAGTAACCAACGCCTCCTTGACTGAATGAGGAGACTGAGGCCCAAGGAAGAGAGGTGGGGGGCCATGTGCCCCTCCCACAGGTGCAGGGGCGGGACAAGTGGCCCAGGCAGCCCTCCCAGTGTGGCCTGGATGGCAGCAGAGCCGGGGTCAAGGCTGACGCAGGCACTCTTGGCCTCCCTGCGGCCTCCTCACAGCATCCTGGGGGTTCTCCCTCCTACGCCAGCCCCATTCTGGCATTGGGCGGGCGTGAGTCCCGGGAGGAACAGCCAGAGGGCAAGCTCTGAAAGAGGCCAGTGGCAGCCTCCGTCCATCTCCTTGACCTTTCCCTCACTCCTGTCAGCCATCTTTGGCCTTGTAGAGCTTCCGGAGACAACAGCTGCTTCCTAAGCCAAGCCCAGTACCCCATTCCCACCCCCACTTCTCCCAAGAGGGATTAGGCCTGAGTCTTTTGTCTTCACTGGCGCTGGCGCCAGGAAAAAAGGCAAGATTATCCCCCTTTCCTGCCCCCGCGTGGAAGGGAATTGGAGTGGAGGTATCTCAGTAAACAGCTGAGGGAGGGGCAGTTGGATGACGCCGTGGGGCTTTGGTTTCCTGGACCCGTGATTCTGCAGCCCTCTCCTCACGTGGAAAGGGTCGGTCTCTCTTCGCAGGGGTCAGGGAGGGGCCCTGCAGTAGGCAGCCCTGGGGCAGAGTCCCCTCTCCAGGAAGATGGGCAAGGGACCCCCCATTCCTTCTGCCCCCTGGTTCCCAGAGCACCACCTTCAGCCTGTGTCTCAGAGCCAAGGAAAGCACAGAGGAAGCGTCAGAGTGCTCCGCAAGGGGGAGAGATGGAGCGGAGAGATCTGGGTCCTCTTCTCCATTGGGGCTACCACTTGCCATGTGACCTTGGGCAAGATTTTGACCTTCTCTGGACCTCAGTTTCCTCTCCTGCAAAAGCAGACTAGAGCCTGTAGCTGCCATACTCTCATGTGCCACCAGAATATCCAGGGGCAGTGTTTCAAATCCAGGCTCCTGGGCCCCCGCCCTCTAGAGGTTTTGGTTGGGAGACTGTTTCTAACGGCACCTGCCCACCGACCCTGACCCCGGGCGCTCTGGAAGGAGCCATGCGCCAAACTTAGAGGAAGGTCAGACTGAGTGGCCCCGAGGCCTGCTCTGGAGCCAGCTCTGATCTTCTCCGGTTATAAGAGGGGGACAGGAGGAGGGTGCTGGGCCGAGGGAAGAATGCTGCCTGGACCCGGCAGGGAGTCAGGGCGAGGAGGGACGCCGACAGCTCGGGGCTCACAGGTCCCCCGGAGGTGGGAAACAATCCCTGCCTTGAGATCGGCCATGGAGGACCAGTGGGGAGACGTAGAGATGGAGCCCAGGAGTCCTGATTTCCAGGCCTCAGGGTCCAGGCCTGGGCTTTGGCCTGCCTCCCGTCTTACCAAGTGGGAGTAGTGAGCCTTCTCGTTCCTTGGTGTCCCCACAGCCAGTTGAGCTGAAAGAGACCAGAAGGAACACCTTGAGGCCAGGAGTAGCCAGGAGTAGCCTGCAGCTGCTCCCACAGAGAAGGACGGGACCCCCTGCAGCTTTGAACAGGGGCTTTTTAGCAGGCAGATTGGGCAGAAAGTCCCCACTAGATCAACCCCTTGACAATGGCCTGGCCTTTTGAGATCAGTACATGGAAACCGCCTCATGCGGGCCAGAATCGGACTGGGGACGTAAAACTGTGTGCTCAGTCAGTGCTTCTTAAAACTCAGTGGGCATCCAGGGCCCCAGGAAGTGTTATTGAAATATAGATTGCAATTCATTAGGTTGGCCTGGGGGCTGTGAGTCCGCATTACCAACAGGCTAACAAGGGATGTCACCACTGCTAACTGGGGACCACAATTTGAGAGGATCTGAGGTTGTGACCAGGAATGCTCCCATGCTGCGTGCTCCGTCCCAACTCCTCTGGGGGGGCCTGGGGACTTGGGCAAAGCTGACGTTGCTTCCTGGAGCCACACAGGGAGGAGTGGGAGGCGGGCCCAGGATGTTCCCACGGCCATCTGCACAGGGACAACATTGCCAGCTTGCAAAGTGCTTCCCCACATATCTTCCTGGCTCCGTGACTTCCTACACAGGGCCAGCCGCTTGCCCACTCTGTGCCTCAGTTTCCTCCCTTGTGTAACAGGAGTACTTGTCATCAGTAGTTCCTGACTCCACAGCACTGAGGGGATTAGAGGAGATGGAAGAGAGTGGGAGGGGGTAAGTAACAATAGAAAAAAATACAATACAAATAAACTATTAAAAACTAAATCATGTCTTATTAGCTGGGAAAATTAAAAGGCCATATAAGCCACACAGTGGTGCCTGGCACATGATAGCTATTATTACTGTTATTTCAGTCATTTCCTGCACTGTCCCACACAGGAGCCGCCAGCCACACATGGTCATCGAGCACTGGAGCTGTGACTACTCCAAATTATGCAGGGTTTCAAAGACTCAGTATGAAAAAAAAAGAATGTAGACTATGATATCATTCATGTTTTTATACTGTTTCTATGTTGAAATGATCGGGTTAAAGTATACGGTTAAAATTAACTTCACTAGTTTCTTTTTCCTTTTCATGTGACTATTAGAGAATTGTAAATTACACGCATGGCTTGCATTCTATTTCAGTTGGACACATATCTGTAACCTGGAGAAGCCAGGGCTCAGGGAAGTCAGATGATTTCCCTGCGGCTACACGGCTTAAAAAGTGTTAGACCTGGGATCCGAAGCCAAGCCCCGAAAGAAGCCAAGCACCTCTGGGGACCGAGCGGCCATGATGTCCATCCTGCCCACGTCCAAGTCCTCAGTCTGCCTCCCCCCCTCCAGTCAGTCCTCACACAAGGAGCTGGACCTGCAGAGACTGAACATGGCGTCTCTGGAACCTAGAGGGAGAGAAGCGGCTCATGAGCTCAGACGGAGGCGAGCAAGCCGAGAGTCCCCACTCTCCCTCAGCTCCCTCGGAAGCGTGGAGCAGGTGGACGGAGCCACACGGATTCTCTGGCGTGGAGCGGAGGACTGCAGGTCTGAGTGACGTCCCCGGCTGAGAGCCCCCGCCCGCTCCCATCGACCTTCGCTCACCTTTCTTCCTCCACTGGAAGAGGTACCTGCCGAGGGCGCTCAGCCCTGAAACCAGCAGAAGGGCCAGCAGCACCAGGACCGGCGCCAAGATGCGGATAGTTTTGGGGCACACCCTGCGGAAGGGACCCAGTGGCTGTCACCAGATATCAGCGGATGCTGTGCACCACAACATGCTTATTCTGAATCCCAGCCACGTCCCTTGTCTCTCCAAGGACATCGGAGGGCACCAGGGACCAAACATCTAGTCAGTCCCAAAAGAAAGGATCCCAGGCCCGACCGCCAACCCCAGGAGACACTTTCAGATGGGTCTGCACTTGCCAGCAGCCACCTGGAAGCCAGCAGCCGGCTGAGGTTGTGTACAACCCGCCCCCTCTGCCCCCTACACCAATCCTATGGGTTAGGGCTCCAGTTGGGTAGGAAAATATTTTTTTTGTTCCACATTTTCATGCTTGGCACAGGGCCTAGTGCGAAGTGTACAGGCAAAAGCTACTGAGCTGGGGTGGCTGCCGCTGGAGCTGAGGCGGGGAGAGGGGTGGACCCTTCTCCCTGGGGGGCCCTGTGTTTCCAGGGCAACAGGGCTGCTGGCCCAGGGCTCTGCTGAGGGATGGCGTGGGGGTTGAATAGGCCCTCAGAGCCTCAGGTGCGGAGCCTACGAGAGGCTGTGTTCCCCTGAGGAAGGCGTGCTAGGTTCTCTTAGGTTCTTATTTGCTCAAAGGCCCCTCATGGCTTGGCGATGGCCTGAAAGTGACCCTGGTCGCCTGGAGCTCACCTGGACTTGGAGCCGCTGCTGCTGGGCAACATGTAGGTGTCTTTTGCCGAGGTGGGGTCCAGGTGTGTGGATGGGCGCGTAGTCCCTGCATGAGGAGAAGTTGCTTTGTGAGGAGAGGTCTCTTCCCGTGGAGAGGTCCCTGAATATGGAGAGGTTCCTGTGTACAGAGGCGTTCCTGGGTGCGTGGGCGGGGACGTTCCTGTGAATCGAGAGGCCTCGGCCTCTGTCTTCCCCTGCTTGGCTGTGGTAACTCTTGGGTGGACACCAGGAGAAGCTATAAGTCCAAAAGCAATGCCTCAGCGCCTTCCCTGACCCTTGAATCCCAGCATCCCCAGACCTCTGAGCCTTGAACCCTGAACCTCACCTCCCCGGACCAGCTTTTCAGAACACCCCCAGGCGAAGGACACCCCAGGAAGCAAACAGAGGCCCAGATAAAGCCCTTTGGAGCGAGCAGGCCATATCTCATGCACGCCCCACACCCACGCACAGCTTTCCGCTCCTTTTCCTGCCCGCGGCCTGTTCTTGGTGTGGAGGCGCACTCCCCGCTCCCACCGCCACGACCCATCCCCGTGACCCCCGGGTAGCTGCCTACCTGCTGCCCCCTGCGCCCTCCCCACCCCTGCAGTCCTGTGACCTGAAGAAGCCAGAGCTCTGGGAAGTAAGATGCCTTCCAGTTGTCCCCTCTGGCCTCACCTGGAAGTCCTCATGTCAACATCACACGCCCACCCCCACCACCTATGCCTCAGTGGGCCTCGACCTCCTTCAATAGCCATGGGGTTGACAGGGCAGGGTGACAGGGGCAGAGGGCAGGGCGAAAGGCCCGGCTTCTCCTTCTCGCCCCTCGGCCCGGGTTGAATACACAGGAGCTTTGCCATCAGGCTGGATCTGCCTCTGGGCTCTGCTGCTTCCTGTGGGGCCTCGAGCGAGGGACCTGGCCCTGCAGAGCCTCTCCGTCCTCAGCGGGCCCTTCTGCGCCCAGGGTGGGCCGTAAAGCGCAGCGTCGGACGCCAGGCAGGCGCTCACTGGTTGTTTCGCTACAGAGGGGACAAAGAGGGGCAGAAAGACCATCCACTCACTCAGTGCTGGGGGCTGAGTTTGCCAAGCTTTGGCCTTGGGCTGGAGGCTTGTAGCAAGAGGCTGGACGAACGGGGTGGGGGAGGGAAGACAGCAGGGACCTAGAGGAAAGGGAAGGCTGGTCTCAGGGAAGCAGGGGTCACTGCTGTGAGCCAGATTTCCTGCCTTGGGAGCGGCCAGCAGCCTCCTCCTACCCGGCCCGCCATTTCTGCTCAGAGCATCACTGTCTTCTCTCCGCAGCCCCTTGGGGCCAGGCGGTGGGTCCAGCACGCTGCTGGCCTCGCCCTCCTGCAGGCCCCTTGGCCTCCCGCTGGGCTCGGGCCTTCAGCTTCCCTTGTCCCCCGCTGTCCACCGGCCTCTTTCCATGCCACCCTTCAGACCAATGCCAGTTTTGTCTCTAAAATATACACGGGATCCCATCACCTTCTGCTGTGGAACAGTCGGTGGCTCCCCACTGCCCCTAAGCTGAAGTTCAAACCTTTCCTCGTGCCTTTCACAGCCTTTTAAACTCAGAAATAACCCACTTTGCTAACTTCCCCTCTTCCGATCCCGTGCTACAGCCACAGGGAGTTGCCCTCCAGGGCCGCGTGAGCGAGCCTGCCGCCTGCCCCCACGCCTGTGGCAGGCCGCTCCTCTGCGCGGGCGCCTTTCCTTGCCACCGCTACCTAGCACGCTTCTTTCTGTCCTTCAAGCGCTGGCTCCGAAGTCAATTCTTCCACAACGGCTTCCCTGGGAGGAGCAAACCCTTTGTCTTTTGTGTACCCCCAGTACCCTGTGCACGTCACCAGGGAAGCAATACTCAGTTTGCGGCAATAACTTGTTTACAGGGTCTCCCCACTAGGCTGAGGCTTCTCAAGGGCAAAATGCTTAGCCTCTGTGCCCAGCACAGTGGGCAGAAACCTTGTGTGGCAGAACCCCCAGGAGCCACCGGGCCCCCCGACTCCCCACGTCCACGAGTCACCTCCTTTCTGACTTGCGTGCCATCCTGGCCTTCCTTCCTTCCCCATCATTTTTTAAATCTGGTCCAGGTCTCCAATTTTTCTCAGTAAATGATCAAATCTCCTACAGATAAAGAGTATTTTTTTTTCTTTTCCTTTCCAATATGTATACTCCTTAATCTCCTCCTGTCTCATGGCCTAGGGCCTCCAGGTAATGACGATAAGCAGTGCCAGTGGCACTTTTGTCTTGCTCCGACCTTCCTAGAAATTCCTCTCATGCTTCACCGCGCGCTGTGGGGTGCCGAGACACTCACGCCGGCTCGTGAGAGCTCCTTTTAGCCTTCTGGGAATTTTGCGAGCCAGTCGTTAAACTGTTGTGGGCAGAAATTGGCCGTGGCAGGGGCATTTATAGGACAGAAATGAACAAACATTGTAAGCTGGGGATTTCCCAGCCAGTTGTTAAATATCCGCCGGCACACCACGGACTTTAGCCTTCGTTATTTTCAATATCTCAGCTGTCCGCAGAGAGAGTCCAGCAGGAGGATGCTATAATGATGCACATGTTATACACAAATACATATAAATGAAGGTTAGGAGACAAACAGGAGAGCCCCAAATACAGGTAAAAATTGATCACCACCGGGTAAAAATGAGGTCTGAATGCTAAGAACTGGAAGACATTAGAGAACCTTATAAGTAATGGAGAAGAGGCTCGATGTGGGTTTGATGCTGCTGTTACTGTTTGGTGAGTTCATCTTTGTTCCCCTGAATTAAACTAAAGGCCCGTGGATGATGGGGTCTGGCAGCGGGGGTGGGCTTGGGACGGGATGGGTCCCAGCTCTCGGGCCAGGGGAGGGAAAGAGAGCTGCTAAAGCCAGAAATGACCTGCTTTTGAAACCTGGCTCTGTCACTTCCTGCTGTGACATGCGGGGCAAATGATTTCACTTTTCCGAGCCTCAGCGCCCATCTGTGAAATGGGACACAAAGACCCCCCCCTCTCGCCCTCCCTGACCCTCAGCCTGGGGCTGCCCACTCCCCTGAGACCTTTGAGACCTTTCTGGCCTCTTTCTCCACAGCTCAGCAGGTCTGGGGGGCATTCCAGGTACCCGGAGGGGCACTCTATCCCTAGCCCGAGCCCCCTCATGTCCCCGAGCTAAGCAAGCACCTGGGAGGCTGGTCCCCCGGCATTCCTCACGCCTGTCTGGGGGACTTCAGGATCTGGAGAGGAGGAGGAGGCGAGGAGGAAGAGCCGAGGCTGCGGGCAGCCGAGGTGAGTGTGGCCATGGCTTAAGGGGCACTGAGGGTGGGCCCGGGGCACGGGGACCATGGGCCTAGCCTGAGGAGCCCTCCGGCATCTCCCTGACTCCAGGGAGGGAGGGCCTCTTTTTTATTCTGCGGGAGGTCCATTTTGTCCCCAGCTCACAGCCATCTCTCTCCCACGTCTGGGCAGAGAGGAAAGGTGCTGAGCCTCGAGTTGGACAGATCTGGGTTTAATGCTGCTCTGCCACCTGCTAGTGGTGTGACCTCAGGCAGCAAGAGAGAAAGAACAGCTGAGGCTTGTGTGGCAGCATCCGTGCCCCAAATACTGCTGCGCATTCAACCTGTGTGACCCCACCGAGTCCTGGAGATGCCCCTCCGCCACGAGGCATCCCGCACTTTGCGTTGGGAAAACTGCATCATCCACTGACTGCCTCCCCACTGCTCCCCTCCCCCCTGCCCCTCCTGCCCTCCAGCCAGGGAAGGAGAGACGTTCGTTACCTGGAAGGACTGTCAGAGAGACCAGGAAAACCTCATCAAAGCCCAGTATTTTGACGCCACACCAGTATTCTCCCGAGTCCTTCGGGGTGAGCTTCCTCAGGGTCACGTTGAACTGGAGCTTGCTGGGGCTGTCTTGGATGGACAGCCTGCCCTCTGTACTCTCCTGGCCATCTTCTCTTGCGTAGATAGTGCCGGAGCAGCGGGTGATAAGGATCCCAGCCTTCCTGCACCAGTATTTCTTGTGATCCCTCAGCTTCTCCCCGTAGGTGCACTGTAGGGACACAGTGTCGCCTTCGAATGCTCTTATGCTCTTTGGGCCCGTCAGGGCTTCATAACCTGAAAGCACAGCAGATGCAGAGGTTGGAATTCCCTGGATTCAAGCACCAGGGTCAAAACCAGTAGGTTTTCCTCAGTCGCCACTAGCACTAGGTGACCTTGGGACAGGGCTGTTGAGATAAATATAATTCTATATCATCATTTCCCTAAACCTGGCATGTTAAGCGTTGTGGGCAGGGAAGCTCTAGTTTCAGCCAGCCTGGAGTTGGAATCCCAGCACTGCCACTTAGTAGCTGTGTGTCCTTGGGGAAGTTGCTTGACTTCTCTGGGCCTCTAAGTTTTCTCACCTATGGGTGATGACAATGTCCTATTTCATTTAGTTCCTGTTGAAAATAATTATTTTTATTGGTAAGCATAATAACTTAAAGGTGCATATTTGTTTATCCACACAACCCCCTATCTTTCCTGACCAGTGTGGTTCAGTTGGTTAGGCGTCGTATCCCAAAGAGAAGGGTCACCGGTTCGATTCCCAGTCAGGGCACAGGCCTGGGTTGTGGGTTTGGTCCCCAGTAGGGGTATGTGCGAGAGGCAACTGATCAATGTTTCTCACCCTCTCTTTCTCCCTCCCTTTCCTTCTCTTTAAAAGTAAATAAATAACATCTTTAAAAAACGCCAGCCCTTTCTGTTTGTAGAGTCTGTGGAAACCGTCGGCCACATGGCCCGTGACAACGGGCTGCTCCAGCTGGGGTTTGGAAAGGGGCTCTCACAGCTGGAACCAGGGAACTCCGCTGCCTCTGGAAAGTCCCCCACTCCACCCCAGGCAGCGCGAAGTGAGGACTTGGTCCTGGCGGCTGCATTTTGCGGGGAACTGACCCCCTGCCAAAACGGGATGGGGTGGCATGGTGGCTTCTCTCCTCATATGGACTCTGGAGTCTTTCTGGTGCCTAACGGGTGGTCATGTTAGTAACTGGAGATGCAGACTTAAATATGGGCTCCCAAAATGATAATAAAGGAAAAGGCAGGATACGAAAGTATATGTACTGAATTATCTGTTTTGTTTCTTAAGAAAAAAAATTCTTTTAATATACACACTCAGCCAACCTATTAACATTGGTTATCTCTGTTGCCGACATGTTTTCTTCTCTACAGTAAACACTTGGTCATTTGCTCTTTTTAAAACCTTATTTTATTTTTTAATTTTTCAATTACAGTTTACATTCAGTATTATTTTGTACATGTATTCGTGTGCACAGCGTGGTGGTTAGACAGTCATCTACTTTACCAAGTGCTCCCCCCCCAATACCTCCAGTACCGCGTGACACCGCACAGAGTTGTCACAGTGGTACTGACTGTGTTCCCTACGCTGGACTTTTCATCCCTGTGACTATTCTGTAACTACCAGTTTGTAGTTCTTAACCCCTTCACCTTTTCCACTACCGGGCAACCATCGGTCTGTTCTCTGTATCTATGAGTCAGCTTCAATTTTGTTTGTTTCTTTTGTTCTTTAGATTCCACATATAAGTGAAATCCTATGGGGTTTGTCTTTCTCTGACTGACTTATTTCACTGAGCATAATACCCTCTAGGTCCATCCATGCTGTTGCAAATGCTAAGATTTCATTCTCATTTAATTTAATTGCTATCATGTGTAAGATACACTATCATTTTATATATTGCTAAAAATTGTCAATTGAACAATGGACATCGCTCATAAGGCGCCCCCTGATTTTTGATGTTAAAAGGTTAAACAAAGCAGGTCTGTGCATTGATAAAACAGAATAAATCTTTACCTCTCAGGGTGTTCTGAGGGGTATAGCAGAAGCTCAAAAAAATATTAGCGGGGTCTAAGGTGGCAACTGTAAAGGGGACATCTTGCCTGCCTCCAGGCTGGGCGCAGATTGGGAAAACAATGGGAGAGGCAGTGCTTCTCTCAAAGCTACGCCACCACGAAGAAGCTGGAAGCCCTGGGTCTGGGCAGCACCTGGCTCTGGGCTTCGCCACCCCCAAGTGGCCGTGGCTCTGAGGGCTTAGGAGGCTGAGGACAGCTGAGGTGGGACGAAGCCTGGAGGGTCAAGCCGGGCTGCATCCAAGCCGGGCTGCCTCCCAGCCGCGCACAGGAAAGGAAATGTAGGCTCAGGAGGCGCTCTTTCTGCAGACCCAGGAGCGAGCTTGGGCCAGCCCCACATCCCTCCACGGCTCCCTCTGTCCCCATCTCACCTGGGAGCACGAGGCAGCCCCACAGCAGGACCAGGGGCCTCATGGTGGATGCCGGACAGCAGGAGCACACGCGCACCGGGAGCAGGGAGCGCCTCTGGGGGCTTTAACTTCCTCCAGATGAACGAGGTCAAAACAAGGAAGGCAGAGGTGGAGCCCCGTGGGTCACCTCTGGGCGCCCAGCCTAGGGGGACGCCTCTGCCATTCCCTTTACTTATCTCCCCCGCCCCCGCCCCCCCCCCGCCTGAAAACCCCACCAGGAAGTCTTAATGGTGGCCAAGGGCGCGCACCCAAGGGGGCAGGGTTGGTGTGTAAAAGTCAGGAAGTCTGCCCATTGGGATGGGAAAGGCTACGACGTACTGACTTGCCATAACCTTTTAAGTAGTATCATTTCCTTCTATTAAGAATGTTAGCAGGACCCGTGACTTTGTCACTAGTAAAAATCACAGGCGTTAGCACATCGAGTTGTCACCAATAGCTCAAAATATCGTGGGCGCTCCTCGCTGCTTAGAAAATCTTTATTTACTATACTTGCCACTAAAGCTTGTTATTTAAAGCGCTAATTAAGATGCACGTTTATTCTTATATTGCACACTTGTAAATATATACATCAATATATAGTTGATTGCAAAGTTCATACAGGTTGTAAGGAAAATTTTATGCAATACAAGAAGGAGGTGGGAAAGGGGGAGGAGTCAGGGGAAGGGGAAGCAGGGGAGAAGAATAGGAATGTTTCCTGTAATTGTCCTCCTCCCTCAGAAGACCCCTGTTTACATTTTGGCATATATACGGTTGGAATTTTATCCACTTGGCAGGCTCATATTTGAAGCAATAACTCAGTGGTTCTGAGAGAGAAGATTGTGTGTGTGTGCTATTCTGGCGATGTGGGAGGTACGTTTAATGTCACGGGGACTGAGGGCACTGCAGGGCAGAGACGAGGCTCACACAGTGACTACCCTGTAAGAGCGATCCCAGCCCAGGACCCTGCTGCTGTTGCGTGTCTAGACTGCAGAAGATAATCTGTTTTTGCAGTTTTAAAAACCACAGATTAAAATACTATTTATTCTAGTGTTTGATAGTATATCTCCGTTCTTTCATTTTTGTTTTGTCCTTGTACAGAATAATTTCTGATCTTCCTAGTTCTCTTAAATCCTAACTTATTTATTGTAAGCAGGGGCAGGCATCTGACACTTTTATGTTTTCTAGTGTCACAGGGCCTGTGCGTTGACACTTTGAAATATGTGTGATTTGGTGACAAGTTGTTTTCTTTTCATTTTTTCCCCTGCTTCTCTTATGGCTCAGGCATCATATTATGATTTTTTAAAAATAAATACTTTATTTATTTATTTTTAGAGAGGGGAAGGAGATAGGGAGAGGAACATCCATGTGTCGTTGCCTCTCGAGTGCCCCCTACTTGGGACCTGGCCAGCAACCCAGGCACGTTCCCTGACTGGGAATCGAACTAGTGACCTTTTGGTTTGCAGGCCAGCACTCAGTCCACTGAGCCACACCAGCCAGGGCTATATTGTGATTTTTTAAAAGTAAGTGTGAGAAGGCATATTATTTATGACTGCATTTCAGGGGAGTGAAAGAAGTGTTACCAAAATTTTAATTTTTACGTAGAGGGTGTTGGGTCTAATCATATGCATCACCTTTGCTCCCTCCGCGTGTATGGTGAGGTTCTTCCCTCCACAGCCCCACCCCTAGCCAGGAGCTCTGTCAGAACGGGTCCTCCAGGCCTGAAGGTATGGCGAGAGTTGGGGAGAAGGGCCTAGAGTGAGAGGCTGGCATGGGCCCTGCACCTGGTCCTGCCTCACAGAGTTTACAGGGGGCAACGGACGGATGCCCCTGGTAAGTCTGGGGGTCTGAGAGGAGAGAACACTCATTTCTTGTTTCTTACCAAGGAGGTAAAAGTCAAGCTTGAAATTTTGGGCAGACAACTGGAAGGCATAAGAAAAACAAAAAGAAATGGCCCAGCAGTTTTGAAAAAGAACAACATAAAATTCTAGGACTGAAAAAAAAATTACAATAATTAGACCTAAGAATTCAAGAAACAAGTTTTAGGGAGACACAATTAAAACGATAATAATGAACCAAAGAAATCATCCGGAATGAAGCAGAGAGAAACAAAAGAAGGGGAAAGAGAGACGAGAGGGTAAAGGGAATGGGGGATAAAGCGAGAACACCCAACATTCATTGTCTTTCTGTTGTATTGGAGACACAGAATGAAAGAGGACAGAGGATGTGACACAAGCGGTAATCAAATAAATAATTGTGAGGAGGATGTTCCAAATGTGAAGAAACATACCACGGGCCCTGGCTGGGTAGCTCAGTTGGTTAGAGCGTTGTCCCCATACGCCAAGGGTCACGGTTCCATCCCCAGCCAGGGCGCACAGAAGAAGCAACCAATGATGCACAAATAAGTGGAACAACAAATTGATATTTCTCTCTCTCTCTCTCTCATATCAATTTAAAAAATTAAAAAAAAAACCCCACGCCACGAGTCCTTTATATATGTGCGTGATTATAACATGCAGGGAGCTAAAGCCTGTGGCCCAGGGCATGGGCCCCGCTTGCCTGGGTGCAGTGTGGACACCTGGTCTGTGACGAAGGAGTAACAGCAGAGTAGTGGGGTGAGGGGAGGTGGGCTTTTCCGTGTTGGGACGCGTGGAAAAAATGTGAGATGTGATCCTTGCCTCCCAGCACCTACGAAAATCGGTTTTAGGTGGCTTACAGAACTCAATGAAAAATGCAAAATGATTGAGCTTTTTGAAGATAATGTAGCACACGTCCATGGCCTGGGGCCTGGGGAAAGTGTTCTTAAACAGGAAACAAAAAGCACAGGCCACAGAGGAAAATACTGATACATTAGACTACGTTAAAATGAAAAACTTTGCCCAAAGACACCACGAAGAGTGAAAAGACATAACCAAAGGGTGGGGGAAATGGCAACCACACACATCACAGAACATGAAGAAATTGTAAAATTAAAAAAGAAAATTGTAATATTGAGTGAAAGGAGCCAGGCGTACAAAAGACAAAAGACATCTTGTATGATTCTGTTGAAATGCTGTTTGAAAGCAGAGCCAACGGCCCGGTGTTGATTGTATACTTAGATGGTAAAACCAGACCGCGGAAGTGATCACGGGAAAAGTCAGGGCCGCGAGATGTTGGGGTCTGTGGGGGCCTTCTGAGGCTGGCAGAGTTTATTTCTTCATCAGCGTGGTGGCTGCATAGGCGTTCCTTTATTTGTGAAGTTGTCTTGTTTACACGCTTTCCTGTGTGTCTAACAGTCTAGTTCACAAATCTAAACTTTTTTTTTTGAGATGGAGTAACAAAAACAACGGATAGGAAAAGTTATCAGAAATCTCCGCTCCTCCCCCACATGTAGTTGCACTTTCCCTATTTTTCACTGAGATGGAAGATGGACTGAGCTGCCCTTTCTTCCTACCCCCCGGCTCACCCTCTTGCAGTATGTCTGGGAGTGAGCCCACTTCTCCTCCTGGAATTTTTCCCTGTTCCCCTCGGTGTCTGGGCTGAATGCCAAGAGAAGCAGACCTGTAGCCTGAAGCAGATTCCTTCTGCCACCTCTTGGAGGATCGCTGACATTCTGTCTTTTCCAGAGCCTGCCGCCTGTGCTCTCCTCTCTCTGTAAAGGTGGACCCCAAGTCATTCGTTCCTCCGGCCTCGAGTTCAGCTTCCTGCCCCATCGGTGGCTGCCCTGCCCCGAGCACCTTAGCCAAGGCCTGGCTGGGTGAGGCGGCCCCTGCCTGGCTTCCAGCTGTCGTGGACACGTCTGCCCCGCGTCACCGTCTCTGTCCGGGGTGCCGCGTTCTCCCCAGCATTCTCGTTCTAAACCCTCATTCACCTGAACATCTCTCTCTTTTCCTGTGCTTCCTTTTCATTCTAACCTCCCTCCCCAAATATCCTTTGGGCTAAAGGACAGGTACATATAAACGTTTTAGTACACAATGCTAAAGTATCTTCTAGAAAGTTTACACCAGTTAACAGTCCCTGAAGCTGTGTCAATGATGGGTGTCAACAAACTTAAACATTTTTGTCTGAATAGGTGAAAAGGGTCATCATTTTATTTTGGTTTGAATTTATTGATTATGAGTAAAGCCCTGAATTTTTTTGTATGTTTATTGTCTGTATGTATGTCTTTTGTAGCAAACCACCTATTGTCTTTGACCATTTTTCTGTTTTCATCTTTTGTTTAAAGTGTGTGTGAGCTATTAAATTAAGGAATTGAACTGTTTATCATATTGCATTTGATGTAATATCATGTTACAAATAGGATTTCTGTCTATGAAAGTGTTTACCTTTTATTGAGTCCCACATATCTATCTTTTTCTTTATAGATCTGGGTTTAGACCCTGCTTAGAAAGGCTTTTCTAACTCCACTGGGTAAGTATTTTGGTGTGTGGAGTGAGGTAGGGATTCGGCTTTTTTCCTTTTTGCATAAAGAATAGCTAGTTTTCCCCACATTATTTTTTTAATAACCTCCCCCCCACATTTACATGTACATATTTGTATAGGACATGTCCAGAAAGTATCCAGCCATGTACTATGAAAAATACAATATGTATATTTATAAAGTCATCTTTACAAAAAGTTAAATTACCGTATACAGGAAGACTATTTCTGTACTTTCTGTCTTGTTCTGTCTAGTTGGTGGTGGTTTCTTCAGCACTAACCTTTAAATAATTATTTTCATATCAAAAATGTTTCTGATAGTGCTCTCCCCACCCCATCTGGTCTATTTTTTTCAGAATTTTCTTGCTATTCATCAATGCTTGTCTTTTCTGATGAGTTTCAGTAGCATTTAATAAGTTCCCTCTGAAAAGCCATTTTATATTTTAATTGAGATTGAATTGTGTTTGAAGATTATTTTAGAATGAATTGACATACTTCCAATATTGAACTGTCCTTTTTTTCTGAGTTAGCTTGTTGTGAATGTCCTTTACTAGTGTTTTAAAAGTCCCTCCCCCCATATATCAATAGATTCTTCACCTTCTCTATAAGTGTATAACTTAGTATTTAATTCTTTGTTTGCTGTTTTTGTTTGGAATTTTTTTCATTATACTTTAGAACTATTTTTGTTCATAAGGAAATCACTGCATTTTTCATATCAATCTGTGTACTCTGCCATCTTATTTAATTTTCCTCATCATTTCTATTTTTAGTCAATACTTTTGAGTTTCTAGGTATAGTGTGTATCACCCGAGCTGCCTCCTTCTAGTATCTGTCTGTTATTTCTTTTCCTCGTCTGCTCATATTGGCCAGCACACCCAGAGCGATGTTAAATGATTCTGGTATTGAGGGACACCTTGAGGTTTAATTGTCGCATTCATGCACATTTAAGCTTGAAATGTCTGGTTGGTCAACTGATTCCTTTTCATTATGAAATATCTCCCCTTATCCCTGGTGATAATTCTTGTTTTGAAGTCTATTTTGCCCTCTATTAATGTAGTCACTTCAGCTTTATTAACTGGTATTTCCGTGGTAAATTTTTAAAATTCTTCTTTTTTTAATATCACTATATCTTCATGCTTAAAGTGAGTTTCTGCTAGCTAGCACCCAGTTAAATTTTGCTCTTTTAAAGAATTCAATCTGACAATCTCTGTCTTTTATTTAGAGGATTTAGATTATTTACTTTTTATGAAAACAACTTTATTGAGATATAATTTACACACCATAAAATTCATCCCTTTAAAGTGTACAATTCAATGGTTCTTAGTATATTCATGGAATTATAAAACTGTCACCATAATCTAATTTTAGGACATTTTCATCACCTTAGAAAGAAACCTGGTCCCCATTAGCAGTCAGTCCTCACCTCTACCCACCAAGCCGTGGGGACCCCTAATCCCCTGGTCTCGAAAGATTTGCTTATTCTAGATTTTTCTTGCTAATGAATCATACAATAAGCAGTCTTTTGGGACTGATTTTTTTCACATTGCATAATATTTTGAGGTTCTTCAATGTTGAGTCATGTATTAGTACTTCATTTCTTTTTTTACTAAATAATATGTCATTGAATGGTTATGCCCTATTTTATTTATCCATCTATCAGTTGATGACATTTGAGTTTTTTCCTACCTTTTGGTTATTACAAATAACACCACTTGAATATTCTTGTACAAATTTTTGTGTTTTTATTTTCATTTCTCATGTATATATTTAGGAGTGGAGTTGCTGGATCCTATGGTAACTTTAATCTTTTGTTCACCTTCATTTTTGAAAGATATTTTAAAAAATCATGCATGGGTGCCTTTTCAAGCATCTATGGAGGCCATATTAATTTTTCACTTTTCATCCTATTAATAGATTGCCTTATGTGAAGTTATAGTAATAGATCTCCAAATATTAAACCATTTATTTTCCAGGTATTGAGCCATTTTTAGAATATACCATGGTGTATTATTCTTTCGATGTTCTGGTGAAATCACCAGCTAAAATAGTTTCTAGGATTTTTCTTCATAAGTGAGACTGGTTTGTGGGATTGGTTTTTTGCTTTCTTTAACAGGTTTTAGTGTCAATGCTATGTTTACTTTATAAAAAGAATTTTGAAGATTTCCTTCTATTTACATATTTTTAGAACAGCGATTTTCAACCTTCTTTATCTCATGGCACACAAACTAATTACTAAAATTCTGCTGCACACCAAAAAATATATTTTTCACACATCTGCCCCCCCCCCAAAATAAGACAGGTATAATTTTTATTCATTTACACAAAACAGCTATTGTTGTATTGGCTGCTGTCATTTTTTAAATTTTGCAATCTAAGGGAAAAGAGGTCAGTGCCCCTGATGAGTTGCATATTTGAAAAGTTCTTGTGGCACACTGGTTGAAAATTGCTCTTCTGGAAGAGGTAAAGATAACTGTTTTTGGTTTTTTTTTTTTAAGGTTTTAGGTATTTATTTTTAGAGAGGAGAAGAGAGGGAGTAGGAGAGGGGAAAAAACATCAGTGTGTGGTTGTAGTTCACACTGCCCCTGCTGGGGACCTGGCCTGCAACCCAGGCGTGTGCCCTACACTGGGAATTGAACCAGTAACGCTTTGGTTCGCAGGCTGGTGCTCAATCCACTGAGCCACACCAGCCAGGGATAATAACTATTCTTTTAATTTGGTAGAATTCTTCTGAAGAACTGTCTGGCGTTTCTTGAGGGAGCAATTCTTTGACAGCTCTACTCTATTGAAATCAGCCTGTTAATATTTCTGTGTCTTCTGGAGCATTTTAGATAATTTGTGTAGGATGACAAATGAGTCTCTGGACCAGCCAAGTTCAAGTCCAGGTCTGTGAGTCAGTGACAGCATCAAGATCACAACACCCCAGGATCACACAGTCCAGATCTTTCACCTCTGCCTCTCATTCACTATAACACATGTGACATTCATCCATGTTGGTGCATGGGAGGAATAATCTTTGATAGTAGTTTGTTTCTTTTTACTAATGAGTGAATATACCAGTATACAGACATACCACAATTTATTTACCATTCACTTGTTGATGAACATCTGGGTTGTTTTTTGTTTGGAGCTATTATGAATAAGTTACATTAAATATTCTTGTTCGGGTGTTGTGGACAGATGGTTTTATTTCTCTTGGATAAATACCTAGGAGTGGAGTTGCTGGAGCGTGGGGTAGATGTATGGTGATACCTGCTTGTGGCTTTAATGTGCATTTCCCTGATAACAAATAATATTGACAAACATTTTGTCATATGCTTATCTTTTGTGAGATATGGGTTCACACCTTTTGCTCTTTATTTTGGTTATGATTATTGTTTAGTTGCAGGAGTTCTTTATTGCAGACACAAGTTCTTTGTCAGATATACTTGTTATGAATGTTTCAGTCTTTGGCTCGCTTACTTATTTTCTTGATAGCGTTTTTTGATAAACAAAAGTTTTAAATTTTTATGAAGTTCCTTTATCAATTTTTTAGGTTCTATGCTTTTTATGTTTTTTTTCCTAAGACATGTTTGCCTACTGAAAGTCTGAGAAGGTAATCTCCTAATTTTTTTTTTTTTCCTGGAAGCTTTACCAGTTTATGTTTAGGTCTATGGTCCCTCTTAAATTGAACTTTGTGTGTGGTGTAAAATAGGGATTCAGTCCCCTCTGCCCCTTCCCCCACATATACGCGTGAATATCCAGTTGTCCCAGCATCATGCATTGGTGCCCTTGTCAAAAATTATTTGACCCTTGCCCTGGATGATGTGGCTCACTGAAGAGTCACAGGTTCAATTCCCTGTCAGAGCATATGCCAGGGTTGCAGGCTGAGTCCCCATTTGGGGGCAAACAAGAGTCAGCCAATTAATGTTTCTCTCCCTCTCTTTCTCTCTCCCTGAAAATAATAAATAAAGTCTTTAAAAAAATCATTTGACCCTCCATCAGACGGCTCTTGATATCGAACACTAAACACCCCAGGTAAAACTGTGTCTCCGGTAGTCTTTCTTTACTCAAAGTGAGGTCCTAAGACAAGGAACATCCCTCCGCCCGCCCCCCCTCAACTTGTTAGAAATGCAGAATCTGGCAGGGCTCCAGCCCTACACAACCCCTAGGTAATTCACAGGCACCTTACATTTGGAGAAGCGCTGGTATAGACGTTTGAGGAAGGAAGGGAAATGGGGAAATGCAATCATGACCTACTCTGCCATGGACAGCCTCCCCATCATGCACTGCAGGTTACTGGGAGCGGGTGGGGTTGGAGGTGCCGTGGACCCATTTCCTCTCCAGCCCCTTCTTTGCTGCTGGGGAGGAGGGGGGGACTCACCCTCCAATCGCCACAACCAGCTGCTCACTCCCCCATACACAGCCTTCCACCCCTGAGCCTCAGTTTCCTCAGTTACAGAGCAGAGATAATAATGGTCTCTACCTCAGGGGTTTATGTGATGCGAAGGGATTTGAGGAGTACCTGGGGCACAGGGACAGCACAATAAAAGTCAGTGATCGTCATGGCCGTGTCCGAGTCCCTGAACACAAGCTGTCCCCCTTCCCCCTCGGTCCCTTTCCTCTCGGTCCCTTCCTTCCCGCACCGGGGCAGAACTGAGCCTTGCGGTCTCGCCAGCCCAACTTCTCCCGCCCTTATTTCTCCTCGCCCCCAGGGCAGCGTGCACCGATAAATCTCCAGCACGTTGCATTGTTACCGCGAGCTGCCCTCGCCTCTGACCGGCCTCCCGCCCCGCCTGGGAGTCCCTCAAATCCAGGATATCTGTCTCCGTCATCTTTGAACCCCTAGCCCCTGGCACAGTGCCTGGCACTTGGAGGGCGCTCCATAAATGTTTGCAAAATTTAATTATATGTTCAGCAAGCGTCCGCCCCACCGCGCGCTGGGGGTGGGCACGAGGGGGCGGTGGGGGCGGGATGAAAGGCTGGCTGTGTGCCCGGGTTGTGGGGGGACACAGGCAGGGGGCTCCTCGCGTGGGAGTACACTGAGGAGGCGATACGACGCAGAAGAGCGAAGAGCTGGCGGTGCCAGACGCCGGGGACGGCCTCCGCTCCTCCCCCACTCCCTCTCCGGCGCCCCCTGCTCCCTCCTCCTCCTCCTCGCGCTCGCCTCCTCCCGCTCCACCGCCCCCGCCCCGCGCGGCTGCTGCAGGGAGGGGCCGGGAAGGCGGAGCCAGCGGCGGCCGAGGCTCCGCGCCCCCGAGCGTCTCCCCGGCTAGAGCGGAGATTCCGGCGCGCCCAGGTAGGAACCCGCGGGGAGGGAACAGACAAGGGACTGGGGCCGTGGCGGGAGGGGCCAGGCGGGGGCGTGGATCAGGAGCCGAAACCCGCCCCTCGTGCCCACAGCAGCCTCGCGGCCCACCGAGTCCCCAGCTGGGGGTAAGGGGAAGCTCAGTCCCCTCCCCACGGCCCCGGCCTTTCCTCCCGCACTCCCCACCCGCTGCGCCCCACTCCTTTCCAGCTCCTCAGCATCCTCCTTCCGAGGCCGCCCTGCCAGCGTCCCCTCAGGTCTCGCCTCTCCTTAGCCCAACCTCGCTCCTTGTTCGTCCCACAGGTTCCTTCCGAAAGCGAGCTGGAGTCTGTGCTTGGCCGCCTCGGGGTGGGGGGCCAAGGTGGGGGGCTCAGCTAGGAGGAGCCAGTAGGTTAGTCCCAGCTTGGGGTGGGGGGTGCGGTGGCGGGAGGGCCGAGTACCATTCTTTTGCATCTTAGTGTCACCCTTGCTCGGGCGCAGAGGGGCTGGCCCCAGGTTATCCGAATGAATGAATCATTACTCTCCTAGTCCCCTTCTGAAGGAGGACTTTTTGAGGTCCACGTGCTGCAGAGCACGTTGGGGGGCCGTCTGAGCCAGGGCTCCTCCACCGGCGCTCTCCGTTCCCCACCTCCTCTCTGCGCTCCATTCTAGGGGGAGGTTCCCTTCGGATTGGGGCTGGAGGGATGGAGGGGAAGGAAGGAGCTTGTCGGCCCAGCCAGGTACTTGTTGAAGGTGTGACAAGAAAGGGACTTGATCAAGGCCTCTTAGAAGGTCACAGGAGGAGGGGGCTGCTTCGGAGGAGAGCGCCCACCTTCAGAGACGGGCCTCTTGGATTCGGGCCCTTAAGTAACTGAATTCCTCCAAGCTTCTGTTTCTTTATCAGTAAAATGGTAATATTAGTATTCCTTCCTCAGAGCTTCGTGCAGATTAAGAAAAACGTCACATGAAATCACCCAGGACCCAATGCTTGGCACACTGGGGGCACTCTGCAAATCTCAGTTTTCTCTCCTTTCTGAAAAAAAAGTGAGCAGAGAGTTATTTGTTCCCATCTCCTCTGTCCCCATATTGGCCATGGACGGACACAGTAGATGTGTAATCACTGTTGGATGAATAAGCTTGATGGAACTTCACCCCCTCCCCCTTTTCCCCCCAGAATCCACAGGCAGAGCTGGGGATCTGATCAGCACAGACATGCCCGTGCTGACCGAGGACTCTGGTGAGTGCCTCCCTGGGGCTGGGCCTCCAGGGCTCTGAGGACAAGAACCTGACCAGCAGCCAGGCTGGGAAGAAAGCAGGCGGCTCTCAGCGTTGGTTCTCAGGAGCTGCGGGGCCTCCAAGCCCCGGGAATGAGGGCCCGGGAAGAGAGTGTTCACAGGATCGGGCTCAAGTGTTGTCTGAGGGTCCGCTGGGGGTTCCCACTGGGAGTGCCAGTGGAGGTACCGTTGCATTTGCTGTACTTCGTTTCCCTGACACTCCTCAGGCTTGCATGAGACCCTGGCGCTGCTGACCTCTCAGCTCAGACCCGACTCCAACCACAAGGAAGAGATGGGCTTCCTGCGGGATGTTTTCAGTGAGAAAAGCCTCAGTTACTTAATGAAGGTATAGCCCTGTTTCATCCCCCCCGGTGAGGGTTTCTAGAGGTCTTCCTAGCTAGCTGTGGCCCATGGAAGCCATCCTAGCCGGCCCCCTGCCCCAGAAAGGTCTTTGTTAGCCCACTGTGCAGGGTTTTCTCTTACGCTGTCCTGTGGATGACCCAGTTTGCAGCCCCACAGCCGTGGGCGGGCTGTGTGGCGTCCAGGGTAAACCTCGGCAGCTGGCTTGGGAGGCTCCAGCCAGAAATCGGCTGTCTTTGCAGATTCACGAGAAGCTTCGCTACTACGAGAGGCAAAGTCCGACCCCTGTTCTGCACAGCGCTGTGGCCCTCGCAGAGGACGTAAGCCCTGGCTTTTCCTTCCCGGTGTCAGCCCTTCCCCCAGGCCGCAGTGCCCCCCCCCCCCCCCCTTGTCTCACCACCATTGCTTAGCCAGGGAACACCGGGAAGGGAAGCCTCAGGGTGAAGAGGGTCTTCTTCCCTGCTCCTCCTTGAGCCTCGTAACAGTCTGGGAGGAGCTTGTGGGCCTCGGACTGGGCTGGGGGACATGGTGACACTATGACGCCTACTCACTGTGTGTTCCCGAGAAAGTCTGTTTCTCCGGCTGTGAGGTGAGAGCATTTGGATCAGACCCGCGGTTCCCAGACCGCTGAGGACTGGCAGTACCGAATAGGTCGAACAAGCCAGGGTGTCTGCGGAGGCCCCTTGTGAAGTCCTGGGGGCAACGAGTCTGTCCTCCTTTCCTGGCTCAGCCTTCTTGTTTTTTAAAGGGATGCTTCCTCATTTCTTGCGGACCTGTCCTCTCTGTTGCATTGCCTGGGGAAAGCAGTCTCTGTTGATTACGAAGCCCAGCTCCTGAATAAACCCACCTAAGCCCAGGCCTGCTGAGGGAGGGGTGCAGCCCACGGGTGGGTGCGGTTTCTCCTCCATGGAGTGTGAGAGCCTCCCTGCTAGGCTCCCAGGAGCAGCACTGCCTTTACTACTAGCTCTGTGACCTCAAGCTCTCTGAGCCCCAATTTGCTCATCTATAAAACAGTGCAGTGGGGAGGGTGCAGATAAGAGAGTCAGAGAAGGCCAGGTTCAAGTCCTAGCTGTGCCACGTACGAGCTTTGTGACGTTGGGTAAGCTATTTAATCTCTCCTTTAATTCTCATCTGTAAAATGGCAAGATAACAGGGCCTGCTACATCCAGTTCATTGTGAGAGTTAAGTGAGGAGGTCCACATAAAGCAAATGACACCCCGTAAGGGCTTCGTAAGTTAGCGCGTGTTCGGATTGTCCTGTGGAGCTGCTCAGGGTCTTCCGGTCCTTGGTGTGATTTCCCTGGGAGCTCCAGTCCTGGGTGGCTGAGGGTCCAGTGCGCCCCTGGGTGCTGCAGCAGTCACTGGGGGGGCCCTGGGGTCTGAGGTCCGAGGAGCAGGGTTTGCCCGGCTGCCCCCAGCAGGCTGGAAGCACCCACAGCCTCCCGTCTCTTTGCCCGGCAGGTGATGGAGGAGCTGCAAGCCGCCTCCGTGCGCAGCGACGAGAGGGAGCTGCTCCAGCTGCTGTCCACCCCCCACCTCAGGGTAGTCACGCCGCAGTCCCTGCCCGCCCACGCTGCTCATGTCCCCTGAGATGGGGGCAGAGGGAACATTCAGTCGTGCGACAGAGGAAAGGAGGCTTCTGAGTGGGGGATCCTCTGTGTCGGTGTCCGGGGTGAAATCTGAGACCCCCGGCCATGGCCCACCCAAGGCCCCCGGGCCCCCGGGAGCCCTGGGCCAGCCTTTCATTCGTTTTGCTTTCCTGACAGGCCATGCTCATGGTTCATGACACGGTTGCCCAGAAGAATTTTGACCCTGTTCTCCCGCCTCTGCCTGATAATATCGATGAGGATTTCGATGAAGAATCAGTGAAGATTGTCCGCCTGGTGAAGAACAAGGAACCCTTGGTAAGTGGCACCCTCCCCGTGCCACCCTTTCCTTCTTCCACCCAGAAAATGAGGAAGGGACCCTCCTGAAGCCCTTGGAGTGAGTGATGGCAGCTTTGTCAGGGTGTCAGTGTCCCCGCAATGCTTTTGTGTGCAGGGCGCCCCTTTCTCTGGGTGGGTGCATCCTTCCTCAGCTGTGGCCGAGCTCCTGTGCATAGCAAGTAACCTGCACAACTGCACGGTGCGGCCCCGACCAGCAGGCTCTGAATTGGCAAACTGCAGTCCAAGGGCCAAACCCAGCCCACCGCCAGATTTTTGTAAATAAAGTTTTATTGGCACACAGCCATTCTGTTCATTTTCATATTGTTTGCAGCTCTCTTTACATTGCAACGGCAGAGTTGAGTAGTTGCAAAGAAGACCGTGCGGCCCCCAAAACCTAAAATGTTTACCTTTGGCCCTTTATAGAGAAAGTTTGCCAGCCCCTTCTCTGAGTACCCAGGAAGCACAGGGCAGCAGCCTTTTCTGCAGCTGACAGATGGTTATCATTTTCATCCTGGTTCAGCACTGACTTACCAAGCAAAGAGACAGGTTGTTGATTAAACGGAGGGAAGTGGGGGAAGTCCAGGGAATTGAGTGCCTGCCCTGAAGAATACCACAGCTGGCAACTCTTCGTCGTCTGCTTTCGGCAAGCGACTTCAGATGAGCCACTTCTGCAAACAGGGCGGGATCTCTCCTCTGCCTCTTGCCTGCCCTTCAAAATGGGGCTGTCGCCCATCCACGCAGCAAGCACCTCGGGCGCCCTTCTGTGTGCCAGGCACCTTGTTGGGTGCAGGTTGTCCAGAGATGATTAAGTCCTTGCTCTCTGGGAGTTCACAGGAGCTCACGCCTGGGGGTTTCCTGGAAGGGGTACATTCCAAAAAAAGAAACGGGGTTTTCCAGAAGGAAAGGGGAGAGGAAGGGCATTCCACACAATAGGCTGCGTGAGCGAAGCCCAGGGAAGGTAGCCAGCATGGCATGGTCAGGCGGCTCTGGCGGCCTGGTGTGGACATAGGATGCCAGGTTCGAGGGGAGCAGCAACCCGGGGGAGGCCAGAGCGGTGGCGGATCAGCCCTTCATAAAGGTCCTGATTGTCCGTCCACGCAGGGTGACTTAGCTTGACCCCAAAGGCAGCGGGGAGCCACGGAAAGGTTTCAAGTAGGAAAGAGCGAGGCCAGGTTTGCAGTGTAGGAAGAGCACAGCGGCTTCCACGTAGAATGTGATCTGGAGAGTGAGGCCAGAGGCAGAAAACCAATCTGCAGGCGGGGGCCAGGTACATGAGGTTTAGAAAGGGGGCTGACAGGGAACAGAAATCCAAAAAATATTTCAGAAATAAAGTTAACATCCCTTTGCGACTGCCGCAGTTTGGGCAGGAGACTGGGAAGGCACCGAGGATAATGCCCAGGTGTCCTGCTGGGACTACTGGGTGGGCGCTGCAGCCGTTCTAGGGGCGGGATTAGGAGGGGCGTAGGGCTCATTGAGTTCGAGAGGCCTGTGTGACTCACAAGTGGAGGTGACCCGGAGGTGGAAGGCTTATGTGTCCAGAGACCTAAATCTGGCAGCCCCCAGCTTCCGGGAGGGGTTAAAATTACACCCGAGAGATCAAGACCTCGTGGGTGAAGATATACAGAGTGAGACAAGGAGAGGACTGGGCTGAGTCCTAGCCCTTCAGTCATTATTTAAAGGCAAAGAGAGGAGGGCTCAGCAAAGGAGATGACTTGTCATTGGGAAGAACTGGGAGAGAGGAGTCCCCGGGGCCCAGGCCAGGAGAGAATTCCACTGGGATGGGAGCCCCGGCATAAGACAGGAGGGTGATCGGGAGAGAAGACGGAAGGGGGCAACTGGCCGGTCGGCAGGTGCTTCTGCGGTGCATTTGAGGCCGCAGGGGTGCGTGACTCAGAGGGCAGGAGGCAGAGAGAGCAGACGCATGCTGCTTCTTAAGAAGCTTGCTCCAAGGGAAGGGAGACTGGCTTCTGCTGGATGGGCGCGCAGGCTTGTTCATGATGGGAGGGACGTGATAAAGCTTTTTAGGGCCTGGAGAAGGAGCCAGTAGAGAAACAGCACAGAGGACGCAGGAGCGGGAGGGAGGGGAAGAGGGACCAGCCCGGACAGGAGCCGCCCGTCTGCGGAGCTGGGGAAAGGGCAGCAGACGGGCGGACGCTGGAAACCCTGAGGTTCTTCGGGGCAGGAAGCCACAGAGCTCTCAGGTAACAACCTCTCTTTCCAGCAGTGTTTATCTTCCCGTAGTTCAAACAGACGACACGCACGGAATTCATAATAAGTGTACCAATGTGCTTGCAGTTACAACCAATAATGAAGGGTTAGCATTTATTGAGTGCTTATTGTATGCTAAGTGCCTGCGTGCATTACCTGATGTAAACCTTGGCACAGCTCCGTGAGTTAAATGCTACCTCACACCCCAGAGGACACAGGCTCGGAGAGGATAAGGGGCTTCCTTGCTAAGGCTTTGCTTTTAGTAAATGGCAGGGTGGATTCAAACCCAGGGCTGTCCCACCGCGGGCCTTGGCTCTTGACCTGACTGCCGCCCTGCCCTGCTGCTGCCAGCCTGCATGGTATATGAAACTGAGGGATCTTTCTCATCCTAGATAACCTCTCTTGTGGGCTCCATGGGCCAAGTCCCGGTCCCAAAGCTCTGGCTGGGGCGTAATTGGTTCCCTTCGGCAGCAGAAGGCCCGGTAACCCTGTGATTGGTTAGAGGCAGGATGAGAATTTGCTGGCACACACTCGCCCCATCATTAAGTGTCTTAGCAAAAGGCAGGGGCTGTGATGGGATAGAGGAAGCTCTGAATTCTGCATCACAAAAAGCTTTACTGCTTCTCAGCTGAGTGACCTGGAAGATGCTTACTGTCTCCGAGCGCCCGCCCCGCATCCCTAACATGAGATCGTTGCTGCGTTATTGTGCTTTGTTTAAACTGTAAAGCGCTGTGCTATACTAATGAGAGATGTCAGTTTTATTGAGTCCTCGGTATCGGAAAGGCCCCTGCTGAGCTGCTCTGTGGGTGACAGAGGGAGGGACGGGACGGCTCTTTTGGGTCCAGAGCATTGGGGCCTGAGGTTTGGGGGTGCTTCTGAGGAGCCTGCCCGCTCTGTCTCTGATGCAGGGCGCCACTATCCGACGGGATGAGCACTCGGGGGCTGTCGTGGTGGCCAGGATCATGCGAGGCGGCGCAGCAGACCGCAGTGGTGAGTGGCGTCGGTGCCCCCCTGGCCAAGGGAGCGGCTTTCATCCCCTGGCCTCCCCGCCTCGGCCACAGGTCTCATTTCCCCCTCCTATCCCGTCACCTGTTTGGGATGCACTGAGAGTTGGGGAGCGGGGCTGGAATTCTCTTTCACAAGCCAGGGAGAAATTTTAATTGCTTGCATAAGAGATTGAATTGGTTGACTCTCTCAGGCATGGAGTGCTCTGCGGGGATCAGAGGGACTCATGCATTGGCTTGGCCCTGGGACTGCGGTGGTTACGCACACGGCGTGGGCCTGGTGGGTGATTCCTACCTGCGGAGCAGCGGCCCCCTTCCCCACCACCCAGCTGCCGCTACTATTAAGGGGAGGGTTCGTGTCCCCGATTGGTTTGGGTGGAAAACAAGTTGCAAGCCACTGCGTGGGGAAGAACTCCTGAGTCGGAGGCAAACCTCTGGGGAGCGGGGCATTGCCCCAAACGTCTGGGGATCACTGATGTGGAGGGTCCTAGACCAGAGCTTCTCAAACACGAGCAAGCACGGGAACCCTGGCCCCCCCCCGCCCTGTCGTCTTGTTAAAGGGTGATGCTGATTCAGCAAGTCTTAGGAGGGCCCCAGACCCTTCAGCCCTAGCCACCCCTGCTGGCTAATGCTGTCGGGCCAGTGTCTACTTTGAGTAGCAAATGGGGCCCCCTCTGCAGAGACACTTGCCATTAAAGCGCAGGCCAACAGACAGGTGTGTTTAACCCTCTTGCTGACATCTTCCCCGGGGCTCCCAAGTTTTCCTGTTAAGATTTGAGAAGGACATTCTTTGAGTGTGTCTGTAAACGCAGAGAAGTGAAAAGTTAATGACTTTTTTTTTAAGAAGCAGAGGTTTCAGCAGAAAGAACACAGTTTTTCTATATTATTTCTTAGCAGTTTGGCCTCGGGCAAGCTGCATAATTTTTCTGGGTCTCAGCTGCCAACTTGTAAACTGGAGATGTCCCCGGGGGCCGTGAGGCTGAGATGCCCAGTGAGGCGCCCAGCACACAGCAGGGACTCAGTGTACCCCACTCCCAGCGGTGCCCAGAGCTTCGAGGGCCGAGGCCCCCTCCTGGGCTGATGGCCGTGGTCGCTGCTGTGTCTCCTAGGCCTGGTCCACGTCGGGGATGAGCTCCGGGAAGTGAATGGGATCACAGTCCTGCACAAGCGGCCCGACGAGATCAGCCAGATTCTGGTCTGTGATGCGTGCGCGCGCTGGCGGTTTGGTGGTGCTTCGTGAGGCCGGGTGGATACGGCTCAGTCTCCCTGTTTTTTTAATTTCTATTTTAAAGATTTTATTTATTTTTAGAGGGAGGGGAAGGGAGGGAGAAAGAGAGAGAGAGAGAGAAACATCGATGTGCAAGAGAAACATCGATTGGTTGCCTCTTGCATGCCTCCAACCGGAGACTAAACCTGGAACCTAAGCACGTGCCCCGACCAGTAATCGAACTGGCGACCCTTCAGTTTGCAGGGTGATGCTCAACCAACTGAGCCACGCCAGCCAGGGCTCAGTCTCCCTGTTTTTATGGGCGGGCCTCAGGGCATGGGTGGGGGACAGTCGGAATTGAGCTTCTAGTCCACCTGCCTCCTGTGGACCCTCTCTTCAGCACAGCCACGCCCCCGGTCCCTAGCTCCCTTTCCTGAGGATTCTCCTGGGAGACCCCCCTCAAAAGGGTCTCCTCTTCCAGAGGGTCAAGGAATGTAAGAGGCTGCAGCACAAGGAGGACCCAAACAAGGGCTTTGGGTTCAGCCAGCCCTGGGTTTGAATCCTGCCTCCGCCACTTTCTAGCTCTGCAACCTGGGGCAAGTCATCAAATCATTCTGAGCGTCAGTTCCTTTCCTGGCCAGTAAGGACAGGGCTGGTTTCTCATCCTATGAGTGGCGATTATTAGCACATAAACATCTGGAGAAGGATACAGCACTTCACATCTGGGCTGGGGCGTAAACAGCCTCCAGAGCCCATCCTGGGAGTTCAAGTGGAAACTGAAATTGTGAAGAGCCCCAGTCATAGTTTTGTCCTCTGTATCTTCAGCGTTCTTCCCCGGGGTGACACTCCTTGCCAACTTCTGATGGCGTGGGGACCGAAACGGGGTGAGACCTGAAGAGAGGAGGCTGGCGCTTTAAGGCCCCACTGCAGGGCGGCCTCTTCAGTCTTCCTGTCTCACCGCCCTTCCCTGGCTCTGGGCGCTGACCTCCTCGCGGTCCAGGGTGATGCAGGGCCAGCGAGACCGGGGCGAGAGGCACTCTCGTGGGCTGACAGCGTTCTTCCTCGCGCGCCCCCCACACGGGGGTGCAGGGTCACTGTCAGGCCGAGGGAAGGGGAACACTGGGGAAGATGGACGCCAAGAGGGAAGTGCTGATTGGGAACCAGCCCCAAATCAGGTTGGAAGGGGAAAAAGGAAAATGGATGAGGTTATTCAAAATAACCCAAAAGGAAGGAAAGCAGGGCAGCCCTTTGGGGCACTAGAGGTCAAGAGGGACAGATGAGTTCGGTGCATGCATTGTCCTTGGGGTCTCGTTTAAAATCTTATGTCCCTGTGTCTGAAAATGCAGGTACCTGGGTTTTGAATTTTGCTTTGTTAACTCAGCCGCTGCCACCATAGAAGGGTGGGTCACAGAGGAGGCAGGGGCGAGTCTGACTTTCTTCTGAACGTGAGTTTCAGACCTGGGAAGTCAGATGTGAACTCGTGGAGGGCGAGACGTGGGAGACAGTAAGCCTGTGCGCCCTCTCCCCCCAGGCTCAGTCCCAGGGATCCATCACCCTGAAAATCATCCCAGCCACCCAGGAGGAGGACCGGTTAAGGGAGAGCAAGGTATGGGGGCGGGGCTGCAGGCAGGGCGAGGGCGCCAGCCCGGCCTTGGAAACGGTCATTCGGGAATAGACCACACAGCTGGCCTCGGAACGTGTGCTCCGTAGACTCATTCCATCACAAACATTTATTTGTACCCTGCCTCTTTTTAACAGGATGTGACCTAGCTTGCTAATGAATTTTAATTGAAATAGAAAATCAGGGCCATAGGGAGGAAGGAAAGATACCAAATGTGCTGTGCTTTGGGACCAATTAAGTAACTGCCATTTGTTTAATTCTTTGCGAAGCCTACCTTTTTTGGGTACCTCCTCTGTGCCAGGTGCTGTGCCAGATGCTGGCGACAGGATCGATTAGGAGCTTTGAGGATTCCTAGCGTAGAAGGGGAGGCCGGAGGGCAAGTCTTTTATTGCCCCGTGGCAAGTGCCACGGGAAGATTCTGTACAGAGTTACAGGTGCCGTGGCAGGTGTCACAGAGCACGCCTGAGGAAGTGAGGCTTGAGGAAGGTGAAGACGAGCAGGTCCCTGGTGAGGAAGAGGTGTAGGGAAGTTGCATAGGCGGACGCTCAAAGTAATGGAGAGGAGTATGTTTGGGGGTTGGTGAGAAAGACCACCGAGGTGGGTCCCGGGGGTGGGAAGAGGTGGGTTAGGCTGTCTTCTGAATGACCTTCAAGCTTTTTTTTTAAGGGGAGTGTTGCAACCACAGTTGTGTTTGTGTGCCTCCCCCGGGGCAGCCACCCGGGCGAGGGCAGCCGGTGGAGGCGGGCGGCAGGGAGGCCTGGTTGGAGGCCGTCTAAAAGCCCAGCGAAGCGTTGGGGAGACCTTGAGCTGAGGTGGTTGGTGGTGGAGAGGATGGGAGAGGATATTGTTTGATTTCCAGTAAATCTGGATCTGAGCTTCCCTGGCAGCCAAGGTAGAAAGGAGAGCGTAATGAATTACACACTTTCACTGGTGGATGGAAGGAAACATGCCAAGTTTTCAAGAAAGCCGATCCCCAGCCCCGGCCTCCCAGTACTCAGTGAGAGGGGACATTCCAGCACCTGGCACAGGATAGATGTAAATCAATATTTTGATGAATGGGGATTAAGAATGGACAATGCCTTTGATGTCAGTTTATTTTTTTTCTATAGCAAATGAAGAAATGATGGTTTTTTTGTGTCTTGTTTCTTATTTGCACTCTTCCTTTGGATCCCAGGGTGCACGCAATGGGGACTCTTACCTGATGGAAGGTGTTTCTTCTGGGGACAAGTTAGTGTGGCCCCCTACGCAGCTTCTGAAGGCTTTAACTTGATACAGGGAGAGAACTTGGTTTTCCTGTTCCTTAGTGCATCCTTCCTAAATATTTCTCCTTAAGCCAGAAGCCTGAGCTGGGCTAGCCATTTAAGATTGTACTCTCTTCTGAGTGCCTGGGACCCTGCTGGCATCTGCGGCTTAATGAGGGTGTCTGTCGTCCCAATTTCTGGCCAGAAAGTTCTTACTGTTGTCTAACTGAATCTTTCTTGGTGGGCATATAAAGGAATATGATTTGCATCTGTGTAAGGCAGCGATTTTCAACAGGTGCGCTAGAAGAATTTTTAAAGCATGCACTACCTGACTATTTAGTCAGGGGCACTGACCTCTTTTCCCTTAGATTGTCAAATGAGAAAATGACAGCAGCCAACACAACAATAGCTGTCCACTGTAGATGAATAAAAATCATACCTGTTTTTTGTCAGATTGGAAAAGATCTATTTTTGGCATGCCACAGAGTTTCAGTCATGAGTTTCTGTGTGCCATGAGATGGAAAAGGTTGAAAATCGCCCCCTGCCCCCCGCCCTTTTTTTTGGGTCTATTTGTTGTTAAAGTAATTGAGTCCAAATAGAAATAAACCCATACCACCGAATTATAGAGAGGAGCAAGGAAGTGTGGCAAAATGCTGTGTCTTCCCACCATCTTCTCTAGAGGTGGTGACCGCAGGGGGAAGGGGAGAGTTGGGGGCTCGCTGGGCGTGTGACGGGTGAGCGGGGATCGAACTGTGAAAAATGTGGGTGTCAAGTACCCATTGAAAAGTGGTGGCGAGGACTCAGCAGCAGTAGTGTTATGGAGATTTGTGTTCTTACCAAAACATCTCGTTTAGTTATCTAACAGATGGCTGCTGACTTCATGAGGCGCAGCTGGCGTGTCGAAAGTCACATCTGAGTCACAGGCTGAGCTTGCCTTTACTTTTTGTTCCCAGGACTAACTGTTGCGTCGTGCAAGCTAAGGACAGCAGATCAGCTAACTAAGGAGATGTTTAGGTTGGAAAAAGAAATTCAGACATGGGGTCCCATCTATTAGTTTTCTGATTCTTGAGGGATTCCCTGACTATAACGTCCAAAACGGTTGAAGAACAATGAGAAAGGATGTGTGTTGTGTTTCCGATTAGCTTTCTGTTCTCAAGACTGCTGATTCTTCCTAATCGTGAATGGTAGTTGTCATCTGGCCTTGGACGCGGCATAGGCACGTCCGCGCCTCCACGGCGAAGGGCCGCCTCACCCGAGCCTGTGCCCTGCAGGTGTTCATGCGGGCCCTCTTCCACTACAACCCGCGGGAGGACCGGGCCATCCCCTGCCAGGAGGCAGGCCTGCCCTTCCAGCGCGGGCAGGTGCTGGAGGTGGTGAGCCAGGATGACCCCACGTGGTGGCAGGCCAAACGAGTGGGGGACACCAACCTTCGAGCTGGCCTTATTCCCTCCAAGCAGTTCCAGGAAAGGTGGGTCTGGGGTGTGTTGTAAGGGGTGGTTCTGGAGTGGCAGGGGCGTAGGCACGTGACAAACCCCCAAATCTCCGCCGCCACAGCCAGAGGGGCACCCTGTGTGTTGTTCCCTCAGGTGAGTACCTACTGCACTTGTGTTCGTTCTTCTTGGCCCCTGACCACTGGTGACGAGTGAGATTTAGGTAAATATATGAAAGTCTATGTTACTAAGTTAATGTATATTGTGTAATACGTACTTAGAGAAAGTTGACAAATAAAATCTAAAAATAAGGGAGAGGAGGACATGGAAAAGAAAATTACCCAGAGTCTTCCCACAATCTAAACAGCATAATTTATTTCCTTACTGTGCTTTTTTATATGAATGTGGCATAGAGAGTTTGAGGTCTCGGGATTGTTTTTTTTAACTACACATTTTGACATCAGCATTTTCCACTTACTACCTGGTAGTTATTGGCTGATTTTAGTGGCTATGTAATAGTTCACCGGGAGCTACGACATTCATTCAGAGGCAGCACGATTGTATTTATCATGAATGGGGCTGGCCGGTGCCCCCATCTTGCGGGCTGCTTATAGTTTAGCTGAGAAGTCACACACGTGGTTCAAACGAATACTTTATATAAATGTGATGGGGGCGAGGGAGGAGAACACAGTGCTCTTCACGGTCATAGCACAAGGTTTGGCCCATGTCTGGGTGTCCAGGGAAAGCTTCTCGGAGGGAGGGTCGTGCCTGAGTGACTTCACTCCTTCCCTGCTTCTCAGTCTTCTCCAGTGTTTCGCTGCTGTAAGGCTGCGGTTATGATCTTGCACATAGACTGTTCCCCATATTTCAAACTATTTCCTTAGGATAGATTTCCAAAAATATAAATCCTGGGTCAGAGAGGCTGGCAGTGAATTCCGTCGCCTCCCCTGAGGTTTGACGCCCTTCTCCAGCTGTTGGGTGTGGAATCACGGGCCTCGTTCATCCGTTCCAGCGGCCCTCGTGATGTGGGCCCCAGGTGAGGATGGCAGCATCCCCCGAGAACCTGTGAGAAATGCAGACTCCTGGGCCCGGCCCCAGACCTGCTGAGTAAGAAACTCGAGCAGCGGGCCCTGGGCTCTGTGTTCTCAACTGATGTTCCAGGGGATTCTGTGGCGCTGCAGCTTAACTGCTGCTCTGGCTCCTCAGGGAAGCCTCAGGCCCATCCGCATCTTTGGTTTCACAGGTCTTGGGGCAGAGTGTCTGAGGGGACACTCTTTAGTTGCATGTAAATGTGGAAATCAAACACCTCCAAGAGCCCTGGGCATTTCCTCAGGTCAGAAGGTCAGAGGTGAGACCTTGGCAGCTGCCTCTCCAGTAACAGCCATATTGGAACATACAGGGCCTCCGCTGGGAGAGGGCGGTTCATTCAGGGCCACTTTTATCCTCAGCCTCTCCTGGGAGCCCCCCCATTTCCCGGCTTCTTCAGGGAGGGGGGCTGAGGGGCGAAGGGGCCTCCCTTCCTCGAGGATCAGTAGGGAAGTAACAACCAGTGGCTGACCACGGGCACCAGGCTGGATCCTGTGTGTGACCACCTTGGGCTGAGCGACCTTCTTCCAGAGCAAGAGACTCAGCTCGTTCCCCGTGTGGACCAGTGGGCAGCCCTGAACTGGGACGCAGTGCGAAGCCGGAGGCTGGGCCCCGCCGCACAGCCCAGCCTGCAGTTTCTCCAGGTTTTCTGTAAGACTCCCCTTGACGGGTCCCATGGCCCCGCTCATGGCCCTGTCCCTCTCCTTGTCCATAGACGCCTAAGCTACCGGAGAGCCACGGGCACCCTGCCGAGCCCCCAGAGCCTCAAGAAACCCCCTTGTGAGTAGATTGGCAAGGATGATACTTTGGGGAGGGGCTGGGCTTAGGACTGAGGGGCCTTGTGCCAGGAGGAAGCAGGGGCTGGGCTGAAGGGAGAACCAAGGGCCTTGGAGCTCCGAGAAAGGATGGGGTGCGGAGAGGGATGAGCAGGGGAAATGGGGACAGGTTGCGGGGACTAGTCTCTGGAGAGGAGCTTCTCTATTTGGGGCCCATCGACGACACCAGGGGGCGCTTATTAACACCTCTCCCAAAATTGCGTGCAGACTTCTGTGTGTGCGCGCGTGCGCTTGGCTGTCTCTGTGTGGGAGAAGGTCCACAGCTTTCACTCAATTTCCAGAGGGCTCTCTGATGCCCCCCACTTAAGAACCTCCAATTGTGGGAGGGACGGGAGTGGCTACGAAGGATCCTGTGCCTCGGTGTGAGGAGCCAAATTTGGCAAAGAAAAATAAAGGATGCTCAATTTATTTTGAATTTCATATAAACAACCAATAATTGCTTAGCTCGTCCCGACTATAGCATGGGATATCCTTATACTAAACACTGACTCCTTGTTTTCCTGGAATTCAGATTTAACCCAGTGTTTTGTATTTTATCTGCCCACTCTACCCTGTGCTAACACTTTACCTTTTAGAAGACGCATCCACCTACCTTCCTACCTTCTCTCTGTATAGCAGCCCTGGAAGTAGTGGGGTCAGGGGTCAGGAGGCCGAGGGAGCAGGACCGGGTCGCATTTTCAGAGGGCCTGCCATCGGAGTCCCCAACGAGGGTATGGAGAGGAAGCTGGCCCACTGCGGGCGCCCCCCATGTGGTGGCTCTGTGCGCGGCCACCCTTCTCCATGTGCTCTCAATCGGAAGGGCTGCTGAATACGTTGGCCTTGAGGCCGCTTATGCCAGGGATGAGCTGGCTTCCTTGGGGCTGCTAATGAGACACACACAGGAAGACTAATTAGAGCCAGTCTTGGTTTCATAATGCCCTCAGCTTGGATCCCAGGTTTGCTGGAGGAGAGGAGGAGGGGGCAGATGGAGGGCCCCTCAGGCACCCGGGGCGTGGCTGTCTCTCAGCCACAGGGCCTCCTGGTTCCCCTCCACTAACGCTGTTCCATCTGTCTTTTGTGCAAACCGCAGATGATCAGCCTTGTGACAAAGGTAGGCCTGGTGTTTGTCCCCTGTGCGCACGGACAAGGCCCCTTTTCTGCGGGATGTCTGGTGCTGGAGGGGCCTGCCCCTCCCTTCCCCCACCCCGCGCTGGGTGGCTGCGCCCTCCTGCTCTGTGCACACCTGTCCCTGCTCTGCCAGCTGGACCGGCCTGCTCCTTGAGGCTGCAGAGCTTGGGCGGGGAGCCGGGGGGGGGGGGCAGAAGACAGCGCCCCTCCCTGCCCGCTTGGCACACAGGGCTCAGCCTCTCCGCCTTCCCAGGCCTCGGGCCGGGCTGACTGTGCCTGGGCTGGGCAGGAGGCAAGAGACAGGAGGGGGGCCAGGGCTTGTGAATCTTCTCTCCTTATTCACACCGGTCCTAACTCAGGGGGACTGGAGTGGGGCCTGCTGGCGCAGAACCCCTGCGGGGGCCTGGAAAGGCCATGTGGGGTCTGAGTTTGGGGAACTGAGCTGAGCAGAGTAATCTGTTTTTCTGTGGTGGCCCGGACATGGGATTTCTCTCGAGCCCCCCTGAGACGCCGTTCCAGAGGGCTCTTCCTGACCACCCAGGGGCCGGGCACCTCCGGGCTGGGGTCTGTGTCCGGCCGAGCTCACTGGCCTCCCCTCTCTTTGATTCCCAGAGACCTGTGACTGTGAGGGGTACCTCAAAGGGCATTATGTGGGTAAGTAGCAGGGGCCCTCCCCCCAGTACCCTCTCCCCCACCCATGCACGGCCTGCCTCGGGCTCTTGGGTCCCAAAGCGGAGTAACCTGAGCCCTGGGAACCTTTCAAGAGCAGCTCTGCCTGTGGGACCCACATTGCTCCTCGTCTCTGTAGCAGAGGAAGGGGGCTGACATGCCCAGGCTGTGGGCCTCCCACCTCAGCATTCACCCATCCCCTCAGAGCAGAGAGCCCTGGCCGGCAAGGGACAAGGACCCCGACACTAACGCTGGTCTTACTATTGTGACCGCAGCTGTGGTCTGAGGTTACGCGGACTCCACAGGTCACGCCACCACTAGTGAACAGCAGTGGAGCCTGTTACCGTCTCCAAAGTGCCCTCCCTTCTTTTGTTTTGGTCAGTCTTTTCAAAGAACTTAGAGAGAGGCAACGAATTTGTCTAACTTTTGATTTTGGAGTCATTTCAAACTCACTGAAAAGCTGTAAGACTTGTACAAAGAACCCCCATATACCCTGCACCCAGACTCACTGCCTGTTATTTGCCGAGTTTGCTTTATCATTTCCTTTTTCTGCGTGTCTACATTTTTTTCCTGAGTCATGTGAGAGTTCGCTGTAGGCATCATGTCCCTCCACCCTTACATGCCTCAGCATGTATTCCCTAAGGACAAGGACTTTCTCTTACATAACCCAGGGGCCATGATCAAATTCTGGGAACTTAACATGCGTACAATTCTAGTATCTAGTATATGGTTTATATTAAAACTTTGCCAATTGTCCCAACAATATCCTTTAGGTCATTTTCCCCTGATCCAGGATCCAATCCATACGTTGCATTTGTAGATTTATATTTCCATTTCACAGGCAAGGAAACTGAGGCTCAGAGAGGTGATGGCCTGTTCAAGGCCAGTCACATGCCAAGTAAAACAGTGACCCTGAACCCTATTTTTGGGTGCCAGGAGGTCACTCTTTCATCATATTACCGTGTGTCTTGATCAACCCCTTCCTGTAGCAGGAGGAGGTTAGGAGAGGCCAGTGGGACTCAGTCCCCCCTCCAGGCCTGGCCAGGTGGACAGTTGTCATGGTACCCCCTGCCCTTCCCCCAAAGCTGGTCTTCGGAGGAGCTTCCGGCTGGGCCGCAGGGAGAGACTGGGAAGCCTGCAGGAAGGGAAGATGTCCACAGCAGCCGAGGCTCTGGAGCTGCTGACCTACGAGGAGGTGACCAGGTACCAGCACCAACCCAGTAAGCGGCCCCGCCTGGTGGTTCTGATCGGTAGGTGACGTCCTGCGTCTCCAGGGAGTGGGCTGGTTTCCTCCCTGGAGGAGCGGGGAGGGCACTCAGCAGGGTCCCTGGTCAGCCTTCCCTTCATTTCCCAGGGTCTCTGGGAGCCCGGCTGCACGAGCTGAAGCAGAAGGTGGTGGCAGAGAACCCGCAGCACTTTGGTGTTGCCGTTCCACGTAAGAGGGCCCCCGTGTGTGTGGGAGGTGGTGCGTGCCTACACGTGAATCATTTCACGGGGGCTCGACTCGCAGTATCCATGGTCACCCTTACTTTGGGTCTGAGGGACGGCCAAGCGCTGCCTGCTGCAGGCAGATCGTGGGACCTAGGCATGATGCGGGGTGGGGGGGGGCCATTATCATAAGTGGCCCCTAGCGGTCCACTAGGAGGACCACTCAGCGGCCCACCGAGGCAGAAGCTGGAGGATCACTTGCCCAGTTCCTGCCTGAGACAGGAGGTGAGTCTAGAGCACACTGCAGGCAAAGTGGCAACCTCGCCCCAACAGCGAAGGGGCCCACAGCAACGGGCGCCATTCCGGCCGCCTCTTCCACAGGGCTGGCTCGATGGCCCCTGCCCTCTGCGTGAGTAGGAGAGCAGGGCAGGGAAGCCAGGGACCCCGATGAGCAGTGTTGCTCGGGCACTCCCTTGTCGTGGGACCTGGCCCGTCAGGGTGGCCCCTGAGTCTAGAGGCAGCCAGGGGGGCTGAAGCCCGGCAGGCGGGAGGCCCTTGTTCTGAATGGGATGAGGAAGAAGAGAACGAAGAGTGCTGGGAACCACGCCAAGGGCTCTCATGGGAGTAACTTGGTCAGCCTTCCCGGTGCCCCGACAGATTATGGTCGTCCTGTACTGCAGAGGAGGACATGAGGCTTAGAGAGGTTGAGTTACTTGCCCGATGTCACGCAGTTGTTAAGCGGTAGAGTCAGGATTCAAACGCAGGCACCTGCCCCGGTCGCATTCTTACCCAGGCCGCATGGCAGCCCGCCCCTTCCTGCCCGTGGCTGTCCCTTTCCTTTCTGTGGGGCCCTCTGTCCGTCCCTCTGGCCTCAGTGGGATACGGTGTGGGCAACTGGTGACCACCAAGAGGGGATGCTGTGGTGGCAGCTATGGGACCTTTCCAGAATGTTCTGAGGAAGGGCAGCTACAAAGCCGCTCCCCTGGGCTTCAGGGCCCATAGCCCAGGCTATGGGTTGTCAGAATTGCCTTCCAGAGCCCGACCGGAAGTGGCAGGAATGGGGACAGGGCGTGGGGCTGGGGAGGCCATTCCGGCCACACACCTGTAACGGGCCTGGAAGGTCTCAGGGGCCGAGAGAATGGGCTGAAACAGGACATGCGGAATTTGCTCGCACAGAGATCCTCTGAAGCCCTCGGTCTGTCCCTGGGGGGCACCTGGATGGTCAGGCCTGCCTGCTTCCAGGTACCACGCAGAGAGGCGACTTCCCCCTTGCATTTAAGAACTGGGGGAATCGGCGGAGACCTCCCAGAGGCAGTGGCCTTTATGCTGGGTTTGAAGGAGTAAATAGGAGTTTTCCAAGCAGAGAAGAAAGGAAGAATTCTCTTAACAGAGGGAACAACGTGTGCGAAGGGCTGAAGGCGTGGCCTGGTGTAGCAGTGTTGGGGGCTGGGGGAGCTGGTGTGGACGATGCGGGAGACATGAGGCTGAGCTGGAGGCTGGGTGGGTCACGAAGGCCTCACATACTCACCTCAGGTCTTTAGAGTGTGATCAGTGGGTGAATAAAAGTTTTAAAGCAAGGGGTTGACATGGTCAAAAAAGTGGCTCTAGTAGCCCTGCCATAGGTCAGCTGAAGACACACATGCAGGATGCAGATGGGTGACTTCCTAGGGCCAGAAAACAGTCTTCCAAGACCCCACATCTTTCCTTTTGGAATGCTCGAGAAAAAGCTGTGTGTTGCTTCGTGTGCGCTCTTGTTCTGTGGGGGACCTTCTTTTCCCCGGGAGTGGGGATCTCGGTTCTCTTATGAAAGCCCGCCGGAAACGCTGTGTGCGCAAAGCTGTGTGAGGGCCAGCTCTGCCGAAGCCCGTCTCGTCCCTGAAGGGACTGCCTGGCTTCTAGTCTCCTCCTCCCTCAAAGGGAGAAGTAGTTGAATAAAGAATTAAAAGCATACAGCGCAGCCATCTGTGTGCGCGCCTCCTCTGCTCTGAAAAAGCAGTTAGGACTGGGGAATAATAAAAGTTTAGGGTGAGGGAGCTCCATGGTGCTCTAAAAGCCACGGCATCGGCAAGGCCGCTCGGCAGGGCGGTGAGGGCACGCACCTGGCACGAGACAGAGGGTTCAGGCTTCGACTCTGCCACCTGCCGGCTCTGGGTCATTGGCTTGGGGCTCCACCCCTGCTTCCTCTCCTGCAAAATGGGGGGCCTCCTTTGCCTACATCAAAAAGTTGTGCCAATCACGGATTCACATGAGGACCCTGGATGAGTGGAAGATGTCGGTTCATAAGCAAATGAGCAGTGAACTCTGAAGAAGGGCACAGGCTCGCTGCTCTTCTCACTCTCTGTACTGTGACACCTCTGCCCAGCTTTCCCTCTTCTTTCTTTAAAAGATACCACCAGGCCTCGGAGGAGCCATGAGAAGGAGGGGGTGGAATATCACTTTGTCTCTAAGCAAGCATTTGAGGCCGACATACATCACAACAAGTATGTTTGCTTGATGGGCCAGCTGGCCCTCTGTGCAGTGTACCGGTCTTAGCATCTGACCGGCATTTCCCTTGAACCCCCGCGAGGGCCTCTGGGAGAGGTGGGAGAGAAGGTGGGAGAGACCTCACAGTGGGAAGTCCGCTCACGTGTCTGTGCTAACTTATGCGAGCTTAGGAATTAAAGGCCTTTTCTCCTCCGGCGGTGGTTTAGGTTCCTGGAGCATGGCGAATACAAGGAAAATCTCTATGGAACCAGCCTGGACGCCATTCAGGCTGTGATGGCCAAAAACAAAGTTTGTTTGGTGGACGTGGAGCCGGACGTGAGTTCCTGGGCCAGTTGGGCATGTTTTCTTCATGGAGTGTATAAACTAGGAGATTGTACATTTTATAGAATATTTGATCTCAGTCTAAGAAAGTTTTAGTCTAGAGCATTGGATATTAAAATTTCCTGGGGGCTCCCTTTGAGAATTGCATGAAAGCTTTGCATCCCAAAGTATGCACCTTTATACAAAAAAGAAAAAATGCGTAAAATTAGAGGGAGGTCACGGACCCCCCCGACGGGCACGGAGTGAGTCATGCCGTCGGCAGGGGTACGGATTGGCCAGTTGTGATGTGACAGGGAATTAGATGTCCGTGCCCAGGTGGGGGCTGGGGCACAGCTCTTGGCGTCGGGGCACCTCTTCCTTGACCAGCACACGTGAAGTCGGCGGCTTGGGAACCCGTGAGGGTAGCGGCCAGGAGAGCGGAGTGGAAGGAAAGTGGGAAGGAGACGTGATCCTGTGAGGTGCTTCAGAAACACTTTCAGCTCTGCACACCCTTCCTGCTGGGTTCTCGACAGGGGCTTGCCCATCTTTTTAACCTTGTCTTTGAGAAAGACTTCTAAGCTTTGACCTCAGTCCTGTGTGTTCTTTTATTTCTCTATAGAAATAGGGCTCTGGTTTTATGATATAAGCTGTAGGCTTTATTTTATAGAAGTTTGTTTCAAACAGATTCCAAAAAGCACATTACATAGAAGGAAAACTCTCACTACTTTAGACTGCCTGGGAGTTGGTAGTTAAAATTAAAAGTCTAAATTTCAAGATTTTATTGGGAAAATGATTCTATTGTTTTGGCGGCAGATTGTACACAGAGCAGTTTAATACCAGTGTTTCCAAACAGACGCTCTTAAAAGGAATGCAATTAGAGGATGCTGTGCTTGCTGAAAACCTTCTAAAGCCTTTATAGTTTGTTTCAAGTTCTTAGTCTCTTCATTTGCTCTGCAAACCATTTCTTCTTTGAGTCGCATAAGGAGGCCTCTGCGATAGCACATGTTCTGCGTTAGTGTGGTCCCAACCGATGACGTTTGACTAAAAGGCTACACACTGAACCCTGCTGGTGCATCCGTCAGGACTGGGCAGGTAGAGAAGGGCATAAGAAGGTTAATTAGAGCTTGCGGGGTCACAGCCAAGAAAGATGGTAACGCTTGGAGCTGAGCCTTCGGCACCTCCGTTCTCAGCGGTCTCAGGGCCCAGCTGAGGCCAGAGTCAAAGTGGAGAGAGAAAACGCGCAGTTGATCTTCCCAGCTGAAGTTCATCGTCTTAGGACCGTGTAATCAGAGACTTGGCCATGGAGGTCATGGGACGAGGCACACCGTGACTGAGCATTTGAAAAGCATGTTTCACAATAAAATATTTTCAAAGGATGTAATATTTTTTAACTTTCTTCCCCAGGCATTGAGACAGCTGAGGACCTCGGAGTTCAAACCCTATATTATATTTGTAAGGCCTGCAATTCAGGAAAAAAGGAAGACGTCACCCTTGTCCCCAGCTTGTGATGACACAGCAGCCCCGCTTGTAAGTTTATCAGTTGATCTCTTTTCTAAAGGCCTAACAGGCCCGTTGCCATTACACAAGGGTGCTCTACCTCCTGCGCATGATCATCTTTCCATGCTGCCGATGGGTCAGACTTACTTGGTCAAGTGACCAGAAGGCTCAAGGCGGGGCAGCTGGAAGTGCCTTACAATGCAGACAAGGTGGCTTTGCCTGGGTTCCCCACCCGCCCTCAACTCCCTCACATAAGCACTGTCCCTGAAAACAGGGACCTGTATCTATAGGGACCTGAGTGTGACCAACCACACAAATCTGTTGAACTTGGAAGCCAAACTCAAGTAGTTTTTAACTGAAACTTTAAATGAAACCGAGTTCAGATCCAGTAAACTAAGCCAACATGGGGCAACAGGCAGCACGAGGGAACCTTTCCCATATGCTTGCTGTTCAGGTCTGTGAGTCTCTTGCGGAAGCTGCAGGCGGTTGAACATTTCACCTTTACAGGCCCGGGAAAGGATGCAGGGGATTTGTGGCTGCGAAACAGATGTCACACATTTTACTCCATTTAGCGATTTGAATTCCGTCAAGATGCAGATGTTTATTAGGGAGATTGAGGCGCTCAGTGGCAAAAATGTTCCTTGTGTAATTTCTCAAATAGCCAAATGCTTCCAGGATGGACGACAGGGGTCCCGGAGGAGGGGAAGCCCCAGCAGCAGCAGGCAGGCCTGCAGGACGTGTGTGTGAGGGCCGGGCGAGGCGGGGTTGCAGGCCCACGGGTGGCACCAGGAGACTGCGAGTGCTTTTGAGGGCCAGAGGGCCCTGCAAGATCCAGTACAGCACTGGGAGGCTCCTCGCAACTGCATCAGGTTTTTCCTCTCCTGGGGGAAAGAAGGAAGGAGAAGGGATGACCTAAGCCTTCTCTCAGGTCCAGCGGTCTTCGTGGCAGCACGTACAAAAACTGCTCCCTAGCCCTTTCGAGCATATCTTCTGAAACAGCAGGGGCTCTCCCTGTCTTAGGAGTCAGGCTGTGGTGGGTGGCAGAGTGAAGGGGAGGAGGAACCATTTTGGAAGGTGAGTGTCTGGGGGAGGACAGCTCCCCACCCTCCGTGGCAGAATCAAAACACTGAGGTCCTAGAAGCAGGGGAGAGTACACACGGGACTGGGAAGAGACAGAGAGGAGGTGGGTGAATGCCAGTGAGAAATTTGCTTTGCAATTTTACTTAGAGTGGATCTGCCACTTTCCTTTCTTCCCCAAATCAAACTAATTGCTAGTCAACTGTCTGCTTTAAATTCTACTTCAGGGTTTTTTTGAACGAAGCAGCCAACCTTGTGTGGGTTTGGTAAAGAAGGGATCATTGTCTATCTAGACCTTGGTGTTAAGTGCAGGAAAGCAATCTGGTTAAAGAAGGCAGGTGCTGTAAGGAAAAAAGGAAATGGGGGATTTGGTTGGGGTTGTCCCAGCTACGTGGGTGCCCCACCTTCTGGCGTCTCTGGGCCACAGTGGAAGAAGAAGAGTTGTCTTGGGCCCCGCATTAAATACACAAACGCTAAAGAAAAGTGATGAGCAAAAAAATAGGTTTTAAGTAAATTTACGATTTAGTGTTGGGCCGCATTCACAGCCATCCTGGGCCGTGGGTTGGATTCCTCTCTACTCTGTCTCCTGTGCTCCTGTTTGGCGCCGGTATGAAGAAATGAAAGAATAACATTGTTCTACAGTATGAAGTTAGGAGTCTTCAGAGGGCATTGCTGTTCCTTATTCGCCTTCCTTTTCCCCCACTTGATTCCAGAAATTTTTTTTTGCTTTTATATTGTTATTATTTATAGATCTTTCCTGTAATTATTTAACTAAATTGCCACACAACACAATAGTACCATTTCTTTGAAAATACCTTGGGACTGGAAGTGTGATGTTGACACAGATACAGAATCAGCATCCCTGCCCCGAGAGCACTTCCTACCATGGCTTGCAGTTAACAGGTCCTGAGGAGGCATTTTGTGAGTGAACAACTGAACTGTGATTTCGTCTACTGCCCATTAACTTTCTTGCCAAGTTGATAGGATGTTGTTACTCCACTCTGTTCTTTGTGTACCCAGTTGGTTATCCATGGACCGTAGCCTCATCACTTCAAAAGCAGAGGTTGGAACATTGCCCAAGACACCAGCTGTAGGTTTCTTACTTGGGGGGAGAACCACCCTATTGCTCCCTAAGTGTCCCTTTCTTGCAGGATGAGGAGCAGCAGGAGATGTCTGCTTCTGCCGCCTTCATAGACCAGCATTATGGGCACCTGGTGGACGCCGTGCTGGTGAAGGAGGACCTCCAGAGCGCGTACAGCCAGCTCAGAGTGCTCTTAGAGAGGCTGAGCAAGGACACTCACTGGGTTCCTGTTAGCTGGGTCAGGTAACTCCATCCCAGAACATCCAGGTTGGCGAGCACCTGGACGACCACCTCGTCCAGCCACGTTGCCCTCAAGGAATCGCACGTGTACAGAGGGGCAGACTTTTCCGTTAACTCCATCATTAAGAAGAATACATGAGGGAAGTCCGTTTTCTTGCATCCTTTTTTGTCATTTTCCACTAAAACCCTCTGGAGCAGAAAACTTGAGTTGTAAGGGGGCGTGACACAAAGTAACACATTTCATTCATTAAAGGATCACAGGCAAGTTGACCCGGATTGTTTGTACCAAAGTTAGGTGGCCACTGTCTTTTTGGGGTGGGGGTGGTGAATTTATACAGCACCGGTTTGCAGGGATGTAAGCTTTAGAGAGAGGGTGACAATTCATGTATCCAGCTTTGTTGGAAATTGAGTTGTTTTACCCAAGAGGACTTTTTAAAGACTTTTTAAAAAGATTTTATTTATTTATTTTTAGAGAGAGGGGAAGGGAGGGAGAGAGGGAGAGAAACATCAACGTGTGAGAGATACATCGATCAGTTGTCTCCCACACACCCCCAGCTGGGGACCTGGCCCGCATCCCAGGCACCTGCCCTGATGGGGAATCGAACCGGCGATCCTTCAGTTCTCAGGCCGGCACTGAACCCACTGAGCCACACCGGCTGGGGCTCAAGGGGGTTTTCCCATGCAACTGAAGTTCCCCTGGCTTCAAGTACCAAAATGTTGATGGCGAGTACTTGCCTGGCACTGGAAAACTGGTTCTCTGCTTTCTTAAGTAGTGAGCACACATGAACTTCTGTGGAAGACTGAGGCGCACTTCACTGTCAGTATGAATTTCTGCACTGTTCTGTGATACAGGGGTGTTTTCAGGGACTCTTGAGGAAGGTAAGGCTGTTTGTCCTCTTTCTAAATACTCTCAGACCCCTACAATTGAGTCTTGGCTTTGTTCGATGTGTTCTGTCTCACCACTTGTTCCTCTCATTACTGCCAGCTGTCCTGTCCTTGCCTGTCCCTACCTTCAGACGATAGGGACCTCTGTCATGCTAGATCATGGGAAACCAGGTGATACCTCTTGTGGAAACTACGTCTCAGCCACAATACATCAGTCCTGACTGTGAAATCCAATTATATAGGCTCTGAGCGTGGGCCTGCGGGGTGGTCTCTGAACAAAGCTGTTTGTCATATAGGATTTGTGAGACATCTTCACTCAGAGAATTTTATTTCTTATTAATAGCGAGTGTGTGTAAATCTTTATTCTGTGCTGGGAGCTATGCTGAGGTCTTTAGGTGCATTATTTTGACAGATACTCAAAAACAGGATTCTTACCATACCTATTATACAATAAGAAAAACAAGGCTTAGCAAGTTTTAAAAATTTTAAATTATTAAAAAAACCAACAACAAAAGGAAGTTTAAATAACATGGCCAAGCTCACAGAGCTTTAAATAAATGGCAGAGCTGTGGTATTTGAGCCCAAGTCTCTCTAATACCAGAGATGGTCATTAATCACTATCCTATATTACTTCATTCTTTTCGTGGTCCCATAATTGAGGCTACCTGTTAAATAGTTGGTTATAATGAGGAATGCATTCATGGGTAGAATTTACAGTAATATGCAGTGTGGCTATAACTTCTAATACTGAAAATCATTAAAAGTTCACATGTATAAAAGTATTAGAAATTTACTTGTGCACATTTTCAAGCTCTTTTCCTCATGGGGAGAAAAGGAGGCCGGTGAAAGGTGAAGCACCAGGGAAAAAATTTGCTGCCCATTTAGGAATTTCCATGTTGCCTTGTTAGGTTCACCGAACAAGAACACAGTTTTAGACCTTTCTAGCGGAAGGATGAGGACTTCTTTGTACTCCCAGAGTACTGGATTCTTGTCATGTGAAATGAGTCTTGTGTCGTTTCACATAGAACCAGGGCGGGGCGGACGGGCAGCCGCCCTTCGAAGTGAGAACGGCACATGCAGAGCTGGGTGTATTTCACAGGAGAGCTACGGCCTAGAGTCAGCTCTCAGGCAGAAAGCATGCAAGTCAAAAGTACTCTCGACAAATCCCCTAGGGGGGCACCTTGTTGGAGATCCTAACCACCTCCTAGCAAGTCCCATCCGGGTGGTTTTCCCTCCAGCGTAGGGACACAGTGGTGGAGCACCAGGTGACTTTTTATTTTTTTATTTCATGCTACTCAACAGACATTTTCTGCTGCTTAATATTTTTCCATAATTGCCCGTTGAAATGGTAATAATTCTCTTTGTGTACATTATGAAGCAAGGCATTGAAGTGATGCCTGCTTTGTTTCCTGTCACAGTAGCTTTTTTCCCACCCCCAAGACATGCTGTGTCTACAGCTGTGTGTCGGAGACCACGTGTGAGAGCAGAGTGAATAGGGCCCTGGAGACAGAGGGTCCATTTGCAAAGCGTTCCTGCTGTTTGTGAAAAGCAGAAAAGTGTTGTTGAAAAAAATGCATCTGTTTACAAATATAGATTGGGGGATGTGTGTAAATGCAATTCTAGCTCCCATTTCAGCTGTCAATGTATACAGTCTGCGCTCCTGGGCAAAAACTCCACAAAGTCCATCAGCCTGGGCCTCCACGCTCAGAAAGCTCCCTGTTACGTACCCTTGAGATGTATCTTGTTTTCTCCCCCCTGACCTTTCAAACTCGGGTAAGTCCTCTGCCCGTAGGGCTTGCAGGACGCTCAGGACTCTTCGAGGTCCCGGATGTCGACCGGGTGGGGCATGCGCACTGCAGCCGCCCAGCGCTGCCCTCATTGGTCACGCGCTCTCCTGCCGCATCTAAGCGCTGCTTTTGGACCTTCCAGGATACAACATCCAGTATCAGTTGGGCAGAATTAGCCAGTGAGTCGATCCTGTTTGCCATCCTTGATCCAGAAATGTGTGACCTTCTCTGCCACCCACTCCACTCCGCGCGGGAGGTGGGTTTAAGAAAGTTACAACCATTCGTCCCTCGCAGGCAGTGCTCGGCTATGTTAAATGGTAGCCGATCGTGCTTGTACCGTTATATTTTCAAATACATACATTCTAAGACATGTGGCCCATCAAATTTTGCACCCACTTATCAGTGTTACATCATTTATGCAGGGTCATGCATCCAAAAAAAATGACAGCACTTGTCAATTTATTTCATAACTGTAGACCAGCATATATGGGGTCCAGCAGAAGTAACGTCTGCTTGAGTGTGGGTGGTAGGGTAATAATATGGGTGTCATAATTTATAGTTTTAATTTGAACATTTCACCTAAAATGTCATATGGTGTGCTTGAGTGTGATATTGTTATGTTACAGAATTACATGCTTATGATTTTGTAATAAAAGGTTTTTGTAATAAAAAACAGGTGTTATTTGTGCTGGACCCTGTATATTATGCGAACAGTTTTTAAAAAGCATTAGTGGCTACATTATTATCAGACAAAGTTGACTTTAGAGAAAGAAAATTAGTGGAAACAAAGAGGGACATTATATAATGGTAAAAAGATCACTCCACCAGAAAGATACAGCAATCCTATACGGATATGCACCGAACAAGAGAACTTTGAAATACATTGAGCAAAAATTGATAGAGCTGAGAGGAGAAATAGATAAATCCTCAATTAAAATTGGGGATTTCAATATTCTATTATCAGCAACTGATAGAACAGAAAGTCAATGAGAATATGGAAGAAATAAACATCATCAGCCGACAGGACCTAACTGACATTTATAGAACAGCTCTCCACACCAACAACATTACTATAAACATTCTTTTCAAATGCCCATGGAATGTTCACCTAGACAGACTATATTAACACATTTAAAATAATTGAAATGATAGAATATGCTCTCTGACCATAATGGAAGCAAACTAGAAATCAATAATACATCAGAAAAATCTCCAAACTGTTGAAAGTATATCTAATATAAGGAACCACTTCCTAGAGGATGGACTGTCTTGTATAAACAATGAATAGGTGTTGTCCAGGTGAAGAGGTAGAACTATGGACTTTTTCTAGGTGGACGGGGCAACAGAAAAATAAATGGGATGAGAGGAAGACATGTCTTATGTTAGTTGAAAAAGGCAAGGAGTACCACTAATGAGCTATAAGGTTGCCAATGTTTGTCATTTTCATGAAATTCTAGTACCTGAGCCTCATTTAATTTGGGGAAATTTCCTATCTTACGAATTCTGGTGAGAAGCAGAACCTGTGTCTACACATGGAAAAAAGTCAGTTGCTCATTTTCCCAGCCTCCCTTGCACCTACCGGAGTGGACATATGATCTAAGTTACACCAGTCAGATATACCTTTACTGACTTGGAATTGGGAGCTAGTGACACAGAATGGCAGAAACAATGGAGACTTTTCAGACACAGCAGTGGAGGTCAGGGAGATCTAGTCTGAGGCGGAATGGGGCTGCAACACCCACCGACCAGTTCTACAGCTAGATTTTGGGAGTTGTTCCTTGATCCGCAGCTTGAATCTTGGTTCTGCAGTTTTCTAGCAAGCATCGTTACTTTGTATTCTTTTAATAAATTGTTTCACTACTTAGATAAAGTCAGTTTCTGTTGCTTGAAACCAGGAATTTCTATTGATGGAGGCTGCAAAAGCAGGATCATGGGGGCCATGTTAACACACTTTTCATGCCATATTAAAAGTATGGCTCATTCTGGAAGGAATGGCAAGTGACAGAAGGTGTTAAATTAGAAACTGATAGAGGCATGTTTTTGCATTAATAATACCAGTTGATAATCACAGGTTCCTGAAATATGGGCAGCAACACACACAGAGACCGAGGAGTAGGACTGGTAGCTTTAAAATATGTAGGGAGGGGGAAGGGGTAAACCAGAGGGAGTGAAGGAAAAGATGGCCACCAAGTCTCTCACCTGGATGCCTAGAAAATGTTGGTTCTGCAAACTGAGATAAACTGGAACCAGTTCAATAATGAATTTATATTTAGACATATTGATTTTTCTTTAAACTTTTTATATTGAGATAACTGTAGATTTAATACAGAGAGATCCCATGTACCCCTTCCCCAGTTTCCCACATGTAAAAACGAGCACAACCAGGGTATTGATATTGATACAGTCAAGATACAGAATACATCATTGATAAGTTGGATGTCATCAAAATTAAAATACTTTGCTCTGTGAAAGATCCTGTTAGGATGACAGAGCGACAAGTTACAAACTGAAGGAAAATATTTTGCAAATCACCTATCCAAAAAAGAGCTTGTATCCACAATGTATAAAGAACTTTCAAAATTCAGTATTTCAAAAAAGAAAAATCCAGTTAGAAGATAGGCAAAAGATATGCAGAGACGTTTCACCTAAGAGGATAGATAGATGGCAAATAAGCAGATGAAAGATGTTCAACTTCATTAGTTAGAGAAATGCAATTTAAAATCACATGAGCTGTCACTACACGTATATTAGAATGACTAAAATGAAACGGTGATAATGTCAAGCGCTGGTGAGCATGTGGGAATGCTGGATTACTTACCCATTGTTGGCGGGACTGTAACATGGTATAGCTACTCTGGCACGTAATTTTGTAGCTCTTTTTAAATGAACTTATACAACTCAGCAATTGCACTCTTGGGCATTTTCCCCAGAGAAGTCAAACTTATTTTCATGCAGAAAGTCATCCACAAATGTTCATAGCAGCTTTATTCATAGCAATCAAAAAACTAAAAACTGCCCAACGTCCTTCAATGGGTGAATGGTTAAATAAACTTAAGTGTGTCCATAGCATGGAATACTAGTCAGCAATGAACAGGAATGAATTATTGGTGCACACAACCTGTATGAACCTCAAGGAAATTATACAAAATGAAAAAAGCCAATCTCAGAAGAGTGGATACATACTGCGTGATGTAACACTCATGGAATGACATAATGATAGAGATGGAAAACAGATTTGTGATTTGCCAGGGGTTAGGGATGGGAGGGAGAGGGTGGCTGTGGCTAAGAAGTGCTACAGTGAAGTCTTTGGATAAGGGGACAGTTAACTGTCTTGAATGTGGTTGTAGTTACACACAGCTGCACATGATACAATTGCATAGAGCTGCACACACAAAGTGAGAACATGTATAATGGGTGAAATGTGTGTGTGTGCTATGGATTGTCCCACGCTGATTTCCTGGTTTGATACTGTGCTGTGGCTACGCGAGATGCTGCCACTGGGGGGAGTTGAGTGAAGGGCGCAGGAGGAGCACCGCCCCCAGCCCCATGCATTTATCCGCAACTTCCTGTGAATCTAAGTATTTTAAAATAAAAAATGTACGTATGATGAGAACATTTAAGATTTACTGTCTTTCAAAAGAAGTCAGGCTCAGAACCAGCACAACCAGTCACGGAAGCCATGCAACGAAAGCTGCCTTTTCCAGTTCCGCATATTCCCAGAGGGACCGATGGCATTAGTTCTCCGTGTTGTCTGAACCTGAATCTCACTGGGTGCTCTCGTTTTCCATTCTGACAGAGCTGGACTTGTGGCCGGATCATCTCACCCTACCTTTTCTTACCCCCAGAATAGTGGTGGTGGTGTATGTCTTAAAAAGTTCTCTTGCTTTCTTTTCCTTTTTTTTTTTTTTTAAAGATTTTATTTATTTATTTTTAGACGGAGGGGAAGGGAGGGAGAAAGAGAGCGAGAGAAACATCCGTGTGTGGTTGCCTCTCACGTGACCACAACTGGAGACCTGGCCCGCAACCCAGGCATGGGCCTTGACCGCGAATCGAACTGGCAACCCTTTGGTTCACAAGCCGGCACTCAATCCACTGAGCCACATCAGCCAGGGATCTTGCTTTCTTTTTATCTCATTAAAAGTTCATAGCCCCAAATAAAAATGCTTGTTGCCTCTTTCCTTCTGCCCGCCCCATTCTGTCTCCACTTTGGGATGGGACTTAGAGTCAGTGGGTACCTAAAATGTAACTTACTCATTTCATGTTCCAAGCTTTATTGAAGCATCCCTAAGATTGAGCCTTCAGCCATTTAGGAGTGTCTTGAGATTCTAAGCAGCTAAGAAATCCTAGGGCCTTCTCTTGTATCTTTTCCATGGTGAGTAACCTTGTATTCAGGGAGAAGAGAGGAAGAAAAATGGAGAACTATCAATTATACGGAACTATCCTTTAGAAAGCTTGAGTGTCCATTTATCCTTCTCCCAGAGGGGGGAAAACCAAACTTAACCATTGCTAATAATGTTCAATAACACAAAAAGCCAACACAACAGTACTTTTGAATAGTGACAGAGACCTGTAATCTAACTTTGGCACAACATTAAAGCCACAAGACCTCCTGTTTATATCGTTCTTGGAACAAGTCACTTCCCCTTAGATTCCTGTAAAGCCTCAAAGCCGATGACAAAAGACAGTCATTTCCTCCTTAAATGGAGAGAGAACAAGGGCAAATCTCTCAGCTCCCTGAATGGATGACCAGTTGATTTCATGGAAGAGCGAATTCCCCTCACTGGGCCCTTCGCTCTCTATACAGTTCTCAGGGCTTGGGATCAAGTGTGGTCACCATGTCCAATAGCAAAGAGCAGCTGGGGTAAGACATACCTATTCATCTCGGGAGAGAAGATACCTTGTTGTATTTCTGATGTAACGTCTTGAATTCTTAAAGGAAAAAAAAAAATCAGAAAGCTTTATGTCAAAGCCAGTGTGTTGGTGCGAGAGTTGAAGTTCTAAATTCTAAGTTTGGCTCGGAAAGTCTTACCAATTAAAGCCATGGAAAGGAGGTTTTAAAAACTACTGCAAGTGGCTTTTTTTTTCCCTTCTTGAAGGGTCATTCCTAAATAAAGCGTATTAACCGCGTTCTGGACCATACACCCACTGTCCACTTCGCTTGGACATTCGGCCTTTCTGAATGATTGAGGGGCGAGGGAAGATGCTCCTGGGTATTTTTCTGAACCGGATTCATAGTGGCTTTGCTACCAATGAGACGTTCTTGGCTCCTGGATGGTTTGCTTTGGGCAGTTTTTTACTGATTATTGTATTTCTCATGATCTCGTCCTCAGTCACCTAGGGGTCCCCCCTGAGACTGACGCTACTCTGAACACAGACACGTTCTATGCACACACAGGAAGACCCCCAGAGTCCCCACGTGCCTCCCAGTCCATCTCGGATGACCTGCGGTCATAGTGGGGTTTGCGATCGCTGAGCCTCTTCAGAATGCCCTGGTTTTCCATGGTGATTCTCATCAGGTCCCGGTTCCTTGTTTCTCTGTTTAAGCTGGAAAAAAAACAAAAACAAAAACCAAATCCTGAGATGGATGAAAAATAAAATTCTCCTCCTAGATGGGAACAGGGCGGGGCAGGGGGTGATACCATAAGCCCAGGCTGCCTAAGTGCAGGGCGCAAGCCGTGCTGCCGAGCCGAGGCCTGGCCTGCCTCCCAGACCAGACTGCTCTCTCTGGGAAATGTGAGCAGCATCGGCAGGTTTAGATCAGTGGTCCTCAGTCCCACTGTTCACTAGAAGCTTCTGCTTGATTAGTCTGGGGTGCAGCTTGTAAAAAGCATTTTGTAAACACCCTTTGGGAATTACGTGAAGCAAGAATGGAGTGTCTCATTTCTGTGATGAGGGAAGATCTTCCCTACGGATAAATCTCAAACGGCTGGTGGCCAGTTTTGCTTCACCTCAATTCCCCTCACCTTGCAAGTCAATTTCAGACACACACGGACACAGGAAAGGCATTTTGACTCTTCCCCTGCACACTCCTGTAGCCCTGGCCACATCGCATTTTTACATGAATGTCTCTCCTATCAGACCTGAGTTCTTTGAGGTTAGGAAATATATATCTTATTTGATCTCTGTATTCCTGGCGCTGAGCACACAGCAGCTCAGGAAATATTTGTGGAACTGATTCTTAAGAATGCTGTGTTACAGTCCTAGCTATGTTCACCGTGTTATAAAAGCATGCAGTGCTTCCCTGTGACAAACTCTGAATAGGACTCCGAAATCAGTCTCTCAGATGATACAAAAGATCTTCAGCGCTAGGAAAGTTCCCCATTTGTTTTGGTGGTTTCCATCCTCCTTAACATGGTCTCTTTGGTTATCCCTCAAGGAGAACCTTGCACTACAACGTAACAAGGGAAGAGTCATTTTTGACTTTCAAATCATGACATGGAGAGGAAAGAACACTACCTCTTGGAAAAATATTCGTTCCAGCAGTCCACCTGGGCAGGGCCGCGATGGGCGTTGGCAATTTTCTGACACAGTTGCTTGTTTTCATACTCGATTTTGTCGATCCTCTTTTGTTCACCCTGGTGAGAGAGCCCACCCCTCCATGGCGACATCATTGCTACACTGTGTTCCAACACACAGGGTTTAACACCCTTCTCTTCTGGGACTGTGGGAAAGGGCAGGCGGAGGGGGGGCACCGTGGAGACTGGGGGGCAGAGCCTAAGAAACTGGGGGTGATGCGTGTGGGGAGAAGGGGAATTAATCTTTTGGGTAGGTTGCTATTTAGAAGGCCCCGGGAAACGAGACCTCTGTGGGACACAGATAAAAATCAGTAAGGTACATCTGCAGACGGCAAGAACAAGTACCTGTATTTTGCTCAGTTTTAAAATGTGATGTGTGTGCGCCACCGGAGGTTTGGTATCAACAGCAGGTTTCACTGGAGAAGGGCAGAAGAGAGCAATTTTACATGATGGATGTCCTCTTAGCAGCCTCAGAGAACCGCGCATCCTAGACAAGGATCCTGACTAGTAAACATTAGGATTTTGAATTCTGACCTTAATCCAGTTCAGGCATTTTAGTTTAACTTCCCAAAATGATGTCTTGGAAGGATTTTGAGCAGAAATGAAAGAACAGAAGAGTTAGAAAAAGTGAAATTTGGGGAGATAACGTGTTCTTTGAAGCCCGCGAAAGAGCCTCCCCCCCCTTTTTCCCAACAGGACTAGCTTGCCTATCATGTGCTGAAGCCCTAGCCTCTTTCTAGCTTACTTTGGCTTTGAAGAGTTTAAATGAGCATTTCTATCAAATGAACTGCCTGGTGGAAGACAAATTTTCTCACTGATGCTAACACCCTCTTGAGCCAGTTCAGCAGGTAAGGCCACATCATTGCACAGTTATGTGCTGGTCTGCTTTACTGTCAACGCCTGTAGGGGGGACTTTACCTGAACCCCTAACAGCAGCATCCAACCCAAACTGCCCACGTACCTATTTCTATCCTATTCTTGTGAGATATATAGTTGCCAAAGTCCAGTTTCTTCCTGAAGGCTGTGCTCTGCCTGTGATTAGAGACAATTACAGGATAGGCTAGGTAATCCAAGGAACTGTTCATCTTCTCTTCCCAGCCTCACTTCAGAAATGAGGCAACGAGGCTCCTCTGTGAGGTACTTAGCTGTCCCCATGATGGGTTGTCATAGTTACCCAGTTGTGACATCACGGGCAGGTCTCAGGGAAGGAAGGGCAGTAGCAGAGCATGCCTGCTTGTCCTCGGGACTCTCTTTTATAAAGCTGGCCTAGGCCCAAGTCAAGATGAAGACCACGGAACTTGGAAGCGTTCTCGCCCGCCTGGAATGCAGATGCCACCAGCATGAGCCGGAAGAGGTGTGAGGTGCTGCGGGGGTGAGGGGGTGAAGAAAGCCGTACCTTTATGGCTAAGTAGTCTCCACTGCAATGCTTCCCCTAAAAGTGTGACACCATTAGCTTTCCGGGGAGGTGAACGATGACCTGAATGATACTCTGATCCAATTTCTTCACTTTGCAAGTGAGGAAACCAAAGTCCAGAGCAGCAGCCAAGCTGCTCAAGATCCAAGTTAGCCGCAGAGCTGGGCTCAGACTGTGGGTTTCCTGAATTCCCAGGGCCGCATTTGCTGTTTGGGAGGGGTGGGTGAATCTCCCATTTTCACGACAGTGGGAGAGGACAGAGACTTGTGCCTTTTGCTCCCAAGATCTCAGTAAACGATGAATTGCTGACACTCTGAGGCTCACAGCCGGCCGGCAGCTGCTCCGGAAGGTCAGCGAAGGAGACAGATTTATCTCCACAGTGGCACAGGGAGTAGCACCTGGGTGCTCCACACACTTGCTGATGGAGAGGGAGAATAACACCCATTCGGTGCTCCCTATTAATGCTGGGCTCCTTCCGGAAGTGTCACACTTAATCCTCCAAACAGCCCTAGGAGTTAGGAACTAGTGTTATTACCCCACTCTCCCCTTTTCTTTTTCAACAAACAGGCTCAGAGAATTCCCCGGGGTCGGAATGCCAAGCCTGGTTGCACAGAGCCCATGCCTTTAAGCACCAGGCTGACTCTCAATGAATGTTGAAAAAAAATGTGCCCCAGAGTGGGGCTCCTCAAACTTGAACACTCCGAGGACCTATAAAATGCACGTCGACAATCAGAGGGCCTGCCCTGGGGCAGAGATGCTTTTTGACGTGCTCAAGGGAGTGCTTCCAATGCTGCTGGGGGGCAGCCGGAAGAGTCAGAGCTCTCTGGCAGAACCCCCGTGTCCCTATAATCTGAAAAAAAAGAAAAAAAGAAAAAAAAAGAGCGACATGCGGTTGCACCCCAGTCAATAGGAACATTTATTGTGCCCTGCATTTGGTCCGATGAAGTTACCACACTTCCCAGTATATAATGATAAAGAAAATGCCTTATCTAGCGGTGAGATAAGACCCCCACCCCCAGCGCCGAAACTCCAAATTGGTGGCATTTGCGCCCCTGGGTACAGGCCCAGAGGTCTTCGAAACGCTTGTTCGCTGGGCGCCGGGCGGCGCGCGTACTTCCTGGGAGTAAAGCACGCGTGGCCATCCGCGCTCCGCCGCTTTCAGCGCCTGGCAGATCCGCCTCCGGGGCGGGGCGGGGCGGGGCCGGGCTCGGGAGCCCCCGCCCAGCTGACCGGACCGCTCTCCCCTCGCTGGTGGCCGCCCCGGCATGCAGGGCCCGGCCGCCGCCATGTCTGGCCCGTACGAACTATCGGTGCAGGACCTCAACGACCTGCTCTCGGACGGCAGCGGCTGCTACAGCCTCCCGAGCCAGCCTTGCAACGAGGTCACCCCCAGGATCTACGTGGGCAACGCGTGAGTCGCTGCTCCGGAGTCCCGGCTCCGCTGGGCCCTCCCCGGGGCGTACCGCTCACCCGCGAGCTGGGGAGGGGGCGTCGGCAAGTTGCCGGCTGGGGGGAGCCGGGGCGTGGTCGCCCCTCCCCAGGTGTGGCGGGGGCTGGGCAGGGGCTGGGCAGGGGCTGGAGTCGCCGCCCACCCCAGCCCGGGGGAGTGGAAGGGTGGTCCCCGCCCCCGTCCCCGCGTGGTCCTTCTCTTCCGGGGGCGCACTGAACCTTGGAGGCCGCTCGGCCAGCCCCCCACATTCACCCCGCAGTCGCCATCCGCTAGGGACTCGCCTTGGGCGGGGTCGGGCCTACCATGTTCACTAAACAGGTGGCCCTCTGTCGCCCCGCCGGCCCCCGGCCCGCGCATCATGTGACAGCTGCCTGGTTCTGCAGTGAGGTCACCGTGGAATGTCTGCCTTCGCTGCCCTGGCAACGGGCTGACGTCACAATTTGGGCGTGGAACTTTTCCCGGCTGGGCAGGTTCAGATTTGGGAATCGAAATACCCCAAATGAGAGGGGCATCCAGAGAGCTAGGCTAGGGCTTCCTCGCTCTGTCCCCGCCTTCCAGATGGGTTTGATTTACATGGATTCTAGAATGATCCAATGATATACCCCGTAAGGACCTGAGCTATCACTTAGAAAAGGCTTCCACCTTCTCCTGACCAGGAAATGAATTATCTATCACTGATGAGTTCCTAACAAATTGGCTTTCCCATTTTCTGTTAGTCAAATTACTATAGGAAGAAATTCTCAGCAGCAGGAGAGAACCTGTGTTAACCATTCTGAGAGGTGCTGAAACAGTATGTAAAGAATAGATTACCAAGCCTATACAGCCTTAGGAGGGCTCAGGTTGGACTTTGATTAAGTCCCTGAGGACCAGTTTCCAGTGCCCTGAGACCCATGGGCCCCGCCCAGGGACTGCGTTTTAGAAAACCAGAACTGCTCTCCTTGTTGGGCCTGGACTAGGACCTGATGCTTACTCTGCCAAAGGCTGCCACAGACGTGGGGGTCATCTTGGAGTCAGAAGGGGTCCAAAAGGCAGGTCCCAGCCTCTTGGGGACTGTCTTGTTCATTCCATCATTCAGTAACTCCTATTGAGTACCTATGTGTCAGGCAGTCTCCAGTGTTCACTCATAGTAATAATGATAATGGTATATTAATTGAATATTGAATTAGTATTAGGGATGGGGGAGATGAATGGCAGTGACTCTTCAAAGTTACTTCATTTTTAAAAAAATGAGTCACTGCTTTACCATTGCATGCAGTGTCGTGAGTAGGGACAGGTAAAATGGAGTCCCAGGGTCCCAGCCAAAAGCCCTAGTCATGGCAGAGTTCTGAGGATACCTCTCCGGCCACCCAAGCAGCAAGTGCCCTTGGCACCCTTGGAAAGCCCTGATCTCTTGGGCAGTTTGGCACATGCAGCTGCCACCATTTCCCAAGTGGAAACTAAGACTGTGAACATCTGGTGGCAGCCAGAGTGCAAGAGCTGATGGCCACTGTAGAAAAGACATTCTTGCCCTCTAAGCAAATTTGACCTTGACTTAGCCAGGGACGTGTGGAGGGCTTGGCAGGAAGGAGTGACTAAGGACCTGCTGCTCCCCGACCCATCAGGAGCCCCTTAACAAAATCAGGGCTCTGGGTGGGGGCTCACAGGGCAGAGGGGGACCTGGGTGAGCCCCGTTTTCTGGATGTTGGGATTTGCGGTGAAATGGGCCGGGGAGCCAGAGTCAGGGGGCAGGCAGAGCAGCGTGGTTGGTGTTGGGAGCAAGGCTCCTCCCACCCAGGTCGGCGCTGGGCAGCCCCTTCGAGCACATGCACACCCTTCGGCCACCCTGTCAGGCCAGAGGGGTCCTTCCTTCCCCACAGGACTGACGCTGTGATAGGCAAACGAGATCATGTAGGACAAGGCGTTTCGTAATATATGAACGGCCGTTTGAATTGGGATGTTGTTGTGAGATGAAATAAAGGAGCCCTTTGACTATTCAGATCAAATGTTTTGTAACGCCCGTAGTTCCGCTGGGGCCAATGCTCCCAAAGTGTTTACTCACCCAAGACGGCGTCAGCAATGTGGCTAGTGTACTGTGGCAAGAAGGACCCCTTGGGGGATGGGAGGGGACTGCTGTACTTAATAATCCAAGGAAGGAGGCTGCCTGGGATGTGCAGACTTCATTCTTCCTCACTGATTTGCCACGTATTTACTCAGTACCTACTGTGTGCCAGGCACCGTACCAGATGCTGGGCGTACAGACCTGGAGCAGAGAGGCTTCCTCTGTCACAGAGCTCATAGCCTGGACATTAAACACGATCAACTGTTAGAATAGTAGTGCCGACTCAGTGCCCTGCTCTGTCTCTGGAATAGCTCATTTCATGTAGAAATCCCAGGGGTTAGGCACTCTTACTGTCCCTATTTTACAGACAGGGAAACTGAGTCACAGAAAGGTTAAGCGACTTGCTCAGCGTTGCCTGGCTGGTAAGGGGCGGGGCTGGATAGAGACTCAGGCAAGCAAGCTCCAGAGCGCTTTCTCAGGCACTGGGCCGTACCACCCCCACGGGATAGGGAGCATCATGCCAACTGGAATGGAGAAAATCAGCAAATACTGCAGAGGGTGTGAAAAATGAGAGGGTGCACGTCCACGGAGCAGGGCATCCTAGGCAGAGGAAACCGCTCAGGCATGAAGCCGCCCGGTCTATTTGGGGCAGCTGCCGGTAATCAGATACAGCGGGGGTGAGAAACTCGGCTCATCAGACGGGAGAAGCTCGGGCCCAGGCCAGAGCATGGAGTGTTTCTCACTTTGCCAAGAGACTTAGAATCTTCTTCATCTTCCTCCCTCTGAGGATGCCGGTTGGTCAGTTAAGCACCCCCTGCTGCTGTCCCCTGTCCAGGTCTGTGGCTCAAGACATCCCCAAGCTGCAGAGACTGGGCATCACCCATGTCCTGAACGCTGCTGAGGGCAGGTCCTTCATGCACGTCAACACCAATGCCAACTTCTACAAGGACTCTGGCATCACCTACCTGGGCATCAAGGCCAACGACACGCAGGAATTCAACCTTAGCGCCTACTTTGAAAGGGCTGCAGACTTCATCGACCAGGCATTGGCTCAAAAGAATGGTAAGGGACTCACCATCCAGGAAACAGTGGGAGGCAGCTTGGACTGGACTTTTTCTTGGACAACCTGTTGTTTCCTGTCTCCTGTGGTGAATGGCTGAGACCTTTAAGTCTCTCTCTGGCTGCCTGTCCAGAGGCCTCACATTACACAAGATGTACAAACCTTGCACACAGTGGCAGCCTTGGGGTTTTTGTGTTTGATTTGACTCTCACTGAGGGTTAATTTCCAGCCCACCCCCAATTCAAAGAGCTTCAATAACGAACATTTATTTAAGGAGTCCTAGGGCGAAGGAACTCCAGGCTGGGTTGAGTCAACAGCTCAATGGTGGCATCAGACCAGGTGCTTTCCCTCTCTCCCTTCTGCTGCCCTCAGGGTTGGGCACGCCCCTGAGGGTCCCATGATGGCTATAGCATTCTGGTTACCACCTCCCAACGGGACAAAATGCAGCAAAAGATGCAGCAGCCATCTCTTCCTCGTGTTTCTCTCATTTTTGAAGAGCAAGTAAAACATTTCCCTGAAAATCCTCTAGTGGAATTCCCTTCACATCTCACTGGCTGGAGCTGGGCAATAGGAGTACCTGGAGCGGAGGGGCGGGGGGCTGGGGCAGCCATGACGGGCTTAGGCTGCGGGGTCAGCAAACGACAGCCTACAGTGAAATCTTCCGGTCAGATTTTAAATGCTTCCAGCAGCTCCCAAACATAAACTAAGACTGCAGCAGACCTGCTGAGGTGCTGGCGGGCGGGCAAAGCTTTCTGGCGAGAAACCCTAGAAGGCCACAGGGCATTGCTGAGCCAATGGGGCCACTTGCCCTTTCTGCTTTGAGCGTGTTTCTCTCAGCAGCTGCCTTTACCTTCATGCTGCCTCCAGCCTCTTCCTTCCTCCCCACCCCCAACCTCCCCAGGGGAAGTGACCGCCACCGAGGCATGATTGGCCCTGTCCCCTGATACTGACCTGTCTCTGCTGCGCCGATGCTGCTTGCGCCAGCAGCCTCTCTGCTGCCATGATTCCCAGTGAACAGAATTTATTAGACGCTGGGTATCTCACATTCAGGGCCCAGAAGGGAAGTTTTCTTGCCCAGGGAGTGCGCAGACTTCACTGTCAGCCCTTCTGTGGTTCCTCATGGTCTTATATGTGTCACCGCCCTGCACTCCAGCTGTTCGGAGCTCCTTTGTAGATGAGAACGAGGGTCCCAGTAAGGGGACGGATGTTGCTCTTATGCGTCGGTTGGTCATTCAGGGCTCTCTGACTTTGTGTCCTCTTTCCATACAGCTAGGAGCACACCCTGACTTTTTGTGACCTCCTGCCTTAGCCCACATGGGCTAGGTCGTTAGCCCAGAAAGCTCTCCCTGCCTCTCCCGAAGCTGTCCTCTGGCAAACCCTGCTGTGAGCTTTAGCGTTGGGCAGTGTCCTCTCGTCCATGAAGCCTGTCCTCAGGCTGGGTCCGCTGTGTCTTTTGTCTGTCTCCCCAGCACCTGATGTAGCATTGGACACATAGTAGGGATGCTTTAGGTGATTACTGAATGAGTGACAAAAATGAATTCTGTGGGCTCTAATGCCAAGTGTAAATACTTCTAAGATTGATTGGTGAAGTGGGTCAACACAGTGTGTAGGGCTCAGGGGAGCTGGGGGCCTGTCACTTAGGAGAGCTGCGGGGGACAGCCAGGAGTGCTCAGGATGGAGCAGTCACTTCCAGTCTTGGTGATCAAGGGAGGCTTCACAGAGGAGGTAGCGTTTGGGTGGGGCCTGGAAGATGGGCTTTGAACCCTCCCCTTCCTCACTGGCTCTGACAGCCCTGGGTAGGCTGAGTGTGGCCCAGGGGGAGAGGCAGCTGCTCTGCAGAGGGTCCCGTGGCCAGGGCAGGGCCCAGGAAAGCCAAAATGAGTACTTCGGGTACACTGGCCAGAGAGTGAATGCGCAGGAAAGTGGAGGACTTCCCCTTCCTGCTTTGGGAGGCTCTGGGAAAGTAGAGTTGTGTTTGAGGGATAGAATGATGGGAAGAGGAAAGGGAGAGGAGGAGGCGACGTCAAATGGGGACCAGATGCTGCAGGGCCTCGTGGGTCATTTGAGGAGCCATGCGAGATGATGTTTTTGTTTGTGTGTTTGATTTTTTTTGCCTTGGTTTGTTTTGTATTTGACATTTATGTTCCTTTTATTTTTTTTAACTGCTTTGTTGATGTATAATTGATATTTAATCAGCCATACATTATACAATTTGGCAAGTTTTGACATATGTATACACTTGTGAAGTCATCACCATAACCAAGATAGTGAGCATATCCAACACCCCCCCAATTTTCCTCTGTCCCTTTGTGACCTCTCCCTTCTGCCCACTCTCCCTTCCATCCCTAAGCAACCACTGATCTGCTTTCTGTCACTAGACACCAGTACCTCAGTAGAGTTTTATATAACAGGAATTACACAGTACGCACGCCTTTCTAGTCCGGCCGTCTTCACTCAGCCTAGTTACTTTGCGTTTCAGCCGTGTTGTTGCATATATCAGTAGTTCATCCTTTTTAATGCTGAGTAGGATTTAGTCATTTGGATGTACCACAATTGATTTATCCATTCACCTTTTGATGGACATTTGGGTTGTTTCCATGTTTTGCTTTGGATTGAAATACAAGAGTCATATAGAGAAGTGGCCATATCACAAGTATGTAAATCAGTGCGCTGCACACACCCATATACCAGCCCCCAGACTAGAAACAAACCCGGCCAGCCCCCCCAGAAAGCCCAGCCCCAAACCCCTCTGCTCCCAGCTCTTCATCACTGCCCGCACTTCTGACAGCATGGATCAGTTTGCCTGCTCTCCTGCTCTGTGGGATCATATACCTCCTGCTGGTGTGCACCATCCATGTTGTTTCTGATAACTTGCAGACTGTACATTCTTGTCATTTATCTCCTCTGCTGTCCCTGAGCCTTGGGAGCCTGCAGATTGGGGCTCTTAGGGGTGGTGCTGCCTGGGAACGTTCTGATGCGTGTCTTCCAGGGAACATGGGTGCGCCTTCCCGCTGGCCCTGGAGCTGGGATGGAATCGCTGGGCCGCGGGGGCTGCGAGGGTTTAGCTTGAGCAGCTGCTGCTTCACAGCTCCCCAGAGCGGTGTGCCGACCCGCGGCCCCGCCCCAGCCACATGTCCAAGTGCTGGCTGCTGCCCATCTTCCCCGAAGCTTTGTATTTTGCGTCTTTCTCTTTTTAACCATTCTGGTGGGTACAGAACGGCCTTGCATTTCACTTGTCACTCGTTGGGAGGGTTTTGTCGGGAGTCACGGTGCGATTGGATGGCCCCAGCTCACCGTGGTGCCCCATTTCCTACAGGCCGTGTGCTCGTCCACTGCCGCGAAGGTTACAGCCGCTCCCCAACTCTAGTCATCGCGTACCTCATGCTGCGCCAGAAGATGGACGTCAAGTCTGCCCTGAGCATCGTGAGGCAGAACCGTGAGATCGGCCCCAACGATGGCTTCCTGGCCCAGCTCTGCCAGCTCAATGACAGACTAGTCAAGGAGGGGAAATTGAAACTCTAGGGTACTCCCCCGCCTCTTCTCTAGAGGTTGGAATGGGGGGCCCTGGTTGAGGTGTCCCAAACTGCCATGTTTAGGAAACACAATGTACCCTGCTCCCAGCATCACCAGGCACCTGCCCATGAATCTGCCCCAAAACAGCCCTGGGTCCCTTTACCCCGGGGGAGCATGTAAAGAAGCTTGCTAAGGAAGACATTCTCACTCCCTGCTGCGTCCTGTGCCTGCAGTTTATGATGTCCTCCCCCTGGGGTGGGGCCGCAGAGGGGAGGACGTGTAACGTGCATGCTTCCGGGTGACCCAGGGCAGCGGGTCTGTGGAAGTGGAAGGTCTGAGACACTCACAGGAGGCCCTCCTGACCTCCTCCGCTCCTGACCCCTGGGTCCTCTCCTGAGTGGGAACCGTAGCACCTCAAGCCTTGTAAAGGAACTATGCAAACTTGGGCCCCTCTTTCCCCCCACATCTGTCTCCCCCGTCTCCTCGCAGCCACCCGCACCCTGCTCATAGGCAGAGACGCTCTGAGGCCTGAAGCTGGCGTCGGAGAAGCTGTCGGATGTTAGTAGGTGGAAATTCCCGCGAAGAGACCACATTTTAATTATTTCCTTAGGATTAGAGATATCTAAACAACGAGGCCCTGAGGTGGGCAGACAGATTCCCCTGGGGGTCTCTCCGGAATCAGTAGTTTCGGCACTGTGGACCCGCGGAAGGCTTGAGTTCCGAATCCACTGGAATATTTCCCTGGGACCGCTCTGGTCACTTGGTTTGTTACAGGAGCGATGCCTTGGGCATGGTGTATTTGTCTTTTTTAGAAAACAGGGTGTTGAAGTCCAGCCTATTTAAAAACCCCACCATTTGGAGAATTACAAGGGTTTTGTCCTGAATTATAGTGTTGGCGAGCCCAAGCCACTCGTGCGAGCTGCTTTTTGTCTCGGTTGCTATTCCAAGATCAGGAGGAGGAAGTTGGCCAATTACAGCGTGTATGTGGGGGTGTGTGTGTGGGGGGTGTGTCTCAGAAACACAGCCAGAGGACAGATGAGTGGGGAGATGAACGGCCCCAGGCTCACACCCTGCCCACTTACAGGTATTTCTTATGGCTCGCTGGTGCCAGAAAAGACCCTGGACCCCGGGGAGCAAAAATGACTCAGCCAGGCAGAAATGAAACATGACGGAGTGTCCAAATGGAACTTTTATTGGTGGTGGAGCAAACAAACAAACGAAAAGAAACAACTTTTTTTTAGGAGAATGTTGAAATGCACTTGTTCGCACATGTGTGCGCACAGTTGTCAGAATGTAGAATTTTATTCTCGATACAGTTTTGTTAGGACTTTGCATGATTGTCGTCATGGAAAGTGATACAATTCTGTCATCTTCAGGTTCCCTAATGGCAGAGAGGTGGTCCTCTGCCATGCCCCCTATGCCTAGCATATAGGTGTCTGATAATAGTTTGTGGAATTAAACTTTTTTTTTTTTTTGAGCACCAAATATACGTAGGGCGTTGTTCTGGTGGGTGTATCAGGCTCCCAGAATCCTGAGTTTGTGGTAGGATCCCTTGCAAGGGTTTGCAGAGGAGTCTTACCTGAAATGAAATATCAGGGACTTTTGTTAAATATTTAAAATTGTTTTAAATTTGAATCCAGCCAGTGTTGACAAGTTCAAGTGCGGACTGTGCCTTTTTCAGCTGACCAGGAGCTGTGGGCCAGGACCAGGGAAGCAGGCGGGCCTGTGGACTCCCTCGCGTGTGATGGTCTCTATCTCAGCAGGGCGGCGCTGTGCAGCCCGGCCCGCCCCGCTCCTCTGTGACCACAGCGGCCCTGAACCAACCAGGATCTGTCGCCTTTTTCAGATACTGGTTGCCCAGATAGAGCCACCTAAGCGAAATGGCCATTCTCTACACTCTGTACCTCACAGTTTTCAGATAACCCTCCCACTCGGTCTAACTTGATCCTAGCAATGACCCTTGTTGGTAGATATTCAGGTATTGTTATCTAAAAAAAAGAAGTTGGGGGTCAGAGTGATTATGGGCCTGGCGCCCAGGGCTTCCCAGCTCAAGGCAGAGCTGAAGCAATGTTTCCAGTGTGCTGCTCCCTGAAGCTGAATTCTTTCTCTCGTACTACACTTCTCCTCAACAAACAAGCCGCCTGGGAGTGTCCAGGTGCACTGCACCTGCCCGGACCCAGCCTGCGTGCACAAGGGCCACTTAGCTTTAGGGACAGAGTACAACGAGTCAAGCTGTGGTGTGAAGGGAGGCCTGGATGAGGGCGGGGCGAAGTTGGCACAAACCCAGCCCGGCTCCAGAAGGAAGGAAAAGCGTGTGGCTCTTCTCCCAGGAATCACGTAGCACCCCTGAGTCGCAGCTTTGTGCTCCATCTCTGGAAGAGGCTCAGGAGATGGGTCTGGGGCTCCCCTCCCACGCCCAGGCGGGGGTCGCCCCGCAGGGTAGCCACAGCTCCTTAGGGGCTCTGGAAGGCCTGTTTGTGGGGGTATGAGGGAGAACAGGTAAGTGGGAGAATTACTGCCTTTACTTTGGGACTACTTTTATGCTGATGACTTGGGATTTCTTGATAGTCTGTAGTCTCAGAAATTTGCTTCACAAGATTTAGCTCCTAGTTCGAGTAAATAAATTCTATCGTGTAAGAGTCAGCACGTGCCCAGCACTGAGTAGAAGCTGTCTCTGGACAGAGTTTTACGCCTGGGAAGTGATGAAATAGGAACTCAGGGCACCCTCAGTCCCTCCCCTGCCCTGATCCCTTTCCTTGACTAGCAGACCCCAAAAGTAGAACACCAAGCGTTTCTTCTCTATTTTAAAGCAGTACACATACCACAGGCTGCTCTGTTTCCCTGCCACTCTGAGTTACCTGGAGAGGGAATCACCGTCTACCAAACAAGGCCTCTAAGGTCCCTTTGGCTCTGACACTGTAGGGTTCTCTAAGAAACCCCACTTAGAATTGAACACCGCCTGGAAATTAGAGAGGCTGTAACTATTACGGTGACCGGCAGGGGGCGCTGTGTTCCACCGGTGGTGATGGATGATTCGAAAATGGATGCTGGTGCCTTTTGTGTCACAAGTTAATGTTAAGATGCTAATATTTTAATCGAAATAAGCACTCTCATAACAAAGATGTAAGCTTTACTCACAGGAAATTTTCTATCATAAAACCGGTGTCAAGTATCCCTGAAGAGCCAACAATGATGGTCCTTCCAAGTCAAGATTTTATCCTGATTGGAAATAGAGGCTATGTCTCCGGTTGTGAGAGGAGATTGGTTGGAAGCTTAACTTACCTCCTGTCAGCTTTTAGGGTAATTTGATTGTGAAAGCGTGAGTTTTCTGGACAGAAAGGGTGAAGGTATTAAATTTTATTTTTTAAAAAGTTTAATGTCATATCACAAATCAATATTAAAATACTAATTCTGTAACCGAAATAAATGTCGTATGTTACCAAAAATGGTTTCTCTCTCTCTCTCTTTTTTTTTTTTTTTGCTTCCTCTCATCACAGTTGCTTGCTTTTATGTTTGCTTTTTCTTTTTAAAAGATCTAAAAAATTAGCCCTCCTGAGCTAGTTATCAATTCCATGATGATTATATTTATGCTGTAGATATTTATTGAACATCCCTCCAGTACCAGGAATTTCCTGTCTTAAGAAAGAGCAAGAGAGAGAGACACATTGATTGGTTGCCTCCCGTAAGCGCCCTGACCGGGGATTGAACCCACCACCTAGAAATGTGCCTTGACCGGGGAATCAAACCCGCAAACTTTTGGTGCACGGGACAACACTCCAACCAACCAAGCCATATGGCCGCGTCTTATTTACTTAATTTTATTTTAAAATTTCAGCTTTATTGAGGTATAATTGACTGGAATATTTAATACAGTGGCCCACCCCAGGTGAAGGAGGCAAGATTTATGGTCCTACGAAAACAGAGGGCTGGGGTGGCCGTCTCCAGGTGGGCTCACGAGAAGATGACTGGGTAGAATTTTAGGATTTGTTATCCTGCAGGTGGGCAGCCCCAAAACATATCTCTGCCCCGAGACGTTTTAAATTCCACCATTAGCATTATCTCCCCTATGATCAGCACTGCCTTTTTTCCTCTGAATAAGAAACCCCGAGTTGGGTACCTTGCAAAGTCTGGGCAGGAAAAGAGCTTCTCTGGTCTCTGGTTCCCCATAACATGAGGCACTTAGATTAGCTCATTATTTGTCAGACCTCTGTGGTAACTTCATCAGCTTCCTCCTCCTTCACCCCCCCCCCGCCCCGTGAAGCCTGAGCACCCTTGCCTGCCTTCAGCAAGAATCCCGTTAAATTGGGTTAGCCAGAACCCCCCATCCCCGACCCGTAAAGTCTCCTCTTGGTAATGTTCCTTCCACTGACTTCCCCCCCGCCCCCCCGCACTTACCCCTTTGCAATCAGTATGTCAAATCCTAAACCCTAGTACCTGCGAATGGGACCTTACTTGGAAGTAGGGTCATTGCAGGTGTAATTAGTCAAGATGACATCATTAGAATGGGCCCTAATCCAGTGTGACAGATACCCTTATAAAAAGGGGAAATGAGGACACAGGCATGCACACAGAACACCATGTGAAGATGAAGGCATGGATTAGGGATAAAGCTTCTTGACGTGCCAAGGACAGCCGAAGATTCCAGCAAGGCCCCAGCCACTCGGGCAGAGCACAGCACAGACTTCCTCAGCTCTCCGAAGGAACCAACATGCCAACACTCTGATCTCACAGTTCCAGCCTCCGGAACTGTGAGACAATACATTTCTGTTGTTTAAGCCACCCAGTGTGTGGCGCTTTGTTTCAGCAGCCCCAGGAAACCAATGCACGTGCCCACTTACAGGTTGCTAGCAGGACCAGGGGGCCTTGCTGGGCTTTCTGGAGAACAACCCTGCAATATGTAGCAAACTGTTCACCCTCTTAGACCAGCACTCACTTCTGGAAATAACCCTGAAGTTAAAAAAAAAAAAGTTACTTGCAGAACAGTACTTGGCAATAAAAAGAATAAATTGTTGAAGTATGCAATAGCTGGGATGAATCTCCAGGGAATTAAGCTGAGTGAAAAAAGCTAATCTGAAAAGGTTACATACTGGTTCATTTCTTTATAGAACATTTCTGAAATGACAAAGTTACAGAAATGGAGAACAGATCAGTGGTACCCTGGGTTTGAGGTGAAGAGGAAGGGGCACGGGAGAAGGGGTATAAAAGGAAAATGAGTGGAATCTCTTCCGTCACAGAGTTGTTCTTTATCTTGGCTGTGTGGTGGATAACTGGCCCTGCTTATGTGATAAAATGTCATAGAACCAAAGGCATACACATGCACGAGGAAAACTGGGGAAATCTGAGTAAGATCGGTGAATTGTATCAATGTCAATATCTAGGTTTTGATATTATGCTATAATTTTGCAAGATGTTACCATTGAGAGAAACTCGGTACATGGAATTGTCTCGGTATTATTCCTTACAAATGCATGTAAATTTACGATTATTTCAAAATTTAAAAGTTTAATTTTAAAAAATTGCTTTGTATGGAATGTTCATAGCATCCCTACCCTACTGAGGCTCGGGGAACATTGGATATAACCCACACTACCCACAACAGAAGTCAGACAAAACCCTAGGGGTTTAACCATCGTCTAGCTCTGAACAATGTCAAGCTTGTGGACTGGGTAAACATGAAGTTGACTTTACGTTAGGTGAAAAAGGAGTTGGCTTCATTGCATGGTGTCTCTGAGCCATTCTGCAGAAAGCATGAGAAAGCAGAAAATAGTTCAAAAGTGTGGAGATAATTTAAAGATTCAAGCCCACTGGATTCTCCTACCTCTCTCTTTTAAAATACTACTTTCTTTTCAAGTTAAATAATGAAGTAAAATCCGGACCTTCGCCAGCCTCTAGGAGCTGGCTTCTCTTTGCATCTCCAGCAGGTGGCAGAAGTGTTCCGAGGATGGTCCCCACGCCTTGCTAGATGGGCCTACAGCTTCCAACAGCAGGTGGGGCTCCCGCATCAATGCCACCAGCTCCAGGACTGCAGGCATCAGAACAGCCTTCTCTGAAGTCCAGGGCAAGAAGGCAGTGGTCCGGCCGCAACAGGGTTAACAGTCCACATTCCAGAGCCAGGGAAGAGGAGGCTAGAGGGTCACAGACAGGGGGAGGGCGCATGAAGGACCAGCTTCTCACAACATACAGGCTCTGGTGGGAGAGATAGATCACCCCCAACAATGGCCACAGCTGTTTTTGTCTGCCCTGAAGGAAAGACGAAGGAAGCAGGTATCAGAGAGGGCCCTTCCTGCAGGCGCTTCTGTCTGGCTTGTAAAACTGTCAGAGCAGCTGCATTCATGTGTTGAGTGATGGATGATGGAAAGAAGGAGGGACAGACGGCCGCAGATGGACACAGAGACTTACAAGTTGAGGCAGGTGGCAGAAGCCGCATAGAGGCTCTGCAGGTGGGGCCTCCTGATTCATTGCCTGGTGAAAATACCAAGGAGGCCTGGGCCACAGCCCTCTTCCCAGTCTCTGTCAGGGCCAGGAGTGGCCGCTGCCGCCTCCATCCATCTGCAATGAAAGCTTCCGCTGGCCCTCCTTTCTTTTCCTGCACCTCAGGTGTGAACCTCCTTCCCCCACGCCTCCGCCCCTCCCAGGCTCCTCATTCTGCTCCAGGGCTGAGGGAGCAGATCCTTCTTTTGTTTCTTTGTGGCTGCCTGGACCAGGGATGGCTCCGTGGAAGGCACCCTCTTGCCTTCAGCAATCAGATTTTCCATCTCGGACCGCAAAGCTGGGTTTTCAAAATGTAGTGGCCTCGGAGCTCAGGAAGAAAAAAAAAAAATGTCAGCACTAAAAATGTTGGCCTTGGCTTTCGCTAAGAAATGGAATTTTGTGCTGGCCACTCGTACCGAAAGCCTGACTAGGGAAATAACTGCCTTTAGAACATCAGCCTACAAGCCTCTGTGAGTGTCCTGGCCACAGAGTCCTTGCCACCATGTGCAGGGTCTCTGAGGAGCATGAGCTGAGGTTTTCTCCTTGAGCCCCACCGCCGGGGCCTGTTAACTAGCCCATCTTGGCCTGGTAACCAGAATCCCCGCCCCCCTGCCCAGGCAGATGGCCCTCGGTTTTCTATCCTGCCGTCCAGAGATGCCAAGAGGCGTTTTCTTGGCCAGGATAATCAAGGGACCAGTGAGATTTCTTAGAAAGCATCCTTGGGGCTCTGTCTGGGCCTGTGGGAGCCAAACTGACACCCATAGGGCCCTTTGTTGGGGTGACAAATGAACTTGGCCTGAGAAACGGCACCGGCCGGGCTCAGTCCTGCCGAGGACTCAGAGCTGCAGTGAGCCTTTGTGAAGCTGGTCCGAAGTTTGTTTTGAGAAAGCCTGAGGGGCCCAGGGAGGTAGAGATTAAGATCCAGAGTTCATCTGATATACAGAAACCACAGCCGCCTGCACAGGGTGGGGGGGGGGGGGTGCCGGAGAGTGGGCTTGCCTCGCGCGCCCCTCTCTCTGGGTCACCTGGGAGCACAGGCAGCAATTTGGGAGTTTGCCGCGCTTGAGGAGCAGTCTTTAGAGAGGGCTTGCTCTGAGCACACCCTGTTCCCTCCCCCTGGGCTGAGGGAAGCATGGGACCAGCCCTGCCCCAGCCTGTCATTGGCTGGCACGAGGCAGAGGGGGCTTTAAAAAGGCAAACGTGTCTGGGCTGGGGACTGGAGCCCGTGCTACCGGAAGGCCAGGTGCCCTCCTGCAGCTGGCACCATGCAGCTCTCTCTGGCCCTGTGTCTTGTCTGCCTGCTGGTGCACGCAGCCTTCCGGACAGCGGAGACCCAGGGGTGGCAGGCCTTCAAGAACGATGCCACAGAAATCATCCCCGAGCTGGGCGAGTACCCCGAACCCCCACCAGAGCCGGAGAACAACAAGACCATGAACCGGGCAGAGAACGGCGGGAGGCCTCCCCACCACCCCTTTGAGACCAAAGGTATGGGGTGGAAGGGGGTGCTTTTAGCATGAGGGTCCTCTGGTGGGAGGGTTCCCTCTGGGACATGTTGAAGATCACAGCAGACCCTCAGGCGCTGCCAGCAAAAGGCGGAGGCACTTTCTTGCCCGGAGGCGGGAGAAGGATGGCCTGCCAGCGTAGCCCTGGAATCTGAGTGCCGGGACCGGGGGCTGGCAGCGAGCGAGGGGCAGGATGGAGGTGGTGGGCACAGCACCGGCACAGGCTCAGGGGCTGGGAAAGGAGAAGGGTTCAAGGAATCCCCTCCTGAGAATTCAGGAGCCAGTGCCAGCTGCCAGCACCCTGGGACAGGGCAGTCCCCCGCCTGTGAGCACCTGCTGGACGCCAGATGCTCTACAGGGGCTGTGCATGTACTACACTCTGGGGACCCACCATGCCGGAGCCGCGGGAGTTGAACTCCCAGTTTGAAGGAGAAGAAATGGAGGCCCCAGAAGTTAAGTAGTCTGGTAGTAAA